CTCAGGGAGGTTATGGCCAGCAGCCGCAGGGCGGGTATGGTCAGCAGCAACAGCCCCAGGGAGGGTACGGCCAGCAGCCGCAGGGCGGGTATGGACAGGCTCCGCCCCAGGGTGGGCAGGCAGGGTATCCCCCGCAGGGAGGGTATGGGGCTCCCGGACGATATTAGGGTAGGTTTTCGCGGGGGGGGGGGGGTTGGTGGACTTTGAAACGTCAATGTCCAGTTTGGCCCCTGGAAGGTTTTTTTATTTTTTTATTTTTATGTTTTTTATTAATTTTTTTCCAGTGCTCCTTTCCCGCCACCCCTGCCACATTTTGCCCTTATATTAATGAATGTATTGCTTAATGATATTTTGTAGTTTTCCTTCCTTTTCTGCATGCCATTTCGGTATGTTGAATGTATGGCTATGACTATTTCCTTCTCCTGCCTTTTTTTTTTCTCTTTTCCCTCTTTTCTTTTTTTCTTTTTTTCTTTCAAGTTTCGTTTTAGTTAGTAAAATGGAAAGGGACATGTGGATGTATTTTTCTTGTCCCGTTGATCTCTATCAAAAGGTAGTTAGGCTCTTCAGCGGCTGGTTATATATCTGATCTTGGGCCTGTGTGGAAGCCGTAACGGTTAACGATTGCTGTGGAAGCGGGTATTGTGTGGAAACAATCAAGATGTCCCTTTAGAAATCTTTTCACCATCGACGTGCCTCTTCCTCTGGCCCTTTCTTTGTGATGTCAAGATACATAGTGCTTCCTTTCTTGCTTTTGATTTCCTTAACCCTATATAAGTTGTGAGACATTTTCTCTTCCCGGGGTGTTCGACTATGACGTCAATCGCCACATGGAACATCCCACGCAAGCAACCAGCTCTCACTGGGGCATCCCGGTTGTCAGTACATGTCCGCAAGGTTCAACATTTCGTAGATGTCCCACCTCCTTGTCCTCGTCCTCCTCGTCTATGTATATACATAGGACCTTTCTCTCTTTCTCTTGCGCGGAATGTGTTCAAAAGAAAGGAGGAAGACAAAACTTTGAAAGGAGAATGAGCCAAGGGAGTGCAAGGCGCTATTCCTCATCTAGCCTAGCCTCTGAGGAACGGAAGTGGCTTATATCAGCAGTTTGGGAGGCTTGGAATGCAAGATGGTTAATTTCTTTTATTTACCCCTGGAACACTCAATCAGCGTCCAACAGGCCCTATGGATAGATAGGTGTATCTGCTCCCCACAGTCTCAGCAGTTGATTCATTGATTTTTGATCTCATTCCCCTCCCGCTCCCCAACACCTCTACTGCCGTAGTGGGGTTCATGAGTGATCCTAGATATGATTTTTCTCTCCAAAGCATCCCGAGTTAACTGCGGTTGAACAACGCCCTCCTATTGTCCGGTGGGTGTCAATTGCGTGCCCTCTTTGATGATTCGGTTTAAATCTGGGGTAACGTTAGGGAAAATAAATATAGTTAGTTGCCTTCTGGTCGGCGAACTTTGGAAAGCTTAGCTGGCCAGTTAGGTTAACTAGTTATTGCGTCAAATCGGCGGACGACTGCTGCCTTGCCAAATATATAGTTAGTATTACCACCAATTTCAGGGCCCAACCAACTACAACTCCCTCCCCAAGACGAATGAGAGTTACTGGCAATTATCTTATCGGTTCTTTACTGTACAGGTTTCTTCCATCCATTCCTCTCCTCTCTCTCTCTCTCCTCTCTCCCACCATACTGTACTCAATCTCTACAATCTCGACGCGCGTGGGCCCCTCCACTCCTTCCTGCGGTTTCTCCGTGGTGCCACCGTCCGCGGTCGGCTGTGGCATTGGCTTCGTCCCAGTCTCCCAGCAAGGTCCAAACCATGTTACAAGATAATTAAACTGACAAACCACCAACAAAAAACACTTGTTTTCATTTAAGCTCAACCGAGCAGCGTCAAACTGATCTTTGGCTTTTTTTTTTTTTTAAAAAAAAAAAATAAATAAATAAATCATCAAAGGTAACTTTATTTATCACCTGTCTCGGGATTATCACCTGTCTCGGGACTAACCCGAATTATTCCCTTGAATATCCCCAACAACCTCTCGTTCCTTTCTCTCACCTGTTTCCGACTCTTAAACCCCCGGAGAAATAATAGGGAAGACTGGCTGCTTGGTCGCTGTGTAAACGAGAGTTTCCCTTTGCGGGCCACGCGTACATCCTGGTTATTTACTCGTGTCTCTCCTGCATTACAACACTTCCAAAGACGTCTTCTCTCCCCCCTTGTTCCTCTCCACGCCAATTCGTGTCGATTAACGAGTTGGCCGTTACCTTGAATTTTCCTCCTTCCCGCCTCCTCTCCGTTCTGTATAATATACGTACTCCCGAAGAGGGCCGGCCGACCAGTCGGATATTTGCCATTTCTTTCCTTCCCGTTTCTTGATTTTGCTCCTTTAAATGTCGATGCGTAAACATTTTCCCACCCATTATACAATGTGCCACCTCTGACAATGCGATTAATTCCGCTTAACACAACCCTTGTCCTACCTGCATGCGAAATATCCTCTATATTTCTGTCCTCTATTTTCGTCCAATTCTATCCATACATCTGGAGACAGTTCCAGTATATCAGAGTTCGGGAGGCGATAGAAGTTTGACAAATACAAAGGAAGGAATCCATAAACCCATCCTTATATAACACTACTGGCGGTTAACGGCTGGATACCTAACAAAGGAGGAGGAAGATCTAATTTGGATACCAGGGCAGCCTGATGGCGGAGCATGATGGAAACTCGGTAACTGGAGGGTTGAGTCCTCGATTACCCCGCCGTGCCTCCTCGAGATCGCCACTGAGAGACAGCATTCTCGGAACAGACACTGGAGAAAGAGAAGATAGTGAGAATGTTCTGCTTCAAGATGCTGGAGCGCGCAATGATGCCGATCCTGGAAGACCAGTGGAAAGTGGGGATGGCGGTGGAGATGGCAGTGGGGATGACGGTGGGGATGGGAGACATCCCAATACTCCAGGGCGTGTGCATGCTTCACTGGATACTCCTAGACCTGCGCTGCTGAATTTGGATATGTCCCATCGGAGACCGTCACAGGCTCGTGTCCGCTTTTCAACAGAGCTAGAGCGAACTCCGGATACTAGTGCTCAGAGCCTGGTACGAGAATTTCCTGCTGGGGCCGGAGGGGACGGCCGAAGGCGTGCCCCTGGCTTGGGACTGACATTGGACACATCCTCCACGACTTCACTATCAGATCCACGACGCATCTCCTCGCAAAGCGCTGGTGAGACTATATCGCCACGCTCATCTGCAGACGCTGTCTCGCCCTTACATGGTGTTCCTCCCATCTCTCCCATCTCTCGAAGTCGGAGCTACTCGCTGCGACGATCTCTCTTTACTCGGAACATTGCCAGCCAATCAGAGGAGGATGGGACGAATATTGAATTAGACCAGGAGCTGCCATCTGGAAGTGAGGCTCTGTCACGGGTCTCTTCTAGGCAACAACAACACCTACATCCGGAGAAGACCAATCCAGAAGTCCTTGTCCCAGCCCCAGCTAGCACTAAGGATGAAGAATCCACCACATTCACCGACCCGAAAGACCTATTAATGGAAAAGTTGCCATACTCTGTCAGGGCTGCCGCATCCAAAGTGCGTTCCACGCCTGAATTCGCGCTGGGCCGACTGAAGTATTTTACAGGTGTTTTTCGCAAATATGTCCTGCGCATCAAAGAAATCCCCCCTAGCAAGGATGGCCGACATATCGATCTTAACGTACGGCGGCAATACCCTCTCATCGACGAGCGGACGGGAAGACAGTATGTCAGCAATCACATACGGTCTAGCCGATATAGTGCGTGGAGCTTCTTCCCACGACAATTGGTAGCGCAATTTTCCAAGTTTGCGAATTTCTATTTCCTAGTCGTTTCGATTTTACAATTGATACCAGGTCTGAGTACCACAGGCACTTTCACCACGTTCGTTCCGCTGATGGTTTTCGTTGGTATTTCTATGGGGAAGGAGGGGATTGATGATCTACGCCGATACCGATTAGACAAGGAGGAGAACAATCGTATCGCCTACATTCTTCGGCCCCGCAACAGCTATAAGGGTAATAACGGAGCCTTGGAACCCAAGAATTCTAAGGACACCGAGTCTGAGTTAAACAGTAATGGTGGGGAATACTGGGCTCCGACGAAATGGGTCGACATTCAGGTGGGCGATGTAATCAAGCTATCGCGCGATCAACCGGCTCCTGCCGATCTCGTCCTTCTCCATGCCGAAAATGTGAACAACATCGCATACATCGAGACCATGGCGCTGGACGGCGAGACAAACCTGAAGAGCAAGCAGCCCTGCCCTCCCGTCGCAAAGACATGCAGGACAGCAGAAGATATCCTCCACAATACATCCATTCACTTCACGGTCGAAGATCCCAACATCGATCTCTATAAATTCGACGGCAACGTCACTGTGGGCCAGGAGAAATTACCCCTGACCAATTCAGAGGTGATATACCGCGGTAGCATCCTGCGGAATACCCACGAAGCATTCGGGATGGTCATATACACGGGTGAAGAGTGCAAGATACGCATGAACGCCAATAAAAACCCGCGCATAAAGGCGCCCGCGCTACAGACGGTGGTGAACCGCGTTGTCGCGGTTATTGTTCTGTTCGTCGTCGTCCTTGCCTCCGCGTGTACGATTGCGTATAAGTTCTGGTCACGAGAAGTGGAGGATAAGTCGTGGTATCTGGAGCATGCAGATGTGTCGTATGGGCCGATTTTCACGTCGTTTCTGATTATGTTTAATACCATGATACCTATATCGCTTTATGTCAGTTTGGAGATTATTAAGGTTGCGCAGATATTTTTGTTGAACGATATTGATATGTATGATGAGGCGTCGGATACGCCGTTGGAGGCGAGGACTTCGACGATTAATGAGGAGTTGGGGCAGGTTAGGTATGTCTTGACCTTTTCTACATTTTTATTGTTTATTTATTTATTTATTTTTTAAAAAAACAACTCGGGGTATTTTCGTGGAAACACAATTTGGAAAAGATTACTAACACCTTGCTAAATTAACAACAGTTACATATTTTCCGACAAAACAGGCACGTTGACGGATAACTCCATGAAGTTCCGTAAAATGAGCGTTGCAGGCACTGCATGGCTTCATGATACAGATTTACAAGAGGAAGCTGCCCGAGAGGCAGATCGCAAGATGCTTCTACATAAAAAGCGCCTCTCCAGAGGGAAAAGGGTCTCCTCGTGGAAATCAGCCACAGATGACGTAGCCAGGAAGTCCGGCGTTTCAACTTACAGATGCGATGAAGCCTCATCCCCCGCCCCCACCCGCTGGAGGTCAAACAGGAGAGGCAGAGCCCACTATGGAGGGCGGACTGTGGAGATGCTAGAGTATATACAGCAGAGACCACATACGATGTTTGCGCGCAAGGTGAAATTCTTCATCCTGGCCCTCGCCCTGTGCCACACGTGCTTTCCAGAACGTGACAGCGACGGCAATATTTCGTTCCAGGCTGCATCCCCAGATGAAGCTGCTTTGATCGTTGCCGCGAAGGAAATGGGCTATTTAGTCGTGGATAGACAGCCCAACACACTTACCATCCGACTCACCTCAGCAGGACAAGACGGAGAAGGTGCTATTGAAGAAGTCTATGAGATTTTAGACGTCATTGAGTTTTCCAGTGCGCGGAAACGGATGTCCATTGTTGTCCGTATGCCAGATCGGCGTATTTGTATCTTCTGCAAGGGTGCAGATTCCGCACTTATAAGCCTTCTAAGACGGTCGCGTCTTGCGGCGGAAAAAGTTGCGGAAATCGAAACCCGTGCCAACCGTAGGAAGTCTCTTGAGGCTAAAGAGGTTATGAGACGGAATAGCGAATACGTGCATCGCAAGGACAGCATGCGGGCTAGCATGAGTATTGGCCGTCCTAGCTTTGCTACTGTTCGGCGGTCTAGTGTTTCAGGGAAAATGCATCCGTCATTACGGGACAGTATCAGTGTTTGGCTCCGTGATCGGGAGACGGATGGCGGTTTGGAGCTGAGAGATGATGAGGACGACCACTATTATAGTCCACGACCATCTGCCCAATTTACCCCGCGAACATCTGGAGTGCTTTCGGAGTCTCGCCCGTCGTTTCAGATGGATGATAGCGAGGAATTGGTCGAGGAGGCGTTGGTGGTTAATGAGGCGATGGTTTTCGAGAGATGTTTCCAGCATTTGAATGACTTCGCGACGGAGGGATTGCGAACACTATTGTATGGGTATCGCTTTATTGATGAGGAAGAATATCAGAAGTGGAAAGCCGTCTACCATGAGGCGACGACGAGCTTGGTGGATAGGCAGGAGAAGATCGAAAGGGCCGGGGAGCTGATTGAGGCACAGCTGGAGCTCGTTGGTGCCACTGCTATTGAAGATAAGCTGCAAAAGGGTGTCCCTGAAGCGATTGATAAACTGCGACGTGCCAATATTAAACTTTGGATGCTTACTGGGGATAAGCGGGAGACGGCGATAAATATCGGTCATTCTTGTCGGTTGGTGAAGGACTATTCTACAGTGACGATTTTGGATCATGATGCTGGTGATGTTGAGCGGACGATCTTGGAAACGACGAGTGAGATTTTGAAAGGGGGTTCTGCCCATTCCGTGGTTGTGGTGGATGGGCAGACGCTGTCGATTATCGAGGCAGATGCGATACTTCAGGAGCGCTTTTTTAATCTAGCAATTCTAGCGGACTCTGTCATCTGTTGTCGTGCTAGTCCCAAGCAGAAGGCGTTCCTTGTCCAATCGATTCGGAAGCGGGTCAAGAAATCAATCACACTTGCGATTGGCGACGGTGCCAATGATATCGCCATGATCCAGGAAGCGCACGTGGGGATTGGCATCACCGGCAAGGAAGGTTTGCAAGCCGCTAGGATATCCGACTACTCAATTGCACAGTTTAGATTCCTGGTCAAACTCCTCCTCGTCCATGGCCGCTGGAACTACATCCGTGTATGCAAATATACCCTAGGCACGTTCTGGAAAGAAACCATCTTCTACCTGACCCAAGCCCTCTACCAGCGTTGGAATGGCTACACGGGGACCAGTCTCTACGAACCCTGGTCTTTAAGCATGTTCAACACCCTCTTCACCTCCCTCCCCGTCATCTTCCTCGGAATTTTCGAAAAAGACCTCGCAGCCTCTACCCTCCTTGCTGTCCCGGAACTGTACACCAAAGGCCAACGCAACGGTGGCTTCAACGTCAAACTTTACGTGGGCTGGGCCTTCATGGGCAGCTGTGAAGCCATGATTGTCTACTTCATCATGTACAGCCTCTTCGGCCGCGCATTGTTTACCCTAGACAACGGTGTCTTCGCCATGGGCTTGCTCACCTACACCGCCTGCATAATAATCATCAATCTCAAACTACAACTGCTCGAAATTCGCTACCGCACAGTCATGGCAGCTATATCTATCATCCTCTCTGTCAACACTTGGTTCGTCTGGAACTTAATTTTCTCAGCCCGTTACAAGATCAACGCAATCTACAACGTCCGCGACAACTTCGTGTCACGCACGGGCCGCAACCTGCCCTGGTGGGTGACCCTCTTCCTCATCGTGATGACCGTGATTCTCTTCGAAATATCCGTGACAGCATTGCGTGTTACCCTTTTCCCGACCGATGTAGACTATTTCCAGGAGTATGAGCAGGATTTGGATGTTCGGAAGCGGTTTGAGGAGGCGGCGGCGTTGGAGTTGCAGCAGGGGTGGGATCGGGGGACGAAGAAATCGAGCTTGGAGGTCTTGAGGGAGGCGGAGATTGATGCGGAGAGGGAGATGCAGGTGCAGGAGTTGCTGGATCGGAGGGCAACGGTGGTGGAAGGGGAAGCAGTTGGTGGGCATTCCGGAAATTCTGGAAGTGGCCGTGGCTATGGTAGTGGACGTCGATATGGTCTGGGGAAAGAAGGGAAGAAGCATCATAATGATGTTCAGATGGAAGAGGCGGACTTGGGAAATAATCGGCCCTCTATGAATGGGTAGCGTAATTTCGTTTCCTTTCCCTTCAAACTGTTTTTCTTGGTTTTGACTAGTTTTTGATCATTGGACTGAGCGTGTGTTAGACACTTGCTCTCCCAGTTCTCTCTTCCTTGGATTATACTCCTGTATTTGGCCACCTCTTCGAGGTGTGTGTTTGGTTTTTGCGTCTTACGTGACATATGCATGATGATTCCCCTGTCTTAATGCTCTACCTTTATTGGGTATTTTGATGCTTTAGACTTGATCGATTGGTTGGCTTAATTGAATTTATTGAGAATAGACTGATTTATATTTACTACTTTTCTGGCTTCTTTCCCCCCTATTTTTCCTGAACAACTTAATATATTTTGTATGTACAATGGATATCCATCACTCTTACTTTATCTCTGCATTCATTATCTCTACTATTTTTGCTTTTGTAGAAGTATGTCCTACCTCTGGATTGAGAAGATTCACCCTCATATTCTTGATTGTGAAGCCCTTTTTGTTGATATAGTTAAGATATGTGTCTTTCCATATAATGCAAGAGCAATAATCTTAAAAGTGAATTGATGTAAATTCATGCAACTCTTATACTTAAACCAAGGTGGATCCCAAGATTCCCAATAACAAGCATTATTGTTAGTAAGAAATGGTAAACCGTTATTAACATCATAAAAATTTCCTGTCATCTAATGAAAAGTAAAAAGAAATCAAGATTTAAAGCAATTTGTAGGAACATACATACTCTAGAGGAGGGGGGGGGGGGAGGGACGTCATTTCTCACACATTTCATATCATGCCATAGTTACCACAACCAATTCCACACCTAAATTGATCAAACTACGCAATCAAAAAAGCGCCATCTTCTTCAACACGCTCCTCTTCAGCACAAGACTTCCACCTCAATACCCCCAGCAAGCCCCCTCGCAACACTCCGCAACTCGTTCTTACAACGGGGACAATTGATCCAGTAACTTATAGACTTCAGGTGCTGCTTGCGCTTGCTGCCAGGGGTTGTGAAGTATTTTTCTGTCTTCCCACCCTCGTCCTCACCGTCCATAGAAGGAAAAAAGAGTGATTGTGGTGTTGTGGGTTCCGAGTCTCCAGGTCCAAAGGTGGGGGGAGGGGGAGAGGAGGTTCTGGTGTAGGTTCCTTTACCGGGGCAATGGCTGGCTAAGGGCAACTTTTCGAGGAGAGGTTCGGGCTACGCTTACGGCTCTGGGTACGCGGTAGTAGCTAAGCGCGAGGTTTTTGTTTCTTCACCATTCATTAACCTCTTTCCCCTTCTTCCTACCGTTCTTTTTCATACACTTTCTCGCTCTGATCGATTAACGCCAGTCAGATTCCTCATCGGCTAGTTTTAGTTCTGGTTGTTCCGAATATCCCCGGTATACGACTTCGTGGAAACCTGGGTTTGGGTTTGATATGGCTTGCTGGGGCGGGGAAAGAGGAGGACCCTCATCTTTAGGGGCAGCGGGTGGTTCTGGAATATGGTTTGCAAATTCATGATCGCCCCCATCACCATTCCAGTGCATCGTTTCCCCTTTCTCATAATTAGTTTGGGACGGACTTAGCGGTTCGTCCACTTGATGTTGCTCACTGGTATCTTCAAATGACTGTTGGTCTTCAAGAGCGAGCGATTTGCGCTCTTCCATAATCAGTGGTTCGGTTAGTGTTGTGAATAAATCAACAGTCAAATTGCCATGTTCATTTTTAAAGACGTCAAGAAGCCAAGTCTCCCGGACAAGGTTAAAATTGTTTTTCATCGCGCGCCTCGTCTCATGCATGAACTTAGCTCGATACATGTCATTTCCGTCGTCGTCGTGGAGTTTTGGGTACACCTTCTTCGCAACGTCGAGGATCTTCCAATATGGAACTTGCGTCATGTTTTTGATATATCCTATGGCAAGCGCAGCAAGCCTGTCTATCGCATATTCCCGGGCGAAGCAGTAGACAAGAGAATGGATTTCAAAATCCAAGCCGACGTCGGAGCACAGGGCGCTATCCTCTGGCGTCGGTAGGATTGTGGAGCTATACGAACAAACCTGGTAGTTTCCAGCATACAGGAACCTTAGGGCCAGTTCAAAAACCACCGGATTTATATCGTCTAAAGAGAGACTACGACCTTTGGCTGTTGTTGCAGGACATATCTTCCTGATGAGGGAGGGCGACTGGCTGAGGATCCCCAGATGAGCACCGAATGTCCTCTGTTTGCCAACTGGACCGACGGAAACCCAAATAATTTTTGTTTCATAGGGGCTAAGGGGGGTAAATGGCATCGGATCCATCGAGCATGAAGGCAGAGGGAAGCTCTGGTGGATCAGTTTCGATGAGAACAGGGTCTGTAGCGTGAGGGAGATTCTGGAGCAGAGGCGGATTCTCTTCTTTCATATCCACTTTGTCTACTGCATCTCTCTCGGTGGAATTAGCGTCAGTGATCCAAGGAGGTCCAATTACGGGCATTAGAGAATACTTAACTGGATTGTTCAGTCGTTGTTGTCCCTATCAGTTTAGCCTTCTTCTTCTTTTTGTAAAACACATCGGCCATCTTGAGCAGTCAGACCGTAAAGCAGGATTCTTCAATTCAAAATATATGTCGAGGATGAGGGCAGATGTTGATTAGCCTTTTGATTACACAACGCTGGAATAACACGTTCGCTGGCGCGTTGATGGATAGTTATAATAGCTGTTGACACCCCTCAGTCCTTTTCTATGAGCTACGCCCTGAGCCAATCAAGGACAGCTCTCTCATCATGATGATTCCCGAACAAGCTGGGTGCGTCTGGAAAAAGGTGCAAGTTTTGCAGCCTGCAGAGCAGGGAGGTCTTCCGCATCGGAAGCTTTCGTCTTGGAGATCTCACTTCTGTCCTTTTCCACTGAGATGATATGCGTGTTTGCCCTCTTCGATGTGCTGTGTCTCCCTCATTGGTCTAATATACAGAGATGGCATGCATTTGGATACATCCATTCATGCGCCTTCTTAGCCCACAGGTGTTATGAAAGAACCCAAGCCCAACCGCAGCCCAATTGCAGATAATACAAAATTGGCCGGTTAAAAGTTGCTGTGCCGCCTGAGGACAATATTGAATGGCTAGGAGCGGAGACAATATACCGTAGGAATCCCATTAGTACAGCATTCTGAGCAGGGAATCAATCTCTCATCTCGACTGCACGGATATCCCCACTCTGTCAAAACGCGCTAACATCTGTTTAGAGAAGACGCAAACCTTTGGATGGTTACGGGTGATGTAGTTTGGTCGTGGAGGGTCGAAGCCTCGCATCCGTAAGTCTCCATACTGAGTGAAAGGACCTGGGTCAGCTTCTATGAGAAACATTGAGGGGGTTGACAGCCCGCAGTAAACCGTGCAAAAGAGCCATCTGCAGTCTGGCTCAATATTGAGAAGTAAATGCAAATACGAAGTGGGAATACAGTTGACTGAACATGCATTCAGAACAGGATTTGCCGCAAACGACTGGATAGTTCATTTGTTAGTTAGGCCCTTTATATTTAGCAGCCTTGATTGAAAGCCTAACCTAACCCAGAAGCTGGGGAAGCGCTTGAATGGACCCAGTTTGATTTATATAGGGATAAAAGAACAACTATTTCCTGGTGTAAACAGACTTTGCTTCTATGAAGCTTGGAAGCTTCACAACTTATGTCATTGTTCGCTAACTAAATAGTCAAGGAGTGTTAGGCCCATCAGTCTCCTCTCAGGGCCAACAGACTGTCCACATTACTTGCCATGGTGCATATATGCCAGCTTGAAACATACTGTTCGTCCACCTGCATCTGTCTGACCTTGGGAGGTACAATTATCAAACGCGATGGAGGCCTACACTTTTTGAGCCTCCTGAGGTATATGCTGCTGCTGGGCCAAACACTTCCCAAGCCGCCATCATATTTCGACCAATCGAATCCAAATGAGAGAGAAGCAACTATGTGCCTGAAAAGACGGGCAACTCTAAGGCATATGAAATTGGCACGGAACATTATAGTGACAATATATATACTGCCAGACATTTTCCATTGGACTTGAAAGAGTTGTTCGTGCACAGCGGATATACGACCACGAAATGAATTGATACGCTTCGTTCACGTTTGGTTCGACTGATCAAGCATTGGCATCACTTAGAACCTGGTGAACTTTGTCTAGTTATCTCTACCAAGGAAGAACTCTCACAGTTCGAAGAGGAGTTTTCTGAGTATCAAGATTGGTACACGCTTCGAGAAACAATTCAAGATGCATTGCCGACGCAGAGGGTTTGATTTCCCCAAAGGGTTGACTGAAAGAATAAAATAAACAACTCCGGCAATCATAAGCAAAATGTCGGCGGAAAGAAGTGCAAAGGCCGAAGAACTGTGGTGGTGTGGTTTCCCTGCAAATGAGGCTGTGGTGAATGTTTCTTCAGAGCGCAAAACATTCGGGAGACTCTGAAAAGGTCTTTTAAAAAGGGAATTTGATTCTCATGGCTTTGCCTGCTATCTCCTCTATCATGAACTTTGAATGATGTAAGTCTGCGTTTACTGGGAGCCTGCTCAGAGCATGGATCCTTGATATCTAGTTCTTTCGGGCATTGAAGAATTACAACATCAAAGTCTGAGAGGCGGCAAAATCTTTCAAGATACGCCCGGAATATGCCTCAGGTTGACAGAATGAATGCTGTCACCTCACAGTTTTACATCTTCTGCTCTTTTTATTTTTTATTTTTTTTAGGAGTTTAAAATTCGATAACCGACGGCATCAGATTCTCTCCACCACGGTTTCTTGGGGTATTATGCGTCGATTGAGCCAGAATTTTTGGTATGCAACGCGGCCTCTGAACGGCTCCTGGAATTGGGTCTGAAAAGCCTTTCGTCTCGCGGCTACGTTCGGCGACTCTACTTTGCTTGACTCCAGGAACAGAAAATGGCGCTCGGGGTAGTTCGGCCAGTCAGACATAGGGCCACGGAACTTTAATATCTTTAATTGCGGGACCTCAAGTTTACGAAAACTGGGCCTCGTCATTCGTAGGTTCACATGTACGACATTTTAGCATTTTCGAGGAAAATACTGGTTAATTACTTTCCCAGGCTCAGCGCCGACCAAGGTTGTGCCACCGCGCTTCACATGAAATCAGTTCCTGCATTGTGGCTGAACGTTGAGAATAATAAAGCATGAGTCGATAAACGCTTCAAAAAGTGCTTTCTACCACGATGCCAATCATCCCAAGTCATTAATTCCTAGGAGACCATTTTCCTGCTCCTTTTCGCGGCAATAATGACTGAACCAACTTCCATGAATAAATAACCGCTCTGGAGTCTAAAGTCTGGAGTCTAAAATCTGGGGTCTCAACACAAGTAATCAATCGAGATTTAATTCGCCATCCCATTTCCCCAGGTTTGCGGGGCCTCCTTCGCACCCTACCACACAAAACCACCACCTCCTCCACCAGGATTCCAGTCGCCTCGAATAGAACGAGGGAAACATGGCCGACCTTGGCTTTCTCCGTTCCGCCCTGGATTTCGCAGTTCAGAACCGAGGTCCTGCAAGAAACGAAAGAAAGAGAGAGAAAGATAATAAAGAAAGAAAAAAAATCCATCCATTGGCATAGAGCGAGGCTGTTTTCGACTAGCAACACACTTAACAATGCCGATATCGTCAGCACTGAGCTGTGTTGTCCAAAATCCAGCGCTTACCTGCGGCAGCGTGAATAAAAAGAAAATAGCGGAAACAAACCGGCTGCAAGTTAAACGAACAAGTTGTGCAGAGGAGAAACACAATGTAGCTAGGTAACTCTACCCTGTATCCTTGTTGACAAGCTGTCCCCAGATGATCTTCCTGTTGTGAACCCCATGCGATCCCCCATGCGATTATGGCAGGGCTGCAACTGGGATCTCAGATCTAAATATGGGGCCCTTTGCCGAATCCTCACCACCCGCAGTGTCACGACATGGAACGTTGAAAAAGGGCTATCATCAGGGGGGCATGGAGCCCACGAGAGCTTTGGAATCATGATTCAGCCATGAATGCAGAACCCAGGGCTAGTAGCTAATCATGCAGAGGTTTGCCGGGGCTTGACAAAGTTGGGTAACTAGTTAACTAACTATACGAAAGCCAAGCGCTGCATATCCATTTTTCTAGAAGGCTAAAAAAGTTGCCCCAAAGAGCTGAATTGGCATCCTGAGGAATGACTCTAGAGAGTCTGTTTTGCATGCCCAATGCATCTCTTATTGGTGGACATTGCTCGTAATTAGTTGAAACGGCACGGAATGCCGATCCCTGTGCCTGATTTGAATACCCCTCAAAGGGGAATATGACAGCTGTTGGCTTAATTCTCCCGTTTTAGCTGAGGAGTTTTATACTGAACCCGTGTGAAGTGTTGCTGGGCGTCCTTCACTCACCCGCGGCAAGAACTATAATAATGCAACACATATTAGACACGGCTGGTCCTCTTCGTCGATAATTTAGATATTTATCTGCCAGCCCGCCATGCCCTCCACTGTTCGTTGACGATTGACACAGTCTCTGAACCCTGCCCGGCGCAAAGCCGTTCTAGCTTTCCCCTGTCCAGCTATCCAGCTACACGGCTGAACAGCTACGCAGATATTCAGATATCTAGCTATACAACCGTCAAAAAAAAAAAAAAATTAAAAATTAAAAAATAAAATTAAAAATAAAATTGAAATTAAAAATAAAAATAAAAATAAAAATAAAAAATAAAAAATAAAGCCAATAAAACTTAATATTCTACAATATAGCTTTCAATCGCAAGTCTTCCCGTCCATCAAATGAGCAATCATGGAGAAGCAAGCAGCCATGTCGGACTCCGACGTCCCGGAAACTACTCCATATCCGCCGGATACGGTGGATATGCTGCCTGAAGATCAGAAGAAGCTTGACAGGAAAATTTTGCTTAAGCTCGATCTCATCCTCGTCCCGATGATGGGGATGTTATATCTTCTTGCGTTTCTCGACAGGGCTAATATTGGCAACGCGCGAGTGGTATGTATTAATTGATGATGTCAAAACCAAAACGTCCAATTTCAATCCTTATTAGAGTTTATGATACGAAATGGACCTGACGGGATTTCTACATGCATAGGCTGGTCTGCAAAAGGATCTTGGTATCAATGATACTCAATATCAAACAGGTGAGAGAATCCTTGTTCGAAATCTTTGAAAGTAAACTTTTTAACAGTCACAGCTATCACGGTGACCTATGTCCCTTATATCGTCGCGGAACTGCCATCCAATCTCGTCATCAAAAAGATCGGGCCCCGTATCCTGCTACCGGCTCTGTGCCTCTTCTGGGGAATCGTCACTACGCTTCAATCGCAAGTTAGCAACTACTCCGGTCTCCTTGCCGCACGCTTCTTCCTGGGTCTTCTTGAGGGGGGCCTCTTCCCCGGCATCGTCCTCTATCTGTCCTCCTTCTACCGCCGCCATGAACTCCAGGTGCGCGTCGGCCTCTTCTTCTCCGCCGCAGCACTCAGCGGCGCATTCTCCGGTCTCCTCGCCGCCGCAATCCAGAACATGGAAGGCGTCGGCGGGCTCCGTGGCTGGCAATGGATTTTCTGCCTAGAGGGCCTCTTCACCGTCGTGTTCGGGGTCTTCTCCTTCTTCGTCCTCCCCAACAACCCCAGCCAGGTCTCCTTTTTCACGCCGGAGGAAGTCGAATACTGCACCCGCCGTCTAGCCTTCGACACCAACCTCCCCGACACAGAAACAGTCAGCACAAAACGCGTCCTCTCCGTCTTCAAAGACCCACACGTCCTCAACCTCTGCGCCATCCTCTTCTGCAACGGCGCCAACCTCTTCGGCCTCGCCTACTTCACCCCCTCCATCGTCCAAGCCCTCGGCTACAGCCCTATAAGGACCCAACTGCTCACCGTTCCCCTCTTCGCCTGCGCCTTCGCCGCAACCATGACGGCCGCCTACTTCGCAGATCGCTTCAAACAACGTGGCGCCGCGGCCATCTGCACCAGCATCCTCTCCATGGTCGGGGCCGCCATGTCTCTCCACGTCCGCAGCATTGGCGGCAGATACACCTCTCTCTTCCTGCTGATTACAGGCGTCTACTCCACAGCCCCGAGTTTAATCAGCTGGGTGCCGAACAACAGCTCTGGCCACGTACGGCGGGCAACGGCCATCGCGCTTGGGTTCGTCAGCACCAATTCGGGAGGTATTGTGAGCACGTGGATCTACCCGCGCAAAGACGGGCCGTATTACATTTTCGCGGCCAGGTTTAATTTGGCATTGATTGTTATTACGATTGCGCTGTGTGGGGTTCAAATGTGGTGGCTGAGGAGAATGAATGGGAAGAAGATACAGGATCCGGACCGGATTCTGGGGAATGTCTTGGGAATGGGGTTGGAGGCTGAGCTGGATAGGTTGGGAGATCGGCATCCGGAGTTTGTGTATACGTACTAAGCATAGGGTTTGGTGTGAAATTGCTCCCTGTGGGTGGAGTGGGTGGAGCGGCTGGTGTTTTGGGGGGGGGGGGGAAAGGGGGTGGCGTCGGGGGGCTGAATGGATCAATGGATGAAGGGCGAGTGGCTGTTTCTGTTAACTATATAAAGTAATTCCTCTATAATAATCTGGATTCCGGCACCAACGAATATGATTCCATACGATTTTCTTGCCCTTCTCCTTCTCAAGCACTGTCGCTCCGTGTGCTATGCGCGTGTTCCCCCTTCGCTTCCCCAATGATCCATAAATCCCATCGTAACAGTTTAGTCCCTACCAACAATGCACAGATGTTACCCCTCTACACACCACCACACCACACCACAAACCATAATCCCAACCCCCATACAGCTAAAAGGGATGAAAATAAGTACCCTCGGTCCCGAAGTGGAGAGCTTTCATCTATCTGCGCCTTTCTAGCACAGTTCTAGTACATACGACCACAGGGAGTGGAAAACAGGGCTTCCCGTCCGCTCAGCCGTACTTAAGCCACTCGCCGGCCGGTTAGTAGTTGGGTGGGTGACCACCAGCGAATCCCGGCTGTCGTATGTTTTTTTATTTGAATTCCCCCAAGGGATTGTATGTAGTCAACGATAAGAGAAAAACGCAGGTAACACGTCTAGGGAAACAATTCCGTCTTGACATATTCCCTTTTAAGGCTGCTAGTACACTATCCTGTTATCCAATCTCACATCTCACGGCCAACGCGAATCCCCGGCCCTCTGGCTATTACTCTTCTTGGGCTCTCAATTGATTTCTTACTAGATTTCATCGTAGCTATTTTACAAAGAATACAGATAGATAAATACAGGCCCTCTTCAATAGATGAGATAAAAAGGTAAAATAGTACATATATAGTGATTGATATTCTACTATAATAGAAATCACAACAAAACCCAAGTTAACTTCAAGCAGGAAGAGAAGTGAAGAAAAGAAGCAAAGAAGAAGAAAACATAAAACAAAACATAAAAGAGAAACATATAATATCACAATCTGAAAAAGAAGTGAAAAGAAAAATACTAAGGAAAATCATGGTTTCATCCATCCATCCATCCTCCTGAAAAAAAATAACAATAAAGGGGAAAAAGAAGAAGAAAGCGACGAAGACCAAAAACAGAAAAGGGAAAAAAAAAAACGCTTCAGTCCAATTTACCCCTTTATCCCAGCTATAATAAATTAGAAGTCCCTTCTTGCTTGCATGCTCACATAAAACAATACATAAAGAGAAATGAAGAGGGAAGAAAAAAGAAGAAAAAAAGAGGTTGAAAAGAAGAATCAAACAAGGGATAATGGTAAAACAAACACATCAGAAAAAGGCAGAATAAGTGAAGAGAAGAGAAGAGAAGATAACTGAGAAGAAATGAAATGAAAAAGTGCATGACAAGAACTATGACATAGCATAGAATAGAAGGAACAAAAATAATGAATGAGAGGAGAAACAACAAAAACAGAGCCACTGCACACATATGACAAAAGGGGGGAAAAGAGGCAGTGAATGGTGGGTTAGGGAAGGTCCAATGTTGTCTTCTTGTACCTACCGGGCCTGCCTGTAGATTGATGATAGCAAAGGTTTGACAGAGAATGAGAAAAGGGAGATGGGGGGGGGGGATATATATAATATATATAAAGGACATTAAGAAAGTGTAGAAATGAGAAATATGAGATGGGATGGCTTGGAAAAGTTTTGAGTTTCAGTCAGAAGAAATAAGAATAAAGATCCATGATGCAAATTATGATAAACCCAAAACAAGAAGAACAGGGCAAAATAGGGGGTGGCGGTGGTTAATGAGAAAAAGCAAGGAGATATTCAAACGAACATAGTAAAGCAATGAACAATATATACCCATACCCATACCCACACCCGTCTACCCGGGACACGAAAACAGAATCACTCGATGTCGCCATTCACTTTGTCAGAGTCGGTTGGATTTTGATGCCTATGGTGTCAACCCTCCCCAGCACTAACGCCAGCGACAAGACTCCCCAGATCGACAGTCCCATTCCCATTTCCATTCTCAAACGGCAGCAGACCATGGTAATCACCCTCATGCACAGGCGAATGCCCCCGCACATGTCCACTCTCGTTCTCATTCTCATCAATATCAATCTCAATATCATGATGATCATCATGCTGCTCATGATCCTGCAAACCTTGAAACGCAAGCACGAAGCTATCATCGTCAATCGGCGGCGAATGCTGACCAGCATCATGACCATGCATAGGTAGATTCATACCCACGCCCATCCCCATCCTGCCCATATTCAACCCCATCCCTCCCCCCATTCCCAGATCCATATGGGCATTAAGCTTGTGCTTCGCATATATCTCGCTCAGCATAATACTTTCCTTATCACCGTCACCTCTGACAACATTTGCCCCATCACTACCAACATTCCCTTCTACACTGTCAGGAAAACCACCCATGTGCTCCGCACTCAATGACAACGAAAACATCTCCTCATCCACATCAGCGCCCATGCCAGTACCATGAAGCGTCGAAAGTGGTGGCGACGCATTAGCAATCATCGGTTCCACCTGGCTAACATTTACATAAGGGTGGGACAGTGGCGATGTAGAGGGTCGTAGTAGTCCTGGCTGCTGGTCGAGCATGGGTCCGGTGGTGGGAGATGGTTGGGACAGGAAAGGGAGGCCGTATGGGGTTCCGAGATGTTGCGGCTGGGATTGAGATTGTTGATGTTGTTGAGATTGCTGATTTTGAGCCTGTGGAGCGTTCGTCGGAAAGAATTGGGGATTAGCGAATTCCGACGAGGTGTCTGTTGTAGTTGTAGCTGTAGTGGTGGTGGATGTCGTTGCTACGGTAGTTGCGGACATGGGGGGCTGAGGGAATGCTCTAAAATCCACAGCATAGCTGGCCGAGGTGTCGATGAGTAGGTCATTATTTGCAATATGGTTATGGGGGATGCGGGATTGTGGGATGGGTATGGGGGCGAAGATATTTGGGTCCGGTTGGAACTGGGTGGATGGGTGTTGGATGTGGAAGGACGGTATGGGCGTCATGGAGGCAAAATCCATAAGTGCAGGGACGGAACGGCTCCGCTGTCTCTTGTGCCCGTGTGCACGACCAGGATGTAAGTTCATGCCGAAGTGGTTATTACTATTATGGTTCTCTTGGTGGTACATGGATGAAGTGGGCCTGACAAGCTGGTTTGGCTGGGATGCCGGTCTGTGAAGGAGGTGGGGGGAGACGGGTGCGGAGACGGCATAGCCATTGAAATCGTATTGCACCAGCCGGTTCTGGAAGGATTCAAGGGAAACTAGGTTGGCAAGCTGGATGCTGAGTGTCTTTGGGGCACCGCCCAAATAGTGGACCAGTGATTTTGTAGCCTGTTGATTCTCTGTGAAGTCCCTGCATTGGTAAAAGCCGCCGTTATTTTGCAAATCCATGTAGAAATTTGGTGGGCGGTTTAGTTCGATGACCAATCCTCTAGTTCTCGGGCCGGTACCATCGGGACCGGGGACGGTATCACCTGACTCCAAAACGATATTCTTTATAAAAGCGAACGGGTATTCGATCTTATATCCAGCAGAGTCATTGTGGATATAATACGTGACGATACCTTTTGCCGGGCAGTAAAAGATTATTAGATCCATGGCAGTTTGGGCAACACGGCACCATGATCCAATTCTCAGAGAACCGCACTCAAGGTGATGGATTACTATTTTAAGATGTCAGTTTAGTCTACCCACCCACATTTGATTTGAGAAACTGGCGACTGCCTACCCGTTTTACCGGAAGACGCAGACTGGTGCATCTCGGTACCATATCCCCTATTGAATAGATTGCGGGCATCGGATTTCGATGGGTCAAAATGAAGGGCAAGATATTGGCGCATTGACTCGGGAATTGCATCACAGTCTTCACCGGATTCAATACCCTTTTTGGCAATCATCTTGATCTTGGCTCGTCTGTATGTAGTTAGTGATGCCTCTCCAAAAATATTCATAGATAGGGGTGTGTATCGATCAAAATATATAAGAGTATGCCTGAGCGAACACACCTATTCTGAAACCAAATCTGCACGGATCGTTCAGTCATATTTATTTCCTCCGCAATTCTCTCACGTACAGCAGCAGTGGGGGTGGGGTTCTTATTAAACTCCATTTCGAGAGTAGCGAGTTGATCCTGGGTTGCGCGCTGCCTTTTTTGGTTCTTCTGCTGCTGGGTCAAGGTGCTTTTCCTTGGAGGGCGACGGAAAACGCGATTCTGATGCACGGAAGATGTTATGGGGGCATTTGCGGAGGATAAAGGGTTCGATGTCATTGTGGTTGTATTGCTTGGTGTCATGGAAGTCGAGTTGCTATTTGATAGGGTGGTGGCCGTGGAATTAGGCACAGGCTCTGTAGTCGAAGAAGCCATTATTTATGTCAAAGAATGAATATTGGAACGAGCGACACGATGCGATGCGACTAAATTGGAGTTGTTGAAAAAAAATATCCGAGTGGATTGCGCCGCCTGGGAAATGGGGGACTGGAGGTGTGGAATAAATCCTGTCGCGAGCCGGTCGACAGGTGGGAATAGTCGTCAGTTCGTATAATTTATCGAGACGTCAAGCTCGAATCGGAATGTAGGCAAGGCAAAGGCAAGGTAGGTTAAGGTAAAAATGAGCGGATATATCCAGCAGAAGAGGAGGCTAGAGGGAGGAACAACAGAAACGAAATGAAAAATCAACTGATAAAGTGGAAAGAAAAAGTAGAGATGGAGAATAGAACAAGTATAGATGATAAATAAAATGGTGGCTCTTTCTCCCCTTTATAAAAGAAAAAAGGATAGAATTTCCCCCCGCACTCCGCGATGAGGCAAGGAGGGGGAGGCAGAGAGCGTAGAATATATAATAAGGTGTGTTTGGCGCCCAATAAATCAACCAGACAACCCCAGAGTCTGTCGACAGGTCGATGGTGTTATCCTCTCTCAGGGCTGATTATCCTGTATGATATTATCGATGAGAGATCGGATGATGGTGATGGTATTGATGGTTGAGTCGCCAAGAAAAGAATGAATGGTATGTGAAAAGAGAGGCTGAGCCAAGGCAGCGAAAAAGAAGGAGTATATGCCTAAAGTCGAGCGTGTCTCTCTCTCTCTCTCTCTCTAGCTCTTTTCTACCAACGTATATCTATATATACGAGTCGAGTCAAGAGGAGATGACGACGAGATGGGCTGTAGTGAAGGGGGCGGCAGGTGGGCCGGGGGGATGTTCGTTGGACGATACGAAAAAAGAGTATGGAAAAATGTGAGGTAAGAATAGATAATAAAAAAGAGGGTTATTGGCAAGCCGTAAATGAGTGAACGGACTTAACCAGGAATAGCTGAGAGACAAAAGAATGAAAATACAAGGAAAGAAAGAAAGAAAAAGGATGACCAGTATAGGATCTGGGGAGGAGGAAGAGAAGAGAGAGGATGAAGAGGGAAGAAGCAGAGGAAGAGGAGAGGAGGAGGCTGAAAAAAGGTTGTTGGTTGGAAGAGCAGCCAGGAACTAGACAACCCACTGCGAGACAAACCACACCAAACCGGCGGGCCTTACCAGACTCTCTCCAGACTCAACCAGACTCCCCAAGACGCACCAAGACTCCATCCAAACATCACGCAACCAGGATACAAACACCTTGCCCGTTCCAAACTAGTGTTTCAAGAAACCATCCCCCAATCCAGCCTAGTTTTCAGGGGCATCAGGCTGTTGATTGGCTATCCCAATCAAGATGTGGGGACGAACAGTGGATCCCTGGAACCTTGCCCTGATTGCCCAAACCAAAGCCTCAAGAGCCCACGCCGACTCCAAGGAAGGAGATGCGCAGGGCCTGCGTCGCCCAAGCAGGCCAGGTGGCGTGGACAAACATCCATGTGTCGTCTCCTAGAGGGGGACCTCGGAGGTCGGTCGTTCTGTAAGCGGGTAGGGCGGATCCCAGCGTCTGGTTGGCTGCGAACAGGCAGAGACATAAGGCACCTACTGAGCATCCCAGCCATGATCCCAATCATTTATCTCTTCCCATCCGAACTCTTTTTGCATATATACTATTATGTATGCTGCAAAAATACGCCCAGGAACCGGGAGACCTTACTGCAAACGAGCTGGTTTCGGAGGTGCCAGTACTTGCCTAGTTCTCTTCTTTCGATATCGGATGCAGGCAGACACAGTACATTTACAGATTCAGACACACTTACATGTACTCCGTACAAGAGAGAAAGGGAAACGGAAAAGGAGAACGTTCGTATATCGATGTCGTGTCACCAAATAATGAACCGTCCCATCCATTTGGCATATAAAGGACGGAGTTATCAGGTTAGCTCAAGTTAGGTTTAGGGGGCGAAGACCGAAAGAACGAACGAACGATCGATCTATTTCACTCTCTACCGACTACATTTATTGTAACCATCCATTGGGCCTGATAGTTAACTATTTGGCCATGCCAGCTGCGACTTTATTGCCATCAAATCCCAGTCCACGGAACCAACCATTATCCGTTGTCAGCCTCTAACTGAGTTGCCTATATTTAACTATTCCTTTTTTAAACTTTTGACTTTGACAACACATCCTGGACACACGAGCAGACACCACGCTCAAATGGCGTAACGTTCTTAAAAGGCGCAAAGGACGTAAACATTGACACCGGGGTGGCAAAGAAAAGAAGGAACGAGGAGATAAAGCCTCTGGGTTACTGAGTGGCTCTATTAAAAGATACAAATAACACTCACTCTGTGGTACTGTGGTACTGTGGTACTGCACATCATCTCCACGCACTTTGGCTTACATTTAGCTGCTCGTTTAGATATCTGCGGCATGTCTGACCTTTGGGAAAAGATGAGAAAATCGAACGTACACCACGTACAGTACAACGTACTCAGTACAGTAACGAAGATATGTAACTGAGTGCCTTTAGTCCCTTTCGCAACAATGCATCGCAACGTTGCGGAGAATTGATGGTAATAGGGCAGTTATGTAACAAGGCACTGATCTAGCCACATATAAGCTGTGCCCTAGCTCTTCTATCTCCAATCCCTTCTGTACTACTTCTTTGCCAGAACATGTAACTACGTAACCCCCCATTCCATCGCTCCAGTTATTAGTTGAAGATATGTCTTATCTTTAACTCCTATGGACAGTACAGAACACGGATTATACTTTTCTCTGTTCCCTCCCCCTACCCTGCAATCCGACAACGGGGTGACATCCATAAATCTTCTAGTTTCCCATGGATGTAGTAGCCCTGTCGTCTTGTGTCGTGTCGGTGTCTTTGACTCGCTGACATCTTACATACATCTGACATCCCTAACTTCGCATTGCTTTTTTCTCCTTTCTTTTCTTGTCCTTTTCCTTTTCCTTTTTTTTTTTAAATTTTTATTTTATAAAAGATAGCTAACTACTTCTATGTCCTGCTCTCATTTGCCATAATTATTCTATGATCAGTGAAATATTAAATACTATCGTCTCTTCGCTAAGCCTAGTTCCGCACAAAAACATAAACGCCGTGTAATACGCGATAACTTCAACTCGCACACCAATAGCGACTCCGTGGTTAGCCTGCTAAACTTAACTAACGTTCGCTTAGGGTTTTGGTTTCAAGCTCCTCGATAGTTCCGCATGAACTATATGTCTCCTTCGCATAACAGTCATGATTCACTTTTGACGTGGTGTTTACCACCCTGGTTAGCTATTGCATTGAATAAATAATACTGAATATAGGAAACACCAAATATTTCCATTCGTCCCCAATCTCCCCTCCCCATCTCGTAATACCGGCAAATGGCCATAACCCCCCCCCATCCTTTCAGGGGTAGGTAGGGCCTCCAATCGTCCCCATCAGAGCTGGGCCTCAGGATCCACCTCCGCACGCGCACTTCAACACTCATTTTTCCCCTTTTCAGAGAAGGTAAAAGCGATTTCGGCCCGTCTGTTTTAAGATCTCGCGGCCCCATGCCATGGAGAAAGCTTTTACATGCACATATACGGCGTGGGTGGGCATGCCCATACAAGTCATTTCATAAACGTGCGGCCTCTTCTTCCGAAGTGCATTCTTGCGCCAGATGAGACGCAGTAATGCGGTGCTACGGTGCGCTACGGGATGCGGGATACGGGGTGCGGGATAGTAGTGTGGTAGGTAGGCAGGGAGTTTGAAAGAAAACGCAGGTAACTAGTTCCTAAATACCGAGGAACAGGAATGAAAATAAAAGTGAAACATCTGAGTGGGAGGGAAACGGGTGCAAACTGGTACTCTTCTTTTTTTTTTTTTCACTTCGCCTCCTTGGAGATTTATGAGATCATGGGTTATGCCTAACTGTATCATGGATTCTCGTTGATATGATCTGTATCACCTCACAAAACAATCAGAGATTCTATCACACACACACACTCTCTCTCTTCAGCCACACATCGAGAGAACTAGTTACCTCCATCCCCCTGTTGAACGAGTATCCAGTTTGTTCAGACGAAACAAAGAAATCAGGTTCATCATGCACATGCACAGCATCACCAATACCAGCATACGGACTCGACTGATTCATCATATTGCGTGTCTGCACGTGTTTGTATCTGAACCTATGTCCGTGTTCGTGTCCATCTCCCGTGGAGGCGTTGCTGTATCCAGGTTCATCTGATGGCGTGGTATGAAACCCCTTGCATGCAATGCTACGACATAACATGCTATGACTTGACTATTCTCAACTCGGTTCCCAGACGTTGGGCCTGATGCTATGGCACAGCTGCTGCTGCTTGATTCCATTTCCTGTGAAAACTAGCTCCTACAGCCATTGTAAGAGCTACATTTACAGGTACAACAGTCTAGTTATTGCTTGTACACCTCATCATCATGATGTGGCCGCTGGCTTCTAGTTCCCGGATGTTGTTAATTCCTGCTGCAGCGCATGTCGTTTTCGGAGCATGACACATAACTACCTGATATCCACGTCAAAGAGAAATCCAGCTCTTGAAGGACCATGTGCAATGACTACTTTATATCATGCAGAGCAACACATGGCATTGTCGCTGTTTTCTTTGACCTTAGCAAAATCAAAAGATTTCTCCGTGGGTTCTCTTCGTATTCCGATCGATGATCGCTTCGTCCTAAGTACGTAAACAGGCGTATGGATATAGAAAGCGGTTTGAGCTCTTTGGCAGGGTGTTTGTTAACTACAAAGGTCATCATTCGATAAGCGTCAATAGGCGTCCAAAGGCTTCCCCATATAACTAATTAACATCCCTAGAAACCTCTGTTGGGGTATTGCCTGCTGCATTTGAAAGCAGCCGTCCCTTCTCGAAATCCTCTACCTGCGGGCCAGGCCTCTAAGAGTTTTACCTCAAGATAATATCGCACAAGCGCGGGTGGCGGCAAAACTTTCACTCCCCTTTTTTCACTCATATCAAAAGCTCGTTGAAAATCACAACCAACAAAGTTCCTGATACTCCAAGTAACCAGATAACAATACTTTCAAGCATCATCCTAAGCTGCGAGGCAGACTTACGACAAACTGCGTGATAATGGGTTAATATGTCTGGATGCTTCGCAACCCGACAAGAAGAAATTAATCGCAGGAATAGATAATTCCGCATGGTCCAGTACTCCCACAATCAGTGGCGTTTCAGGTGCCTCAGCTCACCAACATCCAGTAGGATTATCGGTAAATATCTTCCATATTCTAACTTCGGAGACTTTGGACAGCACACTCGCTCGACTGCGTTCAGTTGGCTCGAGATCCACAACAGGGGGTTGGAAATGCTATTTCTAATATAAATAGTTTCTCGTACTTCCGAGACGTTGTTCACAAGCTCAGTCACGATCGATTGGGTTTCAAAGACACCAAGCATCACAGGAGTGGGTAACTCCTCACAGAGCGGCTGAATTTCAAAATACCCCACCTCATTTCTAGTTTTGCCCTCCGGGAAGCGATTTGCTAGCTCCATTCTAGCATATAGACTTGAAAAGCGGGACTTAAATTCAACCCTAATCCCTTGATCGCATAGAAATAAGTAACAACACGGTACTAGAGGGTTGTGGTGAGAATGATCCTGACGAACAACTGGAACTCCACCGAGGTTGGTTAAGTGAACTTTGTTGCCCCCAAAGCAAAGAGCCGGGAATACGTTGGATGCACATTTTTATGCGGTTGCGTCGCAGAGGCTGTGTCTGGGATGAAAGAAATGTATGGAGAAACTCCTACATGATGTTCGTTGCCAGCTATATCAAATTGGGGTTTATGAATACAGTAGGAGGAATCAATTGCTTCGGTACAATGTCGGAGACCGAGGAATGGAAATCATAGTCTAGCAAATTGCGACTAGCAGAACAAACAAGACGCGAGCTGCTATCTGCAAAATGATGAGAAAACAGGCTATGGCTTATGTTAGAAACCGGATTAACTAGTATAGTATACGTGATCGAGAAAATGACATACCTTGCTTGGTGTATATAGCTGGTGTAGTTGGTGTCATTTTGCCTCTTCCAAAAGTCGCACACAAATATGGTTCTCATCGAATATCATCCACTGTCTGAATACACATTCTCTAGTATGTTCTGTAGACATCCAGAAAACCCAAAAATAGACATACAACCGTATACTTACAAGAATACAAACTTCATACGTGGGCTAGACTCCGTCTTCCCACCCCTTCGGCACCGCAGGCGCAACGCCTCTCCGTCTCAGATACCGCTCTAACCTCACCTCCAGTTTCGCCAACGTCCCTCTAAAATCCATACCCTCCTTGCCTTCATCCCCACCCTCAACACCAACAGTCACCCCCTTCTTCGTCCAAATGCTCCACGATCCCATGAGACCAGCCATAATCACATCAGTGCCAAGACGGTCACCAACTACTGCAATCTCGTCAGGAGAGGATACGACGTTTTGGGCACGAAGGTGTGCAAGTATGGCAGGGTAGGAAAATGGCTTCTTTAGCGGGTGACACTTTGGCGGCGTCTTGGAACTTTCATTAGATCGAACTGCTCCCACAGGTACACCAGATCTAAAAACTGGAATTCTAAGATGGGATAAAATTGATTCCAAATGCCTTGCTTCCTCTTCATAAAGGGAGTTGCTTGGATTGCTGCCCGCCGTGTTGGAGACAATTAGAATGCCATAAGGGTTCCTGTCCATGTTGAAGGGAGAGGAAGGGTTGGTGCGGAGCTTCTTGAGCTTTTCCAAGTAGGTGGGTGGAATTATGAGAGACTCTGGAGGCGTGAGCGTGTTGTCTTTGTCGATAACGAGCGCGTGGATTTTAGGTGGGGAATCATGCCGATTCGCATCGTTTGTAGGGGTGGAGAAGTATGAGGAGGGAGCAAGGTGAGCGCCCAGGTTTTCCTCTGGGAGTTGGAGGAAGGTGGGGATTGTGAGGTTTGGAACGAAGAGGGATGGGTTGCGGAATAACGTGGATATGGCAAGATTGAATGCCGGAAGGTTGGGATTGAGTGGACGCGCCATTGCTGATTGTTTTGCTCTCTTACTAGGAGTATTTTGCAAGAGAGTGGAAATGTAGAGTGATTAGAAGTAGGAAGATAACATTAAGTAGATGGATTGGTGCCCATGATACTTAAGTGAAAGAAGAAATAAAGAAAGAGAATTAGTCCAAACTAATTCCTTATGGATTGGATGTCGCTATAGGACAGATCTCTGTATGTGGTACGCAATATGTTGTTATTGGTGATGGTGTTTGCTCAAGTGTTGTTACGTGAACTGCCGAACCTTGGAAGTGAAGGATCAAAGATGGTTAATTCTGCCCGTTGCTAACTAACTAGGCTAAATCCCAGGAAGCGGTGTCTTTGATCCAGAGTTAGTTCTTCTGCTTGACGACAATCCAACCTCACAACTATCATGACCTGCGACTGACCCAAAGAATAATATCTGGACAGCTCTTATCGACTTATCCTAGGATATATGCTTGTTTATTTGATTGCACATTCTGCTTACTGAGCTTGGCGCATTGTCGTTTTCAAGATGGGCAAATTAACGAGTACGATTGGTATACCCATCAAGCTCCTCAACGAGGCGCAAGTGAGTGCCGCTTCCAGCCACGCACATTCCTTTTTCAATATCCTGCCTCTTGGTCGATATCCGAGAAGATCATCTGCTCTATTATTGCGCTCAATATCCCGCATTTGAAGCGATTGCCTGCTTACCACTCCTTGCGCGCATAGGGACATGTTGTTACGCTAGAGATCACTTCGGGACAGGTCTACAGAGGAAAGCTACTTGAAGGTGCGCGCGATTATGTCCTATTTTATACCCTTTATTTTCCCTCGGTTTATGAATATTGTGATGGGGGAAAGCTGTGGCCCACACATTGTGGATTAGTTTGTTAACTCCAGTTACGTGACCACAGCCGAAGATAATATGAACGTTCAACTCAAAGACATTACTGTTACAGCTCGTGACGGCCGTGTTTCGCATCTCGACCAGGTCTATATTCGGGGAAGCCATGTGAGATTCTTCATTGTACCAGATATGCTAAGGTATGGTATCTAAACAGCTTCCTTCCTTTGTTGACCACTCTGATAATCCTCCATTCCCTTCATATTTGGACGGCTAGCTATTTTATTCTCAAATTCAGCCAGCTCCATTTTGGAAATCATCACTAATTATTCTTCCACTGTTAGAAACGCACCCATGTTCCGGTCGAGAGGTCAACGTGGGAGAGGTGTCGGTTTGGCCCGAGGCAGAGCCACTGTCAACCGGGCTCGGGGACAACGGAGAGGTTAAGATATACTCGTTTCCGTGATATTGGATGCTTTGGAGTTTACTTTATTTTTATTTTCTTACGGATAAATCAAAACTTGCACACTTGTGATTTTTCAGATATAGCACGACTTCGACCACTGGAATACAGGCGCCTTGTTTCTGAAGACTTCTTCGTCATGTCCTCTATCTTGCCAGAATGGAGAATTACTGACAAGTAAGCCGAAACGAATCTGACGGAATTGGACCCCAATATACGGAGTAGACGTTTGTTAGCTGGTGAAAAAGTGGCGGGAATTGTTTGCTCACCAGGCCCTTAAAAGAGGGAATAATGTTCTTCAACTAGCCGCTAGCTTAAATTGAAGAGCTCAGCATAAATATGCTATTCCTCTTTTGTTCTTGAAGCTTGATAAGAAGGTTGTAGTGCTGTAGAAATTTTCCCGAATGAATGAGGGCTCATCATCCTTTGGAGTATCTCCGAAATCCAGCCCTGCAAGAAGTGGGATGACGACAGGGTTTTTCATACGACTGAACTGGAGACAATATTAAACTTAAAGTTACTTCATACTTGTATGGATATAAAATTCAATTAATCTCTAAGCTGGCATCTAGAACCCCCTTCGGTATACAATCAGTACCCTTTCCCAGAGCGAATTCTACGGGCATGGGAATATATGGTTGTTACTTTAGTTAACAGCTTCCCGCAATCCTGATCCCCCGTCCTAACCACCTTTTCTTAATCTCCCATACATCTATATAAACTCACCATGTCATCTCCGCGACAGCTCGGGAAGAAATCCTCCGATAGGACAACAACACCCCCCCGCATCTCAAGCCCGCGCCGCCTCCTAATTCTAACTCCCGCACCGCAATCCCACTCCATCATCCCTCCGTTTCTTCACAGCCTAACCGGAGCTGCTGTAACCCATGCGCCGCAAGCTACGAACGTCGCCCAGCTAGATGGGAAAGCAGGTGAGCTATTAAATGAGTTCCTATTAAATCAATATATGGATTCTCTCTCCCCATTAGATTATCTGAACTCTCTAATCATGTTTCTCTTGCCCTCCCCCTAAATTAGACCCCGCCACATCGGCGGGAGTATCATCCACGTTCGCTGGATACACTACACATTCTCCGCTACAGATAGCGACAAAATATTACACGGCAGATATACCAATATGGGTCGACGAGCTGCCCTTACCTCCTATATCCACGTCATCCCTCCCGCAATCGCAGTCTACGACCGAAGAATCTATACCTCCACTGACAGAACCCCAGCTTCCCTTACACAACGGTTCCTTAACCTGGAAATCTGAATTCCTTTCTGATGAAGCCCGTGAGGTACGGGATGTCATTGGGGCTATTATTGTCTGCATAGAAAGACCAGCCATGATACAACCAGTTCCTCTCCCCAATGGTGGCCCTGACATTTCTCAAGCTATGGAAAACAGGAATATGTGCGTACGGTATCTTAAAGAGCTGTTGAGCGCTGTTGCGGAGGTCAGGAATCAGATTGAAGAGGAACGGGGAGGAGCTGGAGAAGTTCCTGGGTTAGTTGTATTGGTGGGGAAGCTTGAAGGAGGTAAAAAGGGTGAGGGAAAGGGTAAGAGTGGTGCAGAAGGGCTCGATAGTTTGGGGAGCGGTGACTATGGTGATGCACAAGAACAGATTATGGTATTTAGTACTAGGTGGTGGGAAGAACAGATGTCTGAAATGGGCCATTTTGAATTAGAAGTTGTGACTTGGGATCCAAAAGAGGAGGAGACGAAGGAGAAGAGGAATGTGTTTGGAGGTTGGTATTTTCACCTATTTATCTGTCATACCCTTCTTGCATTTTTCTATGCAATCTCCCTGCTGAATCCCGAATCTATTTGCAGAACTCGAAGGCATGGCACGAATAAGGGAAGTCTTACACACGAATGAGTGGACCTCAAGTAACCATGGAGACCTCTCTGCGAACTTCCTACTCGAGTCCGACGAAGAAAGTGGTTTTGATAAGGAAGTTAGTGAACTAGAACGTGAAATGTTTGGCCTGCGGTTGGCGATTGAAAAAGGGTGTGATTACAACGGTGATAATGAAGGGGAAGGGGGCATTCGCAACGACAGCGATGTAGATGAACTTCATGTTGAAAACATGGACGGGTTGATGTTGAGGATGCAGGCTATTAAAGGTGAGGATGTCCCTTCTAATTTTCTTACTCAATATGGTATCAGCATCGAGGCTCGGAGTTTACTTGTTTTCTGTCCTGCCATTCCCACGACTGACTCTCATCTTCTTCACATGCGACTAATAAATCGTATATATAGATATGGCTGCGGAATTACCAGAAGCAGAAAGAAAGGCGTTTGCTGTTAAAGCTATCAATGATATTATGAAAGATATGTGAAATGACAAAAGAAATAATGGAAGAAGAAAAAAACCAAAAGAATTGTCACAAGGGGTGAAAAGAGTAGTCCCCCCCAAAAAATACTTCCCTATCACATCTATGAAAACTGCATTAACATACATATGTCATTACATATATTCTATATATATTCTAGTACAGTCTCTAATATCTATCAATCCGCCCGCTTGGCGGCTCTCATCACCTTTCTTCTCTGAGACATCATATGCGTATACAAAATGTACGAACCTATATGATAAAAATAAAAGGTGTTAATGAGAAACACACCCGGCACAAGCAAAACCAGCGCTATGAATCATACCAGGAATGTAGATAACCAAAGTTGAAATAAAAAACCAGGCCAAAGCAGGATGGATATCCCCTGCCGGCGTAATGGCTTTGTAAATCAAGCAGCACTCGCTCGAGATCCCGATAGGATAGAGGATGAAGAAGGTATTATATCTTTCACAAATCCCACGTTAGCTACGAAAAACATAATGAATAAATCAATATAGGAACGGCTCCTATTCCCTCTCAAATCACTGGGACACTGCAGTTAATCCATTCTCCACCAGGGGAATTACTGATGGTGGGAGGAAAAAACAACAAATAAGAAATATACCTCAACCAAATCACCCACCGCGGCACCGCAGCACCGCAAACCTGCAATGTAAAAAATCCATATCGAATACACTCCGTAACCCCCCAAGCAGCCACACAGCCAACAAACGCCCAATCACCCAATTTCGTCACATCATGAGCACCAGCAGCATTACCAGCACCCACAATCCCCTTCTCCCGCCCAATCCTCTCTACGGAGAAAAGATACAAGACGCCCCACACAACCAGGATACGACTGGCCACCTGCATCGCGGTCGTGACGACAGAGGCGCGCACGAGTTTCGCCGCTGAGTGCAGGATTTCCAGAAGCGCGAGGGACTGGGTGAAGAGGAGGAGGGGGAAAAGGGTATCAAATGTATGCGCTACATTGTTAGCTGGGGTGAGAAGGGTGAGGAGGGAGATTAGGCGGACGGTTATCGTGGCCCATAGAGCGAAGGAGAGGGCATTGTAGAGGAACAGATATGCGGCGGTGGGTTTTGAGACTGGTTTGCTGGGGCGCGTGCTGCTGCTGCTGTTGCTCCCTGGGTTCTTCGAGATCGTCATCTTTGACGTTCCCGATAAAATGTCTTTTTGCTCTTTCTACAGAGGGTGTTTCCGGGGCTCAACAGTGGTTTAAATGGGGAGCTTGCTGGTTGCGCAGAATTCTCTTCTACGTTCAATTGAGTAGAAGTATGGTGGAACTATTGGCAGTATGCTAGAAAAGGTGAAAAATTGAGTGGAGATCCAAGAAAATACGAGCATATCTGCTGCTCAGTTACGCTGCGTAAACAGTCAAGACCAGAAGCTTTGTCGAATGATAGAAAAACACAAATGTCTCCGACCTCGGCCTGAGACTTGGAGTTAGTTAACTTGATTGGATGCATTTATTTTAATAAGCCACACCTATCAAGAAAAACTTGTAATTTGTATTTAAATACTTTATTTTTCATTGAAGAGTAATAATTTCCAAATTATTAAATGAGATACTATCAAAATATCGGCGCCCGAACTTTGGGAACATTAGCACACTAAACAAAGATAGCAAATGAGCGTATATAAAAGGAAACAATCTAAGGAAATAATATTAGGATACTTGTATGAACTCAGTAAATCGTCTCATCGTTTCGTTTGATAAATGCCCTGTCAATCCTTAGTCCCTGGCAACTTGAAATTTTGTTAACATTCGGCGAAACGTTTGCGTTGGAAAATTCGCGGAAACGCTTTTAAGAAAGAAAAAAGAAACAGGAAACGAAAGAGCAAAAATTAAACAAAATTACATTATGGCGGTATGGATTAGATAGGTTGATGGGGAGCTTCATGTCGGTCGGTCGACATTTTGGTGATAAGGACTGATCTCCAACTCTACACCCCAAGGTTGACTTCTGGGACAACAGGGGGAGGCCCTCCAACTCTCGTTCCTCCAATAGCGCGTTTACCTTCAAGCTGATTAAATTGGCCGTTAGTGTCCCCAAGAGACTCGAATCCCGAGTCTCTAGGTCTGGCACGAGTCTTCCGTGTAATGGGAGCTAGACGAGGATAGTCTGTAGATTGACTGGCCTCGCCGATGCTGAACACAGGCGATTCCCATCTATCACCCTTGGCAGCAAGTTCCTCGTACTCTGTAGCCTTGGAGGATATACCACCTGGCAGTTTGATATCCTTGAAGAGAGAGTCAGCAGCGGTGACAGCAAGTTTGACTTTAGTGTCTCGCTTTTTCACGGCCTCCTCCGTCTCGGCGGCTTTCTCCCTCAGCTCCATAACTTGCTTCCGTAGTGCATCGACGTAGTACGAATAAAGGTTGTGTGCTTGATCGGGGTCGTCGCGCGATGCCTCCCAAGAACGTCGCGCTTCTTTATGGACGTTGTATGCAAATTGGTCAGCTTTAGTGAAACTTTCGCTGATTTTCTTCTCCAGGACCTTCTCCACAGCGGTGCGAACGACACTGAAGAGAAGGGGCTTGAAGATTGTGAAAAGGAACTTATGTTTCGACTTCTTGAGCTTAATGTCTAGGTTTTTGACATCGACCTTAACTTTGTCGGGTTTGAATAGCCTATCAGGTGATTCAATGATAGACCCCGAAATCTGGAAGCTGAAACCCTCGCCATGCATGAGTATGTCCATCACTCCAGTATCGGTGATAGATGGGAAGCCTGATTTTTTCTTGATATAGTAACTGACGTCTAAAGCACGCCTGTTAGTCTGTATCAAAACCACTAGATTTGGTAAAGGGCTGAATGAAAATACCTTTCCAGTCGGTTTGTATTCCTGTTGCTGATATCATGAGCTGAAAATGGCGTTAGTTCATTCAAGATCAATCAAAACTAGGAGAACTATACAAACATCACATACCTTGTTTGTATGCTTGTTTGTAATCTTTTTACGACCCCATCGCCAATAGTTGTCGGTACTAAACTCGATGGCATTGGGCAGGAGATTGTCACTTTCAATAACGAGATTCTCGATCACCTTCATAAATAGATCAGTACATAAGTTTCAAATCGTCCAAACTGTATTCACCCACCACATCAGCCATCGGGTCGGACACCTCGATGCGTGGCAACGGAACATAGCGTATTTTCTCAAAGATGATAGGTAGGATAATATCGGTGACATCTTTCCTGAGGTGTTTCTTAAAAACCATCTTTCCGTTGGCATCATAGCCAAGATCATGGAAAAGCTTTTGTAAAGAATTGGCGAAAGCTTTGTTCAAGGGGTCTTGGTCAAACTGTTCGGCAAGGAATTTTATCTCATCCACCACGAGATTGGTATTATCGCGGTAGCGGTCACGAAGTAGGAATTGACCTTCGTCATAAAGGCTGTTCCATTGATCATTTGCTGAATCCTCCAGAACATAGCCTTGCTCGCGAAGACATTTCCTAAATTGTCGTGTTAGAATAACTCTCTTTCCTAATATGATCATTGGCAGTTGAAGACGTACCTGATGAAGGTGTTCACCGATCTAAACCAGTCTTTCAGTCGAGGATCTTCATCGGCGGCATGATAGAAGTCTCTGATGTAGTCGAGGAGATCGCCCATTGAGGTGCTGTTCGCAAAACGTTCGAGGATTGTCCTCAACCGCCCTATCGAATCTTTGTGTTCCTCTAACAACCCTTTTAACCAGGTATGTTAGTATGAGCGCAACTTGAATGGGAGATTTCATCACGAACCTTTTATCATCGTAGCCCCCTGCTGAGAGGCATCTTTGCCATGGCCACTATATATTTCCACAAGCGAAAGGAGAGTTTCAATCGCTTGCTGGTCTAGAATAGCAAACACTATTTTAGCAATGACGTAGGCAGTTTCAAGGTTTGGTAACCACTTACACTCAGAGTGGCCTTGTATTTCAACAACCATTCTTTTCAATCGCCAAATAGTTTGATCACGTCGCTCTTGAGGCATTTTCTCACGGAGAAAATTCCTCATATTCTCAGTAAGTTCGCGGGATTGAGACTTGGCTTCTTCAGGAACATTCTCAGATACCCTTTCACGGGCAACCTGGGTTCCAGCAGTGGCACCAGAAGCGACATCAACGCCAGACTGCGGACCATCTGGACGGGCTGCTTGATCCGCAGCCTCCGCCGCTTCCTGGGCAGTTCTTTTGGTCTAGGAATGCGTAAGTAACGACTAGCCTAGAATTGGCGGAGGGTACTATGCAGGCTTACCTGCACCTTCTTTTCTCCCGCCTGCGATTTGAACTGAGACGCTAGCTTGTTCTTTGAGAAGTCCGGCTTATCGTGCCAAACATTTCCTTCCGCCGGTTCGTCTATCCCGGCCATCTCCTCCTGTGAAGGTCTGATCTGTCCCACAGCTCTTTGGGCAACGTCACTGGCCATATCACGCATCAAAATCGTCGCATCACGAACTATACATCGGTTAATCCACAGAGTATGAAGGATTTGCAGGCCAACAGGAACTGCATTACAGATGTGAAAATATATACGTACGAAGCTTCCGGAACTGGCCATTGGTTATCAACAGAGTACCTAGAGTTCTCAGTCCCTCCACAGCTTGAGAACGATCTTCTTTCAAGGCCTCTCTGTTAAACAGACTCTCTGAAGCCTCTTGGGCGGAACGGTCTCCACTATGTTCCAGGTCCCAAATAAACTCCTGCATCAAGCCGTCCTGATTTTTAACCAGGATGACTTTTTTGGCACTCTCAATCACTTCTCGCACGTCTTTGATGAGGGCTTGACCTTCAGGAGACAGTTTATCAGTAGGTGAAGACAAAGCTTCCGATGCCAACAGGCTATTCAGGGCGACATCAATTTGTTTATTCTAAATCCTTGGATTAGCGTCAGCTCATGATATTGCACAAATCTAACGTACCGATGGGACTTTTCCATTCTTGAATGCTAGAGCCCGAAATCTCATTAGTGATGATGAACGGAAAGAGGGCCATGGCATTGAACGGTCGAAAGGTGCCACAAACCAGAGTAAATGCCATATAATTGTAGTTTGCGATTGATATCCTATTGGCTACAGTTAGAATTGAGGATTGGACTCGGAAGAAGTTGTAGTTTTACTACGTACGTTCTCCTTCAACTGCGGATCAGTAGGCACATTGACTGCGCTGCGATCCATGATGAATGAATGTAGCGACTATCGCAATATTCAAGATGTAACTTTAAGTTATAAGAGCAAATGTGACAGGCGCCTGAAATAAGTTTAGCTGGAAATTGAACAAGGGAAAATAGGATAAGAAAGTGCTAGGAAGAAACCAGCCGCAATGACTCGGATAGGTTTTAATTTTTCAGGTGGATCAAACAGCACTTGGGTATCTTGATATGTATCGAGACTTGCGAATTGTCCAGGTTCAAGTCAGATAAGTATTGTAGCAAAAAGAAGAATACAAGGGATATGAATAAATAAGATAACAGTTCGAAATGCGAAAGCTGAACACAAGCAGGCAGAGCGCTGAACATATAGGGCGAGCCTCCAGCAACAAGGGGCAAACCTTGACGTCACAGTTATGTAGCTTGGTTAGTTCCGATAATTTACCAACAAAACTAAACACGGCCAACTTCATCCATGGTTGCGGTCCAACTGTCGAATTTTCCGGGGTCAACTATCCGCATTAAAGTTTAACCAACTTCGATAGTCATTTGATATTAGACCAGAATAATGTAGGATACCTCTGTCACACAATAGTGTCAGGATGTTTCAACCTTGGAAAAATCATTATTGAGCCAATCACTGACCTGGCAAATGGAATTGATTTGCTTTTTGATCGAAAAACCTGATTAACTAAAGAATAAACACCTACATCATCATAGTTACTTTAACCCCTGTACCCTTGTCTGGGTAACTTGAAGTAGGAAATCAACTAAAAGAACAGAGAGATTTGCGAAAGGATCCCCTGTCTTTCACAATTTCTGGACCACTTCTCATGCCTCTGGCAGCTTCGAGACCCTCCCGAGGTCAGATCATCGTCAACCGAATAGAAAAAAACCTGATAGTGGTGGCTGCAGGAAGACATTTCATTGGCACAGTGACCAAACAGAGATTGCTCCGTTCGTTAGCGGGGTAGATTGTTGCTCCGGAGCCAGGAGATGCTACTTTATCAATGGGAAGGCCTTGAGAGGCATCGAGGAAGCACCGTGAACATGTCACTGAAAAGAAAAACTTCAATTGACCTCAAGTTAGATATCACAAAAATATGGAATGTTCAGTGAACGACCTATGCCTAATATGGTAATATCGATTTTTTTTAAAAAAAATAATAATAATCACGTGATATTCAACTACCGCGACCGCGTTTAAGTTCTAACCGCAGACACAAACATCAGATTAACTACAATGCAACAACGCAACTCTTCAAGACCAAGAGATAGTTGCTCCAGATGACCGCTAGCTCTGCGGCTCCCTATTGCAAGGTGAAGATCACCTAGGGACAAAAATTATCTAAACCAAATTTGATATGACAGTGTAGCACTCCTCCAAAAGTGAGCAACAGGAAACATCTCTCTATTAACCCCGCCTCATTCACACCAAGGGCAGCCTCATCATGCCTCTCTCAGCGCGACCAACTAGATATAAGAGTGCCGAACGGCAAACTCGTCTAGCTTTTACTCCCGTCTCATCTTCCTCTCCCGGTTTCAGTCTTGGCATTGATAGGGCCGCAACTATGCGCTATAAAAGCACATTCAGCTCCCCCGGTAAGAACGGCTCACTGAAGAAAACGAAGGCACCAACTTCAAAATCTCTCCAATCAAGTGAACAGGGAGATGTGTCGTCAGATGAAGAATCTATTCGCGCCCCGTCCTCCAGTCGTAGACCGCTAGAGCGGCTGATAATCGCGGATAAAGATGAGGAGGATAGAGAGGAGTCTGATGATATTATCTGTTCGTCACCCGTGAAACGGAGGAGACGGGATGTGAGACCTGAGGTTAGGAAAGAAGACTCAATTCTGTCCTCCCGTGGTGGGCCGTTAAAACCATTGGTTATCAAGGATGAATGTGAGGATGGCGGGGAGGAGTCTGACGAAATTGTCTGCTCGTCACCAGCGAAACGGAGAAGATGGAACGTAGAGCCGGAGGTCGCGAAACAAGAGACTCCACGCAACCGTGCTGAACAAGATAAGCTAGATCTAGAGGAGGATCTTGAGGATCTTCGCGATTCTGGTATGGATTCGATAAATTTTTTGTGGTTTATTTTAAGATTTTAACTAAAAGATTTGGCTACAGTAACTACAAGGACAAGGACTCGTAGAGGGGTAGTGGACAAGGCTAAGCTGAAGCGACAAACTCAGCTAGAGGTTCTCAGACGCCGAAGGGCAGGTGAAAAAACGGAAGTGGTGTCTGTGAACTCATCCGGAGATGAATCTGAGGCGGCGGAATCAGAACCAAATGGAAATAAATCTCCTTCAGAAGAGGAAGAAGAGGGACCATGGTTCAATCAGAATGAGGATAGCGACATTGAGCCTCCCGTCCCAGAAGACCTTGACAAGTACGATGAAGATTTTGTCGACCAAGATGATGAGGGAACACTGGGCGCCCCTGACGAGCTCAACGATATCCCATTCGAATTTACAAGACACCGATACAAGCGCTTAAGAGATCATTTTAAAGACGTTGTTGAGTGGATGGTGCATAACAAACTGAACCCCGCATTCCCGCGTGACGATGTCGTCTACCGCGTTGCCTTCAGCAAAGTCAAGGACGAAGTCACAGGTCTTGCAGGATCGCAACTTATATCTTCAGCCTGGAACAGAGACTTTAGAAAATCTCTTGAAGCCAGGCCAGGGATCTTTGTCTCGGGATACCCCCTCTCGTTGGGTCATTCCTGTGACGCCTGTAACAAAACCAACCACCCCGCCTCCTTCGATATCAGATTCGATGGCAAACCCTACCTCCTGGAAACACTAGAACCCATTTCTGACGACGAATCTGACGGATCGGATAGCGTCGAGGGCGATACGGATGCGGATGAGGGCGGCGAGCGTCCTGGTTCAGGAAATATAGACCGGGAGGGCAACGAGATCCCGGATGCCAGCATCCACTTTTACCTAGGAAGGTATTTAAATCAATACCAAAAATAAAACTTCTATTCCCCCTAACCTTACAAATTCCCCATATACTAACCCACCCCCTTCTGTCTCACTCAGACACTGCAAAACCAAAGCCGTCATGGCCCACACACTCATCCACTGGCGCTATCACCTCAACGAGTGGATAATCGACTACCTCCGACGTAAGGGAGTATTTGCCGACCATGAGGTCCTGGACCGCGAGCGCTGGAGTCACAAACGACGAACCAAGTACTCCAATCAGGTGGTGGATGCGATGGAAGAAGATGGGGAGATCAATCGGCTCTGGCGCGATTTTAATACCAATTTGAAGGCTGCAAGAGAGGCGAAGGTATGTTATTTTCTTAGCTTCTTTTATTTTCTTTTTGGACCCCCCATATCCTCCTCCTCGCCTATGGTATGTATATCTGACATACGAATCTTCAATTTCAGGAATCCCGATACTGAAAAATCATTCATCTTAAATTTCTTTTGAGTTTTATCCCTTGGATATATTTTCCTCTAACCAGGAAAATAATCATACTTCTTTTAAGAACCTAGGTACTTCGCAAGGCAAGATATCAAGCAGGAGCGCTAAATAAAACTTGCGCACCCCTCTTCTTAAAATACTCTATCATCTTGGTTTCCAGGAGGGCAATTCCCTCCCCATCAAGACACTTTAGTATATCCGAATCATTTCAACCCCCCTCCCCTTGTTCAGCATATTCTCCCCATTCTTTCCAATCCCTCAAACCACCCAACCACCCATATAACCCCTAAGTAAATTTCCTTACCAGACCCTCTCAATATTAACATTCTTTTACTACTTTATCCCGTTACCTACGCGAATCACGAATTCTCGTCTTACGCATGCTCCCGCAAAATTTATACGTACGTATTGTCCAACCGAACGCCAGCATTTCAATATACGTATTTCTCCGGAAAAACGCATCCATATCAGGTATATTCGATATGTACATGCACACGCATACGTTGTGGGATGGTTTGCACGTAATCAGCCATAAAACGGCTGCACACCCCTGAACCCAGATGCTTGTGTAGATATAATAATTGACGCTGTGAAAAATGGGAACCTCAACTTAGGAAGAGCGTTTGACGTAACATGGATAAGCTGAATCTCGACGTTATGGTGATAATATATATAAAGTATGTATGTGTGTGTATATAATGAGGAGAAACATATGCCAGATATCAAATATTGAATATCAAAGGTGAAATTTGAGGTTTAAGTAAAACTACATGATTTAACATCGACCAAAGGAAACGACAGAAATGGAAATGCCATGAGAAAAGATATAAAATAAAAAGCAGACGTAGGAGAAAGGAGATTTAGAGAGTGACAGATAACAGAGTACGGAAAAGGAACAGGCTAGATAGATACAAGTTGAATAAAACTGACTGGTGATATGAAATGTTGAGTTGGATGCAAGGTAAATCAGAGGTAGGGAGAAGAAGGCAATGATTGTTAAAGGTTATGTACGCGCCTCTGTAGGTTAGAGACATTGCACCACCCCCACCATCGCTCCTAATGGCAGCAGGGTGGAAAGAGAGTGATACATTCGAAGGAGATCGTTTTTCCTGCATACCATTCCCTCATATTACCCATCAGATTTCCACCCATCGTCTATATGTCATCATAGTCTGTTCTTAAACATAAAGTTGTTTTCATGCGCCGCAGGAAGACAAAATAAGCAACCCAGAGATAAACGTTGGTTGTTGAAGAGATGAAACGAATTGGCCACCGTTGTGAATACCATATCGCAAACTTGATAAGTCGCATAATCAGCATCCCAAGATCAAATGTTATACCACTTTAAGAAAACAAAAGTTTTTCTCCGGGTTGGTTTTGTCTTCTTTGTACTCGTGATGAAAATCCGCTGGTTCGGTATATATTTTTCTTTTCAAAATTCCCACTCTGGGTAATGCATCCCCTTATTTAATTCCCATCTCTTATTTCCTGTTCACTATTCCTCGCCTCTTGACCGTATCTACAACGCTGCCTGTCCCTCATGCTTTCCCTCAGGATTGGTCAGGGAACTCGTAGCACCCGGAGTCAACATCTGGAGAGTGAAAAGCGAAAATCAGTAATCAATACCCCTCACTTTCTCTTATCGTCAAAAGGCCTCCTGAACCGGGCAGATATATGAATCATACCTCATTAGCACCCTTAATCATCCCTTGCTCCCGCTCCATCTGCACATATTGTTGCTCCTCAGCCAGAGCCAAGGCCCAGGGGACACCCAGGAGGAAGGCACTCGTGCTCAGAACCCAGAGCGTCTTTCCGCCGAATGACACGGTGGATTTGGCAAATGAGGCGAGAGAGGAGAGGGAGTTAGAGATTCTGTGTCGGGACTGTGGTGGGATGATATCCTTTAGGGCGGCGATTCTTTCATACAGCGACTCGTCCTCTGGCAGGGCGTCGTAGGATTCGCTGGAGAATTCAGAGTCTGGGGGGGGTTGGGAAAGGGAGATATGAGTTAGTTAATGGATACTTTGATTCGATATAGATTGATATTTAGATGAGATATTCCATGTCGAAATGCAATCTATAGATGATGAAGACAATTGTGCTGTGGTATTGTAAAAGATGGCGGGAAGAGACTCATTTAACGGGTTGCAACGCACCAGTATCTGTGAAGTCGTCGTCGTCGCTCTCGAAGAGAGCCCCGCTCTTGGGCTGAACAGGCTTCTCTTTGAAATGTTCGTCCTCAACTTCCTGGAGCTTAACCATTGTGAAAAACTAAACGGGGACAAAATATTACAAGAAATAAATGAATATTCTCCAAATAGGAAGACAAGGAATTAGAGAAAGCGGCAATGGTAATCTCCTTGAAAAGTGCGGAGTAATGATGTCGTGTGTTCTGCGTTGAGTTGAAGCCGATGTTGAATGGTTTTGATGGATGTTTTTTTTTTTTTTTTTGGGTCGTTCGGGTTCAATGGTTTGGTAACTGACTGGTTACAAGCGGCATGACGGAGCTGCTTAAGTAAGCATATCATCTTTTCTTCCCAACGTGTCTCTCCAAGAACATTTTCAAGCAATCAATGGATCCTATGAATGGAATATGGGATCCAAGCAGCTGGAAAACAACTGTTGATTACCAGTAGAACCCCCAGAGAATATTAACGATTGCTTCTACATATTTTACCCTCCGGAACATTTCATATGCATATCGGGTCAATACCCATTCTCTGGAAGTCAGGATGCTAACTAACCCTAGGCCCTTGTAGTTGAAACTTAGTCAATTTTTAGTGAGATCAACTTCCACAACAGCAGCTCCATGCCTGTAAAAGAAAATGAAGAACTGCAAACAGCAGTCCTCCGGGCACTGTCATAGACATGGAAAACATAGTTATCACATGCGGCCGGCCTGGATGAACCCCCACCTCCCCCCTGACTAAGCATCAATCGCCGAGTCGGCGATTTTGCCACGCTCTAAGAATGAAAATGCCAACGCCGGCGGAAAATGAACAAACAAAACTACCGGTTCCAACCAGCGCTGCTAGCTCCAGCGCGGTGAAACTGTCAAAACCTTGGGATTGCCCGGCCGATTGGTGACTCAGCTCACCTATGTATAAATAACATATAACCAGGCAATTGTTCGCTCTATATCTGGGTGAACCTGAAGGTTGTGAAGTTCTGCATCGTCAAGCTCTTTCCGTATCCCCATTTCCACAATGCCGTCAATGGACTATGCCCAAAGCAATGGCCTTGCTCCTCCTGCCAAAGAGCTCTGGAGGCCTTCGTGCCCCGAATCCACCGAGATCTACAAGTTCATGTCCCTCGTGAGCCAGAAATATGGCCTGAGCTTGAACAGCTATCATGACCTGTGGGAGTGGAGTGTCAACGAGCCTGCTAAATTTTGGAAGGAAGTATGGCACTTTACGGGAGTCAGAGCGCGAAGGACTTATGATAAGGTATGCACAATGCATAGTTCTCAATTCCTTCATCGATTTTTCGCTCCATTGGCAAAATTTTGTAACCTTTTAGTCTTCATCCCCTCCTGCCCCTCCCCTCCCGCGAGCATCATTCCCTGAAAAGGCAATAAACTGACTGCCCGCCGCCCCCTCCAGGTTCTAGACAATGATACGCCGCTATTCCCCAAACCAGTCTTTTTCGAAGGCAGCCTCCTCAATTTCGCCGAGAATCTCCTCTTCCCTGCAAGCAACCCCGATGAAAACTCAGTGGCAGTTATAGCTGCAACCGAATCTACCCGGGAGTACATCTCGTGGAAGGATCTTCGGGAACGAGTTCGACGCTGTGCGCTATCTCTCCGGGAAGCAGGCGTGGTCAAGGACGACCGGATTGCTGGCTTCGTTGGCAATCATGCGGACGCAGTGATTGCCATGCTTGCAGCTACCTCCATCGGAGCCTTGTGGAGTGCCGTCTCAACCGATACAGGCGTACATGCTGTGCTGGAACGGCTGCGCCAGATTGAACCGGTCGTGCTCTTCGTTGACAATGCGTCCCAATACAACGGCAAAGTCCATCCAACACAGTCCAAAATCGTGGAGTTGACAGCGAACCTAGATTCATTGCGCTATATCGTGGTGTTTGAAGCTGTGAAGGGGTACGATTTCAATATAGAATCGATCAAATCACCAAATGGCAGGGCCATAACTTTCTCCGACTTCCTGGCTTCCTCGCAAGATTCGACTCTGCCATTGGAATTTGAGCCCCTCCCGCCAGACCACCCAGTCTATATCCTTTATTCATCGGGTACAACCGGTGCCCCCAAACCAATCGTCCACGGTGCCCTCGGTACACTCTTGCAGCACAAGAAAGAACATGTTCTCCATGGTGATATTGGACCTGATGATCGACTGTTCTACTTCACAACAACCACCTGGATGATGTGGCACTGGCTTTTATCTGCGCTGGCAAGCGGCGCCAGCATAGTGGTTTACGATGGTTCCCCCTTCCGGCCCCTAGACCCAGAAGATGGGAAAGGGGATATGGCCATGGCCCGCCTCATTGACGAATTGCAGATAACCCACTTTGGGACATCTGCAAAGTACCTCTCAGTCCTAGAGCAATCTCTGCTAAACCCCTCCAAACACCCTCACAGACCCGTATCTTTGCGAACTCTGAAAGCTATTTTCAGCACCGGATCACCACTAGCCCCTTCAACCTTCGATTATGTATACTCTCATATCCACCCCGATATAATGCTAGGTTCCATCACGGGTGGCACAGATATCATCTCCCTCTTCGGCGCTTCCTGCCCCATCCTCCCCGTCCATCGTGGGGAGATCCAATGTCGCGGTCTTGGCATGGCAGTTTCTGTCTACGACTACACCGGCAAGGATATCAGCTCCACAAATGATGCGGGTGATCTAGTGTGCACAAAGGCCTTTCCAGTGCAGCCCGTCATGTTCTGGCCGCCAGGCCCCATAGGCGAAGAGAAGTATCGAAAGAGTTACTTTGACGTCTTCGGACCATCAACATGGCACCACGGCGATTTCGTGAAACTTAACCCCACAACGGGCGGGTTGGAGATGCTAGGGCGAAGTGACGGCGTTCTCAAGCCTGCTGGCGTCAGATTTGGAAGCGCGGAGATATACAATGTTATCCTTAAGCATTTTGCCTCCGAGGTTGAAGATTCGTTGTGTATCGGCCGCAGACGCAATGGGATCGAGAACGACGAAACTGTCGTGCTCTTTGTTAAGTTGGCACGACCGCCCGCCTCATCGTCACCCTCCACTCCGGGTTCCGCATCATCGTCCGCGGTTTCAACCCCGGAGACGGCCAATGGTAGTTGTCATACAGGCCCTGAGAAACTGATCATGCCCCCGGATCTCGCTAGCCGCATACAAGCTACTATCCGCCAGGAGCTTAGCGCACGACATGTACCTGTCATTGTAGATGCATGCCCCGAAATCCCTGTGACAACCAATGGGAAGAAGGTTGAAAATGCTGTTAAACAGATACTCTGTGGGTTGAATATTAAAACGGGTGCCAGCGTGGCTAATGCGGAGTGCCTGGAATGGTTCCGGAAATGGGCTGCGGAGCACTGATGCGTTATCATATATACCATTTTCGTGTCGAAATTGCTTTCTTTCTTTGATCGTTAATAGTTGGGAGACAGCGACGTTAACATAGAACAGTTAAACATGTAGATAAAACACTTTATAGGAAATACAGAATACAAATAGTGCTCATACCTTGTACTTTTGCTCACATTATGTCCCTTACAATCTCATGCTCACTGGAAAATCAAACGTTCAAGGAATTCACTCAAAGGAAGCGCATCAACGACGAAATAACGCGCTGCTTTGCCCCCTTCTCATTGGCTGAGCAGGTTTCGTGTCTATTTGGCGATTTGTTTTAAAATTGACATCTCATCACGATCCAAAGTAGCCGAAAAGCTATAATACGGCGGCGCGCCGCCTTTTGGCAGTTGCTCGCTGCATAGATGACTAAGCCACAACGTTTCTGCCCGAAAAACGGTCAAACCATCTAAAACTCCGCAAGTTTCAACTTTTGAGCATCTTGGACGGAGACATCTTCTGGAATAAGAACCCTTTGTACATCTCTGGACCTGATTCCAGCAACGCCTTTGGATCATGCGTCGTTTAGCAGCTAGGGCCATTGCTCCGGCAAGACCCTTTATGCGTACTCCACGGTCGCTTTGCAGAGCATTTTCCTCCCGCATCGAAACCCAATCCAAGGTATGTAAGCTGCCTTCTTCCGTCTCCGTATATCCCGAATGCTCTCTGCTTTTCCTGTATGGCACGGAGATATAAATCGCTGACGAAAGGCCCTTTTTAAACTCCTCTATAGGATCCCGTGGAACTCGATCAAGTAACTTCCCTCCCAAACGGCCTTCGAGTAGCTACAGAGTCTCTCCCGGGCCCCTTCTCCGGGGTAGGGGTCTATATCGATGCAGGCTCCCGCTATGAAGATGACAGCCTCCGTGGCGTCAGTCACATCATTGACAGACTAGCATTTAAGTCGACGTCGAAAAGGACGGCGGATCAGATGGTTGAGGCTCTGGAGAATCTGGGAGGGAATATACAATGCGCATCGGCTCGGGAGTCACTCATGTATCAATCTGCCAGCTTCAATTCGACGGTTCCAACCACTCTTGCCTTGCTGGCGGAGACGATTCGGGATCCATTGATTACAGATGAGGAGATACAGCAACAGTTGATGGTGGCGGAATATGAAATTACGGAGCTCTGGGCGAAGCCGGAGATGATTCTGCCGGAGTTGGTGAATATTGCGGGGTATAAGAATAACACGCTGGGAAATCCTCTGTTGTGTCCGAAGGAGAGGTTAAGCGAGATCAATAGGGGCGTTGTACAAAAGTATCGGAACACGTTTTTTAAGCCGGAGCGGATGGTGGTGGCCTTTGCAGGCGTCGCGCATCAGGATGCGGTGAAATTGACAGAGCAGTACTTTGGGGATATGAAGCGGGATAAACCTGTGCTTTTCGGGCGTGGGTCCGAAACCACCCTTTCTGAAGAGGAAATGAGCTCACTACCTTCTCTTTCCCCATCCTCCACCACTTCAACAGCTTCCACCAGTCCATCCACCCCACCCCCTCCGTCACCATCCTCTTCCGCCTCCTACAAAACCGGCGGAGTCCTCTCCCACATCCCCTTCCTTAAATACCTATCGACCTCTTCCCCCCACAGCGCCTCTGTCTCCCCCATCGATACCTCCCTATTGCACCCTTTCACCCCAAACCTCCATAGACCCTCCCATTACACAGGCGGCTTCCTCTCCCTTGCCCCAATCCCCCCACCAGCCAATCCCGCCCATCCAGCCCTAAGCCACATCCACGTCGCCTTCGAAGCCCTCCCCATCTCCTCACCAGACATCTACGCCCTCGCCACCCTCCAAACCCTCCTAGGCGGCGGCGGCTCCTTCTCCGCCGGCGGCCCAGGCAAGGGCATGTACTCCCGCCTCTACACCAACGTGCTAAACCAACACGGCTGGATAGAGAGCTGCATGGCCTTCAACCTCAGCTACACGGACAGCGGCCTCTTCGGCATCTCCGCCTCCTGCATCCCCTCCCGCATCAGCGCGATGGTCGAAGTTATCTGCAAAGAGCTGCACGCCCTTACCACCGAGTCGCGCTTCTCCGCCCTGCAACCTGCGGAGGTTAACAGGGCCAAGAACCAGCTCCGCTCCTCGCTGCTCATGAATCTTGAGTCGCGCATGGTGGAGCTGGAGGATCTGGGGAGACAGGTGCAGGTGCATGGGCGGAAGGTTGGGGTGCATGAGATGTGTGCGCGGATTGATGCTCTGACTGTTGAGGATCTGCGGAGGGTGGCTAAACAGGTATTTGGGGGTCATGTTCATAATAAGGGGCAGGGAACAGGGAAGCCTACCGTCGTTGTGCAGGAGGGGATGGTGGAAGGGTCGGAGTTGTATCCGATTACCTCCGAGCAGGTGCAGGAGCAGATTGCGATGTGGAAGTTGGGGAGGAGTTAAAAGCTGTTAGATGGATTGTATACAGACGCTCTATGCTGATTTCATTGAATTCTTTTCTTTTTCCCGTGCTCTTCGGGAAGTTGTTTTTGATTTTACTAATCTCTTCTTTTCTTCTTATGTTTTACTTGATTTTTAGATAGACCGGGTTATGATGTTGCCTTTTCACATGTCGCCATTTTTGTAGGTTTGATGTGGTAATGTGTATATGTACAGCACTGTCGATGAAAAGGTGTGAATTTGCAGTGGCTTATGTATAAGGTCTCTTCTTCATCTTACTTTTCGAAAATGTGTGATTGTGGTTTTTGTTATTATGTTGAATTTTAGTATGCTCTCTACTTTTGCAGCGTGAGATGGCTGATTATGACTGCAAAAGACTTGTAACCCCAATTCTGCTACAGTGTCTATTATGCCTTGCTACTGTTGGATATGTCACCACAAGGAAAGTTCTTAGGTTATGGACAGAAGCTCTTCTGACACAAATCCATTTTATCATGTGTCCTAGCCTTCATATAGAGCTACAATCGATCCCCAGTTACACACAGTGTAGTGGTTATCAAGTGCAAATAGTATCTATCATACAATCAGCCGCTGTAAAACATCAAAATTATCGCTTTGTCCCTTTTATGGACATAAAAACGCCTTGTCCTGTGTCACTAGCAAAACGCGTATAAAAAGACATATAGAAAGCAAACCTTCCCTTGATGTTATCAAGAATCATTCAGGAGCCTTCATCGGACTGCGCCATCAAGGTTGAGTTTCCGGGGGGTTGGGAATGTCACCATATGCCATGTTGTTAAATGTTTTTCAGTCGTAAAATCGATTCTCTCTCTCTCCCTTCCACACATCGTCACCACACCTTTTCTTACCCCATCCCAAGATCATTCCGCCTCCGGCACACCAACCACAACATCCAAGTAAATCGCCATATCCTCCAATTCATCCGGCATATACCAGTGCTCGAGTTCATCGTACAGCATGAACGTGACATTCCACCCAAGCTTCTCCAGCGTCTTCGCGCCCTCTTCCCCATACTGCGGTTTCAAATGCGTGTCCAACGCTCCATGTGCGATCCACAGGTGTGTCTTTGGAAGCGTGATCTGCTGCCAGTCAACGACTTTAATTGGCGGGATACCCAATACATTCTCACGGAACCAATTAGCCGCGCTAACCGCCACTTTGGGATCAGTGCTTCGAAGCCACCCATTCTCTCCATCCTCCTCGAGATCTTGATTCCCGGTGTCATCAACAGCACCATCACCATCACCATCACCACAACCATCTCCCACCGCCCTCTCCCTCCCAGCAAACGCCATCAACTCCTTCTGAAATGCCAACCACCCACTCATTGCCACACAACCCCCCAACGCCTCCCCAGCCTCAACCGCATCAAAGCTCATCGCAGCTGCCAATGCAACTACAGCTCCCTGACTCAACCCCCCCACAACCACCTTACCCACCCCACCCACAATCGCAGCCTCCTCCTTCACCAGCTTCAGCAAATAATTCACCGAACTCCGCAAGCCCTCCAGCTGCAGCTCGTACTGTTTCTCATACGGCGGGTCCAGGCTCACCACGTCGAACCACTGCGGCATCATCATGTTGCCGGAGAAGGTGGAGAGGCCCATCTTCGCACCGGGGAAGACAAATTTGACACCCGGGAACCGCTGGGGGAGGGTTGAGAGGGGATGTTTGGATGTAGAGGGGGAAATGGGGAGGGGAAGGGTGATGAATTCAGTGCTGAAGTCGAGGGAGGAGTCGCCGCGGCCGTGGAGGAGGATTAGAGTGTGTGTGTGTGGGCCGCGGGGGGGGATTGTGGTTGGTTTGGGGAAGGGGAGTGGGGAGGGGATTGTTGGTGACGGGGTGGTTTGTTGTTGCGCCATGGCCTCGGTTGTTTCTTTTGAGCTTTTTCTGGGATGTTTATTTTTATTTTTATTTTTATTTTTATTTTTATTTTTATTATATATATATTTTTTAATTTTTGGGTTCACTTTGTATGGAGTTCCTGAACGCCAAACGTGTGATCTGCAGACCTTCCCAAGGTTCCCGTTTGCTTGACAGGGTTCTGGCAGATCTTGCTCGAGATCCCTGCAGAGCAAGATATGCGCAACCCTCCTTTTCTCTCCCAAGGTATAGGAGGAACAGTCGTTCTGGTCGTGAATAAAGCAAACAAACAAAGGGATGAATGAGACCTTTGAGTGGCCCTCTGCTTAAATTCAAATGTAATAGACTGACCTGACTCTGAGATCAGAGATGCATCTGTTGATACTGACATGAGCCTTGAGCTCGGGGTTGATTATATGATCCCATAACTATCACGTGGGGGTTAGCTAACATACAGGCAGCAACTAGAATACGGTTTCTTTCGTCGTAAGGCCTATATCCAGCGTAAAGAGACTGCAGAGAAGACAGAGTATTCCTTCTCTTTGGATAAGTGCAATAACAATGCATCTGATGTATGGAGCAAGATATTGACCTTGCTTGCCCACGCGAGCAAGCAGCTCTTGATCTTGATTTTTTATGTTTTTGTCCTGAATAATTCAAAGCTAAATCTATGATAAAATGCTTGCTTTTGGAGGTATAGTTATTTCACTGTACAAGTAGTCAAATTATCAGTAAACAATAACAGAAGAATGAATTGAAAAAAGAGCACTTTTGAAATTAACTCTACCTTATTTATTATTAATTAAAATTGAAATTTGTTTTAAAAATATTTTTATTATTTATTATTTATATTATTTAATATTATTTTATTATTATTAATAAGTATGTTATATTTAATTTTTTTTAAAAAAATTATTTATTATATATACTATAATTGATATGTACAAGCAATTGAATAAATAGGATAAATCATATCTGATTCTCTTCTGATAAGATGGGCAGACACTCTGCTATATATACATACTATAATCACTATATATGATAGGAGTGATTGCATAGAATAGGAAATATAAAAAAGATTGAGGCCTCTGAGTATATTAGAAAGAGAAGAGATGAATAGAGAGTGGATACTAATATAGAAAAAGATGGAAGAATAGAGATGGAACACTACAGTCCCTCTGTTCAAAAGAAGAGGTTTAGATACTCACATAAAACAATGTCAAATAAGAGGTGGGTAGAACTGGGGGGGGTGATCTGCTTTATTCATTTTTGCCTGTGTGATTTTTTGCCATGAAGGCCTTGATAAGCTCAGAGTAGTCCTGCAAGAGGTCACTTAAGAATTCCCAGATGGGATTGTTGTATCTCTTCCATTTGACCTGGAGGTAGGTTTTCTCATTGTTGATTCACTTTCTCATAATCTATTCAACTTCAAATTATGGCTGATTATTGACTATTACTGGTTCAGACAGCAAGTGATGAGTGTCTGCTCCTGTTAAATTTGTCTTTTTCAGATAGATCATGAAGATTACAAAGTGTATCCATCAATCAGACAGTAACTCCAGTTAGAGAACAACATCAGACACTTTCTCAAGAACACAGAATGGACCTATACATAGAGGTGATAATTTTGATGATCTCTTCAAGATATAATCTTTCTGGGCTTTTTGAGCAAGATTAAGAAACACCTAGTCTTCTATGTAGAGGTCAGACAGCTAGTGGGTATAGTCAAAGACTTTTGCCATTCTTGTCTGGACAAGTATATATTGCTTGAGGACTTCTTTCAAAGAGTCTCATGATCTAATATGAACTCTGTTGCTGTACCATCTTCCTTTTCATCAGCAATTAGCACTCACTATGATTTGATCTCTGTCATAAGCTGGAATGGTGAGACTGAAGTAGAATGAGCTGCAACTGAGTTAAGAGTCTGTTCTATCTGCAGAAGCAGAGTATTTCAATCTGTCTCATATCTACTCATTAAAAGTGTTCACAGTATGATGTCAACAATTAGATTACTGTGCTCACTCTGGTCATTTGACTGTAAATTGTAGATAGTTGTTATTCAGCTCTTAATACTCATCAATTTGAGCAGACTTTTTCAGAAGTGAAAGGTGAACTTCAGATCTTAATCAGATATAATTGTCAGTGATGACTGTTAATGACATATGTAAAGGGTTAAGCTCTAAGAACTAGAGGCTAGTCCTCCTATATAACAAGGACGAATTGCTTGAGAAAGGGAAGAAAAGAATGAGACGAGAACTCGAGCTTAAGCGAGCTCGCGTAGCATGATCACGTGCGCACGTGCAAACGATGGCTAGGCTGAGTCAGCCAGCCAGAGCGAATCTAGGGTTCAACCCCTTATAATGAGCACAGACTTAAGTGAAGTCATCAGATCAGTTCTACTGACTATCATTTCTAACTAACACAGCTGTTATGATTAGATGATTGACTCAGCTTGCTGATTGATTTGTCAGTCAGATCTGTCAGCTTGCTTCTTGCTGTGTAAAGAGATAGTGATTCTGTTTTGAATGCCTGCCATGAGAGGTGTAGATTGATTATATCCTCCAGCAGTAGATCAGTTATCCTATCTTATTCTATTGTCCTCCACATCATATATGTAACACCCTGTGCTGGCAGTTCTATCACACTCTAGGTTGACTCTGATGTGCAAAATCAATTCTTACAGATGACTTGTTGCTCTCAATGCTTCTTGACTGACTTCTTTCAAACCCAGTCTTGCAATGAATGAGTGGGTGATGCTGGCACACTCTGAACAGATCTCATGAGTGATTAGTTTCTTCTTCTGCTTGCTGAAAAGAGACTTGCAGATACAGAGCTGGGATTTCAGATTGATCATTCAGTTCTCCTGCTTCTTTAACTGCATGTTGAGGTCTATCAGTCTGTTCTCTCACTCTCTCAATTATATGTTGAGCTCTTTGAGCTTCTCTATGATGTTCAGTATCACTTTCTCATCGCTGTGATCATCTTCTGCAACTAAGTGACTGAAATCTGCAAAGATAAAAGTAATAAATTTTCAATTTCTAATGTGCTTGATGACTTCTGTTCTGAACATCTGAATTCATCAGTAAAAGACAGTTGTTTATTTTACTACTAAGGTTTTCTGCATTGTTGCACTCATCTTATTGTATCATCTTACAGAGATAGTGAATAGCACTCTCTTCATCTTGAGATAGTCATAGAGAGTGATCAATGATTGTAATTCTATATATTAACTGTTTTTGTTTCTTCATATTTCTGTGATTACTATCATGTACTTTTCTGTAAATGTCTATGTGTATTGATGAGAACTGCTGTGATGAGTGTTCCTATCAGCATCTTGCTTCTTGCTAACTAACCTAGCATTCTCTGATCTTGTTGAGAATTCAGAAGTCATCAGAATGACAAAAGTATTTGAATGATGAGAGCATTTATCTTTGACATTTTATAAGATGATTATGACAATTATATAAAGGCAATCAAGATCTGACTCAGAGAATGATATTATAGCTAATACTTTTTTTAAAGTGATTGAACTAGCAATTATGAATCAAAGTGACTGATTTAACAGATCTTGAATCAATTTGATGTGTATCTTGAACTTTGATTGATTCAGCAGATCTTGAATCTTTTTTAAAAAAACATGAACATGCTATCAATTTGATGTATACAAGCAATTGAATAGATAGAATAAATTATGTCTAATTCTCTTCTAATAAGATGAGTGAGCACTCTGCTATATATATATATCATAATCACTTCATATGATAGGAGTGATTGCATAGAATAGAAAATATAAAACAAGATTGAGATCTCTAAGTAAATTAGAAAGAGAAGAAGCAAATAGAAAGCAGATACTAATATAAAAAGAGGTAGAAGAATAGAGACAGAATATCACAATAATTTAAAATTAGTATTAATTATAATATATAATATAATTCATTATTTACTTGCTTAAATTATTCAGTTAATTAATTTTTTTAATATATATAATACTTTTATTAAGAAAATATTTATATAAAAATATTTTTAAGTTTATAATTTAAATAAAAACTTTTTTAATTTTTTAAATATTAGATAAAGATAAATTTTAAATATTAATAAAGTTATTTATTATTATTATTATTATTATTATTATATTTTATTTATAATATATATAATTAAAAAATTATGATATTTAATTAAATTAAAATTTAGTTATTTTATAAATTTAATTAAAAATTAATTAATATAATTTAAAATATATAATTTTAAAATTATATATTAAAATAATAATATTTAAAAAATTATAAAGTAAAAAATAAATTTATATAATTTTAATCTAGTAAGTAATTATAAAAAAATTAAATTAATTAATAATAAATAATAAAAGTAAAATAATTTTAATATATATTATTTATATATAATATTATCTTTATAATAAATTTATAATTTATTTAGTATTTTATTTATTATAACTTTGTGGCAATTATAAATTTTAAATAAAATATAAAATAATAAAATTAAGATAAGTATATAGTTTTATAGATAAATTAAGTTTAATTTATTATCATATAAAATAATTGATAACTTTAATTAAATAATTAGTTATAGTAGAAATAGTTACTAAATAATATTTAAATAATATTTTTAATACTATTAGTTATCTAATAATGAAAACTTTTTTTCATTTAAATTATCACTATTTCTAAACCAGAAAAGATATATTTTAGATTTTAAAATTAATTATTTATATAATATCTTTCTAGAAGATTTTAAATATATTTTTTTAATAACTATAGAAGTATATTTTTAATGATAATATATTACTTTAGTTTTTTTTCACTTAATCAATTTACATATATATAACTTTATATAAACTTATTATAATAATTAATTTCATACAACTATAAGAAAAAATATAATAATAATTAAAAATTTTCTATAGTAATATTTAATTTTAATTAAAAACAATAATTCTAAATTGATAAATATTTGTATTACTAGCTGGTTTAAAGTAACAATAATAGCAGTAACAACTTTTTTAATATAAAGTTTTTTCTTCTATATATTAAAATAATATTTTATATCAATCTAAAAAGTAATTTTCTTTGAATATTTAATTTCTATTATAATTGCAGAAATCTTCAATTATAAATAAATTTTATAATATATATCAAGCTAAGAGATAGATATCTTACTTTGTAACTATTGGTTCAATTAGTTTTAACATGACTCATAAATTCAAATAACTTGATTGAAAAACATTAACAGATGTAATGATATGGAAAAACTGCGGATACATATTTAAAAAAGTGTAAAAGAATAGGTAAGTGTAATGAGAAAATAAAATACATATGAAGGAGAAGATCAACTGCAGAATTAAAATGGTGTGATGAAATAGAAGTGAAAGTGAGTTGCAACATAACCAGAATAACAATAATAAGTAAGCCCTGCAGGCCGAAAACTTCGATGGGATGTGTACACCCAACATCGATTTTCAATTATAACTGTAGTTACAGAGTGATTGTCTTACTATTATCATTTGCCATCCAACTACTAACTAGATAACTAGTTAGTTATTCGTTCTTCTGGTGCTCCGTTATGTCGGGAGTGCTGGTTAGTAAAGTGGAGCTCGCGTTATTATTTTATTCAGGGGGAGTAGCAGGTACCTAGTATCGTATTGTAAGTTCCAGTAATAATACGCCGAAGATCTTGATCTGATCTGCGCAATTAATTCGTCTGCGGTGTGTCGAACGTGCTCTGACATTACCGGACGTGGAAATCAGTACATTTTAATACCATTTAAACCGTACCACTAGCCCGGCTTCGGCCTCACCTTGTTCCCGGGGCCACACTTTCAGCCGCCTCCAAAGAACTGACGATCCGCAACTTCAACCTCCACCGTAAATTTTCTCTCCTCTTCTCTTTTCCCCAGACACCTCCACCTTGAAACAAGCCCTCAAGACCATTTCTTCAAAGTACCGATTTGCGTGCGTGTATGTGTTGTGTTCAGGAGATGCTTCACTCTTTCTAGGGCTGAATTGCTAAAGCCAAGCGGTCTCTAGCTTTTTTCTGGCTCATCGCGGATCCATGGTAGGCGCGAGACCAAGCCCCCCTTTGCATCATCTATCTATCCATTCCTTCATTTGCGGTCAATGAATTCTGATAGTGTATGCATAATTTTTTTTTTGGAGGGTTTTTTTTCGGTTTCTCTTTTGATTTGTTTATCCGTTTTGCCTTAGACGTCTGTCAATTGTCCCGGCCTATATCTATCTGCTCTAATCTAGAAGCTAATTTGGTGAGGGTTTTGCAGTGTATTGGCACTGAATAGGCGAAATTTTTTTTTCCTGCCTCGAACCTGCCTGAACCCACCGAACTGCGCTTCTGTGCTACTTCCTGGAAGCCAGCTCGCCGCCGCCTTGGCCCATCTGCGAATAGTGTGTGCTGTGTGTGCTGTGTGTACTGTCAAAAAGGAGGCCCCCGCGTCGTCGCAAACCTACCTATATCAACACTGGCTTCCATCATACAATCCTACCACGTCCAGTCATTTGATCCTGAGATGCCTCGTCGACCTAACAATCACTTCGCCAGCAACTCCCCTTCCGCAAACCCGCCGTCCTTTTCGTCCGCGAACGAAAAGGGCGGCGTTTCTATCAATCCGTCAAAACCTACATCTGGGAAACCTAACCGATTGAGCCAGCTCTTTTCCTCCTCACCCAAGATCAAACCAGAAACTCATACTACTGCCCAGGCCTCCCTACTTGCCGCAAGCAGAGGGTCTCTCAATCCTAACGGTTCGCAGATCAGTTCTCCCTCGTTGTCCCTACCAACAATTTCTCTTTCCACAGCAACCGCAGATTGCATCAACATGGACGAGCCTCCAACAACTCTCTTTCAACCTCCTTCGCCGGGCGAAACTCGTCGCCTAGCTAAACAGCATGCCCAATTCGGCCCCATTGGTCACCCTAGCCACCGGTATACCTCAAAGCACCAGGGGGGTGAATTCCCCGATCCTATTATCGATGAGCCACCGTACTACTACCTTTTCACGACCTACATCAGCTACTTAATCCTAATAGCATTCGGGCACGTGCGTGATTTCTTTGGAAAAAGATTCAGGGAAGAAAATTACAAACATCTCAAACCTCGGAATGGTTATGGCGCGTTGAACAGTGATTTTGATAACTTCTACATCCGGCGTCTAAAGATGCGTATCAATGATTGTTTTGAGCGTCCCGTGACTGGAGTGCCAGGACGTTATATTACTCTGATCGATCGAATGAGCGAAGACCAGAATCGTCATTTTCGCCTCACTGGTACCTTCACGGACACTTTGAATATGAGCTCGTACAACTACCTTGGTTTCGCGCAGTCTGAGGGCCCATGTGCTGATGCTGTTGAGGAAACAATCAAAAGATACGGTATCAGCTCCGTTGGCACTAGGGTTGATGCTGGTACTCAAGACCTGCATATCGAAGTGGAAGATCTTGTTGCCAAATTTGTCGAGAAGGAGGCTTCCATGATATTTTCAATGGGATTCGGAACCAATGCAAGCATTTTCTCTGCCCTGGTATCAAAGGGGTGTTTGATCATTTCTGACGAATTGAATCACGCATCCATTCGTTTTGGTGCCCGTCTATCGGGCGCGTCGATTGAAATGTTCAAGCACAACGATGTCAAGGCTCTAGAAAAGAAATTGCGTGAGGTAATTTCCCAAGGGCAACCACGCACCCATAGACCGTGGAAGAAGATCCTGGTCGTCGTCGAGGGACTCTACTCTATGGAGGGAACGATGTGCAATCTACCCGGTATTCTTGCTTTGAAGAAGAAATACAAGTTCAACCTTTTTATCGATGAAGCACACTCAATCGGCGCCATCGGGCCCAGAGGAAGAGGCGTCTGCGATTACTTTGGCGTTGATACGAATGATGTTGATATTCTCATGGGAACCCTCACCAAGTCCTTTGGTGCCAACGGCGGTTATATTGCTGCGGATAAAGTCATCATCGACAAGCTACGGGCTTCGAATGCCGCAGTGTTCTACGGCGAGGCGCCTACCCCACCTATCCTTGCTCAGATTTCAACATCCCTTAGAATCATCAACGGCGAGCTCTCCCCTGGTGAGGGCGAAGAAAGACTACAAAGACTCGCATTCAATTCCCGTTATCTTCGTCTTGGTTTGAAGCGCCTTGGTTTTATCGTATACGGTAATGACGACTCCCCAATTATTCCCCTCCTTCTTTTCAACCCCGCCAAAATGCCAGCGTTCTCCCATGAAATGCTCAAACGGAAAATCTCCGTCGTCGTCGTTGGATACCCCGCGACCCCCCTAGTATCATCACGAGCTCGATTCTGCGTATCGGCTGCCCACACCAAAGAGGACCTCGACCGCTTACTCTTAGCATGCGACGAGGTTGGCAATGTCCTGCAACTCAAATTCTCGAGCGGTGTTGCTGGCGGTGTGCTACCATCCCCAGAAGGAGAAACGTACGATGATGAAAAGAATAACGGCCTACATTCCGGCAAAAAAATTGTACATATCACCCCTCCCAGATGGAGATACGAGGACGTGATCCGGCGTGGCGTGCAGGATGTGAAACTACCACTTCGGTAACATCGCACAAAGCTTAGCAGGCTACCTGATTTTGTTTTGTTCCCGGCAGGTCGGTTCGGTTCAGGGCCATAATGTGATACTTGCAGTTCATAATTTGTCTCTGGTTTTTGCGGTTCTAGATATCGGTTTTGCCAGGTGCTGTTGTAGGAGTTCGTCAGGTAGTCTAATTGTGGCGGGAGTGTTGGGTATTTTGATGGTGTTTTTTGTATATGTTGTCCTTCTTGTTTTTTTGCCCTTCTTGCTTCAGCTTGCTGTTAATAAGATACAGTTCATAAAATCAATTCTGGCCTTGGTTCTCACCTAGTTTGGTGCCAAAGAAAGGGAGGGGTTTTATTTTCCGATAAAATGTGAGATGTTTGTCTCCAGTACGTTGCTGTTATCAAACATAATGGATGAAGGACTTTTTTCTTTTCTTTTCCTTTTTATGGCTGGCGATATTTTGTCCTATGTAACTCCTTTTCTCCCCTGCGAGGAGTGGACCGAGGGATACACAAAAGAGAGAGGGGCTGTTCCTTGTGTGACGCGGGTAGTCAAAAGAAGGCTATAACCTACGAGGTTGCGACATTACGTCTCATCAATTCAACATCGGGCTATAGGGAACACCGCCCCTGCAGAACCATTTCCGATCACACCACAATATCAATACTATCCATTCCCGCATCGCAACGCCTATACGCTCCTATATCACATCTTTAGCCTCCAGTACCGGATCCAAACGATCAAGGCGCTGCATTGCGAACCGGGAATCCGCCAGATATCATGCCCTGACTAACAGCAACCATCCCCTCTTCCCACACCAACTGGGCACCTACGATTCATAATCAAAAAATAATTCGACGGTGGCACAACATTTCAAACTCTCTTGCTCTCAACGAATCCACCCACTGCCCCAGCATCATCAAGACTGTTCGTGTCCTCCCCTTCTTTGTACTTCTATAACAAATTTTGTTCTTTATCTCGATTCTTCCCTACGGAACAGACCCTCACGATGATATTTCCTGTCATGTGTCAACGTCCGTTTTAGAAACTTCCCCCCAGTTTCCTTTCTTCCTTTTGCCATTTTTTTATTCCCCCCTCTTTGGAGGCATAAGGTACTCTTTATCATGTATGGGACTGGACCTGCTGAACAGGCACACTTTGTTTTGGGTGTGTATATGTACATGTGTGTCTATGGAAAGCGGAGCGTTGGGGTAAATTTTGGCGGGTTTTAATATTGAGTGTTGTTTCCTTTTCTCACGTTTAATAAACCCATCCGCTGCCACGAAAAACACCCGAGCACCTTTTCTAGTCCTTGCTCGGCTTGTGGATGGGGGAGTAATGGCATGGAAATGGCTCTTTTGCTTCGCTCGGCTTGAGTAGTCTGTTGATTTGGTCGGATGGTCGAATGGACGGTTGGATATATCGTGTTTTCTCCCATGTTTAAGTAATGAACTTGGAAGCAGAGAGGCGGGAAGAGAGGATATTATTTGGCTGGAGAAGGCATCTGGTGGGGTTTTCTCTTTTCTTTTCGTTGGTCATACATTACCCCATTAATAACTGTGCACCTAATACATTTTTCTCTCTGTTTTGTTCTTGTTTTTCTTTCCTTCTCCGTTTTCTTCCCCCCTTTCCCCCAATGTTTGATATATCGTTTGCCTTGTTGAGAGAATGATGCAAAGAGGCGAACAAGCGGCTAATCAGGTATATATATTGGTGGATAGGTGGCGCCTATAGCTGTAAATGCTAGGCTGAATGTAAAATGTTACTTATTTATATTTTAAATCAGTTGTAGTTGATATCCCATAACATTCTCTGTCTGACTTTTGCATTTCTTCAAACCATCGAGCACAGCGACACAATATGTCGTCATAATCTGCAGCAGATTTAACAACATTTTAATATAGTTATCCTTATCAGACACAAACTCTCTAAACTAGAACCATCATCTTGGGGATATATTTGCTATCCGTTTGCATAGCAAATCACACTTCTTGCACTTGCGTGCAACCCCCACTTCCCACCACAACCCTGACATCCATCGTACGCCTATACAAAGGGCCCACAACGCCTCTCTAAATTCTACCCATTTATACACTCTACGTCCCTATCTAACCGTAACTACATTTGCAAAAGGAGTTCCAACTGAACATATATATATATATATATATATATTCGATTCAATCTTCATTCGTTTCTGGCCTATATATCCGTATGTGAGGATCTCCTTCACCGGAACGAGTCCACCAGGCGGCAACCACAGCATTCATTCCATACCATTTCCCCCTTCCTATACACTCCGGGGCTTTCTGGTACAGGCAGAGTATAAAAAGCAGCACACAACCTCCCACCATCCTTTTATTTCCTCATCCTTCATATTTATATATTCCTTGCAAAAATCCCACCTGCTCAACAAGCACAACAGTGTCCCCCTATTTAATTCTCGTTTTTCTTTCCATCCCAGTTACTACTGCTCAACAAACAGCCATTCTCCTCGTCTGCCTTGCTCCCTTGGACTGCCTACAGATAGTCCACATTCCAGCAATCCCCTCCAAATATTTGGATCTTGAGCTTCAATTGGCTTGCAGGATATAAAGGAGCCAAAAAAAAAAAAAAAGGCACTGGGAATATATCTGGAGATCTCCTGTCAACCAGAAATCGAATCCCAAAAAACACAAGAGCAAAACAGAAAAATTGCCTTGAAAATTACACACGATGTGCAAGCAGGAAATTCGACACCATCCAATGCGACCACACAAATGAAGGGCAAATTCAGCCCCTACCAAAAATCAATGGCGGAAAGTTCATTACAGCGACGTTGTGTACTGTCGGGAGAAGTGAAGCTCTAGTATATAGATGAAGGGGTTGCAGATTGGGATGCTGGGAAGATGGCGATGCCAATATAGTTTGCGTCGGGGAATATTGTGGATTGGGGATGTCTTCTCGTTTCCCCTTCTATTCATGGTGCATTCATTCCTTGATGGACAACAAGTGGCGGGGGAAAGAAAACGCAAAAAAAAAAACATTACCTAGTTCCAGGGAGGCTTTTGGGGTCAAAAGCTGCTCGTTTCACTGAGTGGTATGATACGCGAGCATTTTCTGGTTCTTTTGTATCCGTTGTTTAAAACAGAATACACAATTTCATCGTCACCAGAACAAGAGTCAAAAGGCTAAGTAGGAATTTATATTGGTATGTGTATGTAAGGCACCCTCACACAATAAATAATGCACGTATCTACAATGATAAGAGTATATATGCATCTGTGGAGGAATGAAGTCCCGGGAATAGAAAAATCAACCATAATCCAACCATCAAGAAGCAGGAATAAAATATGTATGGATGCAAAAAAGGATACTGGAGGAGTATCAGCAACAACTTGGAATCGAAAGCATCTTGATAAACCAACAAGGTAGTATATGCATGAACGCCCGCCCGAGCCAGCCAGAACCTATCGTCTAGTGTAATATGATAATTATGATGCCGCAGAGAGGTATACCCGAAATAAAAGGAAAAGTAAGGCAAGGCTCAAGCAGGGAGTATCAGCAAAAAAAAAAAGAAAAGAAAAGAAAAGAAAAGAAAAGAAAAAAAGAAAGAAAAAGAAAAAAGAAATAACGCCCGGTAGTCAATCCCCAGGTCGCCTCGTCATTTCCAAGTGACCCAGCAAAGCGAAAAATATACGCAGGGCAGAGAATGCGTTCCGCTTAATAAAAGAACAAATGTAATGTACCCCGACGCCACAGAATATCAAACCGCGCCATATCTATCCTGTCCAACTATCAACAGTCCTTCAGTCTCTGCAGACAAGGTTCTCTGTTCAGGAGACACGGATGGAATCCACCCTCTCATCCACCCACTCACTCTCCGCCATTTGGCTCGACCCCGCTCAGCGGGTTCTAAGACGAAAGCCGCATCTTCCGTCTTCTCTCCGTACATTAGGAATTGGATGCCCATAGCCCCATCGAGTGCAAGAACACCAGCAGCGCCAAGGAAAAACGGAACTGCACATCCAATCCATTCGAGCCTATCGTTGCCGTCTTCACCAGCCCATCCGCCCCCGCCGTACGGAGGGAGATCAGACCATGCGTTAGGATTGGTGAGGAGAGAAGTTGAGTAAAAGAAGTTACCGCAGAAAGCTGCGAAGAAGAGGAGCGGTGATAGGCCTGATGTGCTCTGGCGGCGGTAATTTTTGTACAGTTGGGGGAGGCGGGAGACGAGATATAAAACTGTGGATGACCATGATATGATTCTGCCGGCTACTTTTCTTGCGTCCTCTTGCGATTGCATGGATGTGGGCATGTCATGTCCGTCCTGGCTTGTGGCGAACGCGTTGGCAAGGACTGCAAATAGCATGGAGATAAACAAGATAGTTCGGGGAGAAGCAAAAGGGGTGACGATGCTGCTGCTGCCTCCAGTCCGTTGAATAGTCCGGAAGGAAGAACGTTGCTTTTCATCTGAACGCGAGAGAGAGTTGAGAAAAGGAGAATCAATATCCACGCCTTTTGTAGAAGCAGCGTTTTTGGGTTCTAACGCCGATGCCGGCCTGGGAGATAGATCTCGAATGGAATGGCCTTCTGTCGATATGATGCCATTATACATATACCCATCGCTGAATCCCAGATTGCTAGTTTCCGCATACCCGCATTTCCGTAGTCGCCATTTCTCAAAACAAGCATACCAGTAATACTGAAATACTAGAATGACATCGACAAATACATAGTAGGCAGCGATGGTGATCTGCCAACCAGCCTGACGCAATAAGATGGCCCCCACCAAGTTTGTGGTATCGCCCAGACACCATTCAACAAGGAAGAACACGGAGAGTCCCGAGGCTGACTGCAACTGATAGTTTTTGAAAATCTGAGGCAGTTGCGCAAACAGCCAGGAAACGATGCTCAGTGTTCCTAAGGTAGAAGAGATTAGGGAGAGCCAAGTGGGAATGCATGTATGGATTTGGGCGGAGAGGGCGGCCAGGAGCGGAGAAGAGGGATCGCAGTGGTCTGGAAGTGAGCCAACCAAAAGGTTATGCACCCATGCTGGAGGCATTATACGGCAGAGCAGTTTTCCGTAATAGATCCTTTACAACGAAGCATTACTTGCCCAACGTATACGAGAGCCAAATCCTGCCCAATATTGAAATAAATATCTTAAATGATATTTGCAGGCACTCGTGGGAGTTGGCGATGCACTCGTGGTGTGGGAGACGTGCTGACAAAGATAAAGTGGAGGAGAGGGGAGTCACACGAGGAGGTCGTTGGACAGATTTCCGAGGTTTAAACAGATAAGGCTAAGCCGGCGAGGGGGGCAAGTAATTCTACTATTTGATAGCGCTACCGCAACTCAAGAATTCTATCCTGGCAGACCAAAAACTCGGAACATGAAACATAAAAACGTTAATGACTGGTTGCCGGGAGGGAGGGGGTCAGAAATGTTGGAATGTCACGTTGGGAAATCAAAGAGAAACGCGATCCCTTCTGACAAACGTGACTAAAGAAGGAAAAGGGGCACAACGAAATGAATGATAAACAAAAACAAAAAGGAAAGATAAGATGCTGGCGGGGATGGAGGCCTAAACAAAGAGAGATCGGGAGGCAGTGGTGTGTGTTGAAGATAAGAAAGGAGAATGAATGAAGGAGGAATAAGGATGAGGTCGAGGATCGCTGCACCTGATTAAGTGAGGCTGACAGACGGGGATCTCTGATTAGCGGAGAAGAGCCAGATTCGACACAGCTGAGTCATCCAGATTCAAGTCAAACTCTATTTGGATCTGGGGTAAGCTAGTGCCGATGTAGACTAGTGCCTAATAGGAAGGTTGGAAGGTAGAATTAATCACCTGACCGTAATTCAAACCGCTAGACAGAACCATTCTACTGGATATGATTGTTGGTAATGGGGTTTTCTCTCGCTGCAATATATATAAGTGGAAGGAAGGAGAGGTTCTGATACTCCTCCAATGTCAATGTTAAGAGCGTGACACATCAACCATTGACTGCATCTGTCTGTATGCTGGGAATTTGGTTGCATATGTGTGGCAATTCAAGGAAATTTCGGTGACTAATAACTAGCTACCACCTAACCAACTAGTTATTTAACCAACCACCAAATAATACTAGATAACTAGATAACAATAACTCAGGTAGAATGATGATGTGCTTATCTATCCAACTCCAGTGTTACTCTTTGCCAGACAGTGACAGGTTGGAAGAACCACGCAATGGAGCAGTCAGGCCTGTGTTTCAGACAAAAACTGGATCCGCTGGCACGCCGAGCCAATTCCGAGGCATACAGTGATGACGAAATATATTCTTCCCATGTGATGCGCACATTCGTGAACGTGCTACTTGGGTCTTTTTTGTTGAACATTGCCGACGTCTGTGCAGCAAACATCTAATCCGGATCCACGTGAGAAGAGTTGCGCCACGGAAAGATACGAAGATGGAAAAGATAAAGGCCCTTAACTAAGATGAACATAAAGCGGAAAAAGCGGTCTCAAGTTTAACTACATTAGTTATATCCCACCAATCGTGAACACATGAAATCATTACTCATTCTCTCCTTCGAATTTGCAACCCTTGACCGGACATAAAAAAAAAAAAAAAACCCAACAAATGCAACGACGTAACAGCCTTAATAAATTACATAACTACATCCATGAACTGAGATGAGTTAAAGATGCCGCTGCCCAGAGCCCGCAGATCCGAAGACATGAAAGCTGTGATGTCAATGCGTTTCTGAGAATTGGACATTCCTCAATTCCAAATTAATTTTAATGCATATTATTATGTCTGATAATAAGCCCAAAAAAGATACACCAGCCAGCCAACCCAAACCAGTATTTATGCAGCCCATCTCTGGTGATGCCAAAATAGACGCAACTCCTAAGAGACTTTCGATTTCCTGCCCACCTTTCCCCTCTTCAGAATTGTTGGGAACTCTTCGTCGGATGTTGCCTTCAAGAGACGTTTCAACTTCACGAGGACGGGCGAGATTCTTGTTATTGCCATGTCAACAGCATAGTGAGCAGTATAACTGCAGTTGCAACGCCAATCGCCATGTTCCAAGATCGACTCGATCTCAACGTAGGTGTGGCTTTGTTGGGCGCAATTATGTCAAATGCGTTCCCAAAGCCCCCAAAGGGATCTTTAGTTGGAGCGCGGGTGCGAGTTGCAGTAGCAGTAGCAGTAGTAGTAGTAGTAGTAGTAGTCGACGACGACGACGACGATGACGACTCTGGTGTAGTTGGTGTTGGAGGAGCAGGAACTGATGTCGTAGTAGAGAGGATAGAAGTCATGATGGTCGTGATAGAAGTAGAGCGGATAGATGTAACTCTGGTGGCAGCGGAAGTGGTCACACTAGGTGGTCTTGTTGTACGCGATGATACCTCTCCGGTTTCTGTCTCGGTCGGCGTAGGCTGAGGTGTCCTAGTTTCTGAAGAGGGAAGAAGCTGAGTATCGGTTGGACCAGGATCTTGGGAAGTCCGTTCTTCTCCCACCCCACTTCCACCACCATCCCTAATGACAGCATTAGGGCAGAGAGTTTGCACTCCAAGACTCTGGAAGAATAACCCTATGAGGGACTCGGCTAGTGCCCGAGATCCAATGCACGCGATATTAAGCGAACGCGACAGGGCTTCCAGCTCTGCAATACATGCTTGCGAGCAGGATCCTTTGTCCGTAAAGTCGCTGTTTGTGCAGTATTTCATATCGGAGGTGTAAACTTTCGTACATGTCTGAGTAAAGAATGCGATCGGTTGGATCTGGTCTAAAGAAATGGCGACTATCGATGAGGTATTGTAGGCGAATAAGAGATAGAGTATCAAACACTGTTTACGCATCGTTGAAGATGGCGAGATTCAGATTAATTTGCCGTCGCGCCGCGGCCTTTTCGATTGGGTTTTGATGTGATGTGATCGCAAGCGGTAGCACTGCGGGTGTGAGTTGGGAGAGATCAACTCGACATCCTCGGGAGTCCCAGCCCAGGTGCCCTTCTTCACTCTCCTCTCAAAAGAGCTGTGTATTTCAAGAAAGGCCGGTTCTCAGTCCATCCGGAGAAACTTCGTCCTTGGCAGAAGTAGAAGTAAATCAAGATGTCGCAAATAAAGATTGTCCAGGGGGAAATAATGAAAGTCAACTCTTCAATCTTCAGATTGCCTGCGACAGTAGAGCAATGCGATTTTTTTACTCATAAAACAAATCCATTTTGCACAAGAAGGAAAGAGACGATGCGACAAAGGAGAGACAATCGAACAAGTATATCCCTTGAGCAGACAAGAAGAAAAGGAATAGAGCGAACAAGGTAAGGAACCGGGCTGCTTAAGGGTAATAATACATGGCACTTCTGGATCCTGGATCCATGTTGACAACCTCCAAGGCTGTTTGACCAAATTTTATGCGAGCGATTTGGCTAATCGACCAGTTTATTGGCCTGTCTGGTCATTCACCAGTGTTGTGAGGGCCAATCGTCGCCACATTCAGGCGGGGACTTCTCAGGATGGGAGTTGGTAGCCTCAAACACTTGTTGTTTCCGAATACTGGAGAATTCACGACAAGCAAGCATAATATCGAGGAGGCTATTTAGCGCCACCCTTTGCAAGGCGATCGAGGAGCGATATAGTTATCCGGTTCCGTTGATCCTCGATGAAAGCTTAAAATGTGGCTCTCAGCTTCGCTAATATTCGGATGGCTGGTGCTTGTTGCTGAGAAACACCATGAAGAGCTGAGATCGAGGAGGCTTTTAATCCAACCGATGATGTCAGTATAGTTAGTTAACTACTTACCTCCAGCTGGTCATTTAATTCCTTCGGGCAAAATGGAGAAACCAGATATCAAGCGCCATGTACGCACTCTCTTTTGAATATGTCAAAGCTGCCCCGTTTTACATGACGCGATGCCAACCTGAAACGCCAGAACTTCACAATCCATGAGACACACAACGTCTTTATGCGTCTGGAAATGTCTCTCCCTAGGTGATGGTTGAACCAAGCTTGCCCAGTTGGACCCATTCTTGGAATTGAAACAACCAGTTTTCTTGTTTTGATCAACGACACAACTCTGTCCGGGAAAACGACCTCCGTAAAGAACTCGACTCGCATCAAGACGAATATTTGGTGGCTATCGAAAGCATGTATGCAGGGTTCTTCAAGGTCATAACGACTAGTTATTATCATTTATTAAATGTTATTCATAACAATACCCCGCCAGCTGCCCGGCGGCTTCATCTATCAAATCATCACTCCATCACCAATACCGGCCGAAACCGCACTCTGGCATGCACCAGGTCATCCATCGCCTTGTTCACATCCTCCAGCTTATATTTCTGAACCATGCATTTAATGCCATGGGTGCGCGCAAAGTCTATAGCTTCCTCTGCATCAAGAGCATGCCCTGTCAACCAGCCCGACACTGACAGAGCTCGACGGATCATCAAAGCTGAGTCCACGGTAAACTCGCCGATCGGCGATAAAACGAGCAACTTCCCGCGCGGAGCCAGCCCTTTCATCAACGGCTGAACATATTTGGGAATCGGAGCACTCAGAAGCGTTAATGCTGCACCCCCTATCTCTTGCAAGGCTGTCGGAATGTCCTGCTTGCTGCTGTCGATGAAATGGTGCGCTCCAAGCTCCCGTGCGAATTTTTCCTTTCCAGATTTGCTGGAAATGACGGCGACTTTATATCCCATTTTACTGGCGAACTGCACTGCTAGATGTCCTAGGCCACCAAGACCGTGTATCGCGACAAGGTCGCCCGGTGTGATTTCCATTTTCCGGATTCCATTGAATGTTGTCATCCCCGCGCAGAGAAGCGGTGCTATTTGAGCTGGATCCATGCTTTTTGGTACTCGAGCCACGGCTTCCACTCGAAGGATACAGTATTCCGCATCTGGAGATATACAAGAATTATTGCTAAGGTTTTGTTTATGCCAGAGACAAAGTGAGCTGGATGGCTATTGACTGGGTGTATAACTCACATCCTCCGGGCCTCGTCACACCATTGATCTCTCCACTGTCGCAGAGTTGGAAGTCGCCCCGGTTACATGCCCTGCAAATGCCTATGGAAATATATTTTCACGAATCAGCAACCAAAAATTCGGTGATTCCTAATGAATGAGACCCCTATCAAAGCTTTAACACACCATCGTGTCCACCATGCCATGGTCCGCCAACTCGATCTCCAATCTTGAAACTCTTCACACTAGGTCCAACAGCGTGTACTTTTCCAACTATCTCATGACCAGGTACGATAGGGCTGATTAGGTGTTAGATGACTACTGCAATAGGGGAGCGGTGATTCTAGAGCGTTTTGTTTCGACGAACTATGAGTTTCCAGCGACCCCGTCCTTCACCAGTACGTCTGAGTGACACACCCCACAAGCAAGCACTTTTACCAGAATCTCCCCGTGTTTTGGATACTCGAGAGGAATGGATTTAATGGATAGTTCTTCACTCTTTCCCTCGAAGCAGGCAACTTTGTAGGAGAGCGGGAATTCTGGTTCCATTTTCCTGTGGTTTGGTATCAAGCTCCTCCTATTGAGCTTCTGTTGGTTTGTCCTAAAAATGAATAATCTGAATATCGAATGGCAAAAGAAAATATTGTAGTGGCTGAGTAGGGATAGCTAAGGTGGGTTGAATTGAATATGCGAATCACGATCGAGAAGGCGAATGCCCCAGGAAATTTGTATTGGTATGGCAATTCTAAGGGTATTTATTTGCTTTTGGTGACATCATTTCTTCCCAGCTGGTTCTTGGTTGACGTTGAAAACTCACCCATATATTTTGGGTTTGCATGGTATCTCATGGCATAAAATAGGTATACTGACCAAAATTGAAGCCCATATCCAGGCTCCAACGATGGATACATGTTGACTTATGACATCATCGCTATGCTTGCACTCAGGTGATGGATTTCATCGCCAATAGGATGATACTTTTCAAATTTTCACCACATGAAGTTTTTTGTGATATGAATGCTGAAATACAAATCACAAATATCATAGCAGAGATATATACCATGGTTGCAAGGTGCGTGTACAGGCAATTGAAAGGAACCCTGCTGGCTTGGTGAAATAACTAAGGCCCCTGATTGCAGGTAACTATCAGATCAACACAACATGTTTCTCATTGCTTCCATTTTTGCAACACATCAACATCAAAAATCGACAATCTCAACATAGACACAGCACTTCCATGCTATCCACTCAAGGAATAGATTCTGGAGGGTACGGCGCCCTGGGATCTGGTGGCAATAAGTACGGGGGTCCCCTTTCGAGATCTTAAATCCTGCTTGCCTGTCAGCGAAAATCTCGTAATATTCTCCTTTGTTGAGACTCCAGGTCTCCTCGATACGTACGGTTTGAACCCGAGAGAAGTATGCGACAGGAGAGGAGAAAATCCGCTGAGCTGGAGCTTTGCACTATCCACCAACACTGGAGACCTCCTAGACAGGTATAACGAATGTATCGAAGGGAACGGCGAATCTTGGGGCGATTTTCCGGATATCAAGGTGCAGAGTCCTGATAGGCCTGGTACTTATTTCGCTGTCAGCGTCGCTGCTGTAGGCTGGCATAGTGTAGCACTCATCCTGGTGGACAGTTGATTTGGCTAAGAAAATCAGAGACAAGCATATCTTTGAACATAAAAGTAATGCTGAATCTTTAATAGGCAAGAAGACAAGAATGATGTTGAATGCATATTTTGTTTATTGTCCCTTTATTGTCTTATATGGAAAGGGGGCCAATCAGTCTACAATACTAACCGCACACCAATGGCATCAAATAGACGACGAGCATTCTGAATACATTGAAAACCCTCTAATTACGAATCGCTTCGAGCTTGGGAGCTTCCCACAGGCGTACTTCGACGAGCGTGGTGAGATCGATACCGATCAATATGACTTTAGTACGTGGAAATACGATTTTCCTGAAGACAGTTTTAGGGGCACAAGCTGGTTTGGATGAGATATGATTCTTCTCCTTGGAGATATGAGTTGCTTATGTACACTTCGGCACACTGGAAAATATTTCACTGGTTGATATTCTTTCTTCCCATTTCTTCTTGTAGTATTTTGTTCCTTTAAATTTTTGTTTCGTGAAAGAGCCCAGAGTAGGAACGAAAACCTTAGCTTAACATGAATGTTGAGCAGTGTCCAGATAGAAAATTAGTTGGGTTCCATATAATCAACGAAATGAATATTTTAAGGGGAATCCCGGAATTTCAACGCCCGAAACGGCCATCTTGGTAAATGTGGCTGTGGAAGAATTTATGACAAGTACAACACTTAGAAGATCTAGAGAGAAAGATGTAGAATATCAATGAAGCGAGAGCGTATCTTTTCAAGTCAACATTGCATGTGCCTGTAGAAGATCATGATTAGTAGCATGAAATGAAAAAATGAACTAGTTTTGTAATAAAAACAAAAGAAGAGATATAATTCTCGAGAGCAGTACTCTTTAGGTAATATATAGATACTGCACCCAAGAAGTAGCCAAAAGAGAGAAAACAAAGGAAATAGAACCTCGGGTCCAGAAAATTTGACGGAAAGTAGAAAAAGAAGGCCAAGGCGATTTTGTGACCCTCGATCAACTGGAATATAATCGCTGGGAAACATGAAAGTCAAAGGAAGAGTAAGACCAAGGAGAAGGAAGAGCAAAATGTGGGAATAGCAAAAGAAAACTAAATTCCGTGAAAGAAACTAAGCCATCAAAATATGAACGGAAGAAAAGGGGCGAAACCAGCGAACCTTAAAATGAGGAAACCGAAAGGGCTATTTGTAGGAACGAAGGAAGAAATGGACAAAAAACAAAAAGAGTTTTAGAAAGAAACAGTATCACGGGGTATTGATTGGATTGGAGAAATATATATGGCAGTGACAGGAAGAATGAAAACTGTCGAACAAAATTTCTTGCTTTATAAGCGGGGTTTAAAAAAAAATTCCACAGAAAAAAACCACAGCAAGAAGAAGTAGAGAACCTAGAAAGGAACTCCGAGAGCAATGAGAGAGGTAGGGAGTGTGTGGAATATGGATGGGGTAATGGGGTAATGCTTGCCCAGTTACACAACCTGACAGGAACGATGTTCATGGGACAGAGCAGTGGATGGGGGATGGATGTGGAGATCCGAAAATTTAACAGAAAGGACATTAAAAAACGCCCAAGAAAAAGAAACAGGAAACATCTTCGTTAACACCGATGTGTGAAGATCGCTGATCTCATCGAATGTTTGTACACCGGAGAGCTTCTTTGTTCATTTGGATCATATTTTTCGTTAATCGCCAAATTCCTTTCGTTTTGGTTTGTTTTTGGCTGAGGGAAATCTCGATATCGACGCCGAAAACGATGTAATAGAATAGGAAAGAGAGGTAGAGATAGATATCTGTGTTAGATCGCATATAATTTTTTCGATCTGTGATAGATGAGACATAATTTCGCACGTAGTGATCCTGTCCCAGATTCCGCGCCAGCTGGCTAGCGGGATTGTAGGAAGAGGAATTAGATGGCGGGTATCGTTTTATTTAGAAACAGACGCTTGCGTTTTCCGAGACATCCAGCTGGTTAGCAATTCGTCGAGTCGAACAGACATTTCATTTAGAGTTTTACTCTCTTCTTTGAAGAGACTGCCTGTTATCGGATGATCAGGGCCAGCAGGGGTCACATTAGACTTGTCATGAACGATGATGAGGAGGTCTTTGATGTCAGCGTCATCTTCGAGATACGACCGAAGACTAGCCTCACTCCAAGTTGGTGTGTTAGTCGAAGACGTGGGGGCGCTGTTATCTTCCAGTTTGGTATCTGGATGTTCAACAAGTTCAGGGGAAGACAGAGTTGGGGAGATGAGAGGATTAAAAGGATCATCGACTGATGAGGTATCCGCAGTTAAGCCTGGAGGGTTACTGCGGTTTCGGAATTCTGGGGACGAGATGTTGACCGGCGATTCTGAAATTTCATCTTCGCCTGCGGCAATAGCTGTGGATCGAATACTCTCTTTGTTAGAAACGGCTGTGCTGTCTACCGACTTTTGAGAACCATCCAAGGAGGAAATCGATGTATTAAGGAAAGTAGTTTTCATTGGGGACACCGAGCCGGACCTGAGTTGTTCTCCTGACGTAGAAGTTGTGGATTTTTCACGGGCCGCGTCCGGAGATTTTACGCGAAGCGGTTGTGGTGCAGGGTTGTCTTGGGCTTCAGATGGAACAGCTCGGACAAGAGTGGCAGAACCCTCCTTGATTGGTGGCGCCTTGGAGTTCGCCACGTTGCTAGGCCCATGTGGGGTGGAAGGCTGTCCACTCTCGCTCTTCGCTGGCGACATCTCAGGGGGTGGTTTGTGTAGTTTGCTGGGATTTCGTTGCGGTGCGTTTTGGGATTTCGACGCCGGGCGTTCCTCCTTCAATGATTCACTTGACATCTTGGGAGGAGTTGACGAGCGTGTAGACTCTTCCGATATCTTTTCTGATTCCTCCACGTCATCGTCAGTGGCCTTGCCTTTCTTATCTTTTCTCTTGAACAGGCCACTAAGCATTCCCTTCTTCTCCTTCCGCTTCTTGTCATCCTTGCTTTTGTCTCCTAAACCGATGGCCTTATCAAAGGCTTCAAGACTTCCACGTCCTTTCATCTACAGTATCAAATTGAGATTAGTTGGCAATTGCATAGAAAAACATAAGTTCTAGATTGGGGCTGTGGACGGTACGGTACCTCTTTGGGATCATTCGCCGCAGACACACTATTCGAATCGTCACGTAAGAGATTGGGAGTCAACGATATTTTCATGGTCTCGACATTATCATCTTTGAAGAAGGAATCTGTGTTTCGAACCACACCGTTCCTCGATCTGCTGCTAGTCATGTCTTCTGTTTTCATGGTTTAGCAAGGTGACATGTAACTAGGAGTAGCCAGATCTGACCTTGTCTATCAAATGAATCTCCACTTGCCCGAGCCTTTGTTGGACTGGGCTCTCGAGCGCGTTCCTGTTCTTGGCCGTTTGCAACGTCCTTGTCTGTTTGGGAATTTGCCCGAAGAGATTCGTCGACGACGTCCTCTTTTTGAGACCCTTCATGTCCATTGGAATCAGCGTTGTCATCGTCGTCGTCGAAGAACTGGTCGTCGCCCTCCTCCTCCTCCTCTTCGTCGGTAGAATACTCAATATCGGACGGTTCATGGTAAATTGGAGAAGAAGTAAATGTGACTGTTTTTGCATTTCTCCTTCGCATGGCTTTTTTTAGGGGGTTTTTCGATTTTTCCGCATTATCTCCTAACATCGTGGCAGAAAGCTAGAAAAAATATTAGCCACCCAATAAAGGCCAGTTATCATTCCATAAACACACATCAATATTTCTATGTTTATTTAAACGAGCCAACCTTTCCGTTGGGGTTTCGATGTGTTCAGCGGGCAGATAACCTAGTAATATTAGCAATGGCACTGGTAAGCGGCGGCAGAAATTGAGCCAACCTATGCTGCCATCCTTCACAACCCTCACAAGCCACCAGTAGCTATTACTATCATCTAAAAGGACCATCGTATCGCCCTTGGTAGCATTGGCCTGCCCTTCGACTGTAGCTATGAAGGTATGTAAAGCGTAGACAAATTCGAAATCAATATCTTCTGTTTTGATGTAAGCGGTTGTTATCACTATAAGATGTAAAGAATCGCAAATAAATATGAAAAACATTATTTCCTAAGGTTTGCAGATAAGTTTAATGGATTGGTCGTGCGGCTATTCCCGCCCATTGTTGCAGTTTACTGAGAATTTCGAACAACTCCATAGCATTGAACACTCGAAGCGCCATCCAGATTGCATGAATACGGAGACGGATTACGCATATGGGATGGGAGGTAGGATATCGAGCGTACAATGACACCAGTGATACACTGAGTGAACAGGGCACTCAGTCGAACGAAAAGGGTGTACTCACCATCATCAATTGACGGAGAACTTGAGATTTTGTCCAGCATATCGTCATCCAACTGGTCATCGCTTTCACAGTCGGTAATGTCTCCTTCCTCCGCAGACAAGTTGCCGTTGGAATACTGATCCATGCCGTCATGATGCGATACGGTGGTATGTCTGTTCATTTCGTCCTCGGAGTCATCGTGGAGTCTGCGATCTTCAGAAACTCTGGGGCTTTGAGTCAACTCCTCGCGGGCCTCCTTCTCTGCATTCCGCATCGACTGACTCTGGTGTGGCGCTGCTCGATTCCCTTCCGGCAGGACCACTTGTCCAGACTGGCGAGAGTGGTCTCGCGCGGAGGGAGAACTACGATCTTGAAGATCGATAGTATCTAGAAAATTGGAGGTCGCATCAGATACATATTAATCCAGAAACAATATGCAGAAACCCCGGTTAAGTTTTTATGCCAATGGATGCTCACCTGCCCGGATTATCTGGGGCCTCGTCATAGTTGCTGGTTACACGACAACAAATATATGGGCAGTCTGAGAGGCTAATGAGTGGATTAAATGGAGAGAACAAAAACAGAATTAGCATTTGCCAATAAAGCCTCCACAAGGAACGACGTTGAAGGACCACGAAACAGCATGCGTCGAAGCGTAGAGTAAGGTAGAGGAAATGGGCTGCCAGCGGGTGTTGAGGAAACGATGTCCGCTCCAGAGCGGGGAAAGAGAGAGCGAAGGGATGTAGGTATACACGCCTCGAAGACCTGGAAAAGCCAGGGTAGTAGGGAGCAAAGGAGAAGACGAAGGCCACGATACGATGGCCATGGAAGAACGACTGAGCGGAGGGGTGGATTTAAAAAAGGGCAGACTGACGCCCGGCCAGTATGTGTTTGTTTTAGGACTCAGGAGGTCGAAACGGGAGACTTGGCTGGGTCTGGCTGGTTCCTAAACCAGGCGCGTCAATTGGACGCGGCTGTCTCGCTTACTTCCCCTGGCGTCTCCCTCGCGATAAACTGCTTGAGTCCAAGCCAATAACCGCCGGCGGGATGACACGGAGCAATTAGCCGTGCCCCGGGGAAGATAAATTTGCCGCCCGAGACCCACGTGACTGTATCGCACCCGTTTTTTTATCTTGCCCTAAACGACGCACAACTTCTACTTGACAATTGCAACCACCGTCAGGACAACCACCGCGCCTGCAACGATCCAAGAGGAGCCCGTCTTCTACAACCAATCGTCTCTGTCTGACTGCAGGCTCAAGTATCCCGGATCTCATCTCCTCGCCTCTCGTTGGCCCCCATCCCACACAGACACAATAACTCTGGGATAGTCAGCCGCCCGCGTTCTGGTGCCGGCCCGCGAGTTCCTTCTCCCCGATAGATCCAGTGGCTACCTAAGCTGGTTGATTTCTATCCCTATGATTTTGTCTGATATCTTTTGCGGAGATACTATCGGAGGCCTAGCATTTCCCCAAGGTTATTCTTAGATACTTTCTACTCTCCATAGCCTCGCCATTCGAAGGGATCACCACCAGCCGTTGCATTCACCCCCTCAAGGTGAGGGCATGGCTCATGAGGAGGTGCTGAAGTTTGAGAATTTGACGTTAGACCAGAATTACCCAAAGCCGTCTGGGCTTGTTGACAATGGACATACATTTTCCCAGGATGGCAATGGCTGGCGGACTGCTCAAGACCTCGCCAGTGCCCACCGCCCGAATCTGCGTGGTGTTGAAGGTAGTGATGGTGTCTTGAGTGACCTGCACACCCCAACGCCACCCATCCCTGTTCCCGTCCCTGTCCCTGAAGAACAGCATTACAGACCTGGTCCTACTGATGACCTGGAGTATAACCATAACCCCCGCTATATCCAGCCTTCCCCCCTCGAACAGTTCGCCCGAAACGATCAACACTCGATCAGCCACAACCCTGAGTTTTCTTTTGAAGTTGCAAACAGCTACCCACCGGAAAAGCCCACAATCAATACGAATGTTGTGAATGTCGAATCATCTGCGGATTATATACCCCGCCGGAATCATGGTTCCGAAAACTCCGCAAACGCTTTTCCAATTACACCGCCCTGCAAGGTTTTTTTCTCCTCAATTGAAGATAGTTGTGTGGGTGCTAGTGGACCTGCTGGAGAGCGCCCCACTTCTCTTACTTCTCTCTCTACCGCCTCAGCCATAACTGATGAAATCCGAACTCCGCCAGAAGCCGCCAGGGACATATTGCTCTCGCCGTTTTCAGTGTCGCCGAGAGTTTACAGACCCGCCTCATTGGACGATGCTGGTGGATGGTCCAACCCCGCACCCCAGCCATTTGGGAGCCGCTCCAAAAGCTATACTCTGGGCAGAGATGGCAGTTTGCGCCGCAACATGCGTCAAGACTCCAATAGGACTGCCAACTCGAGTGGCAAGTCTCCTGCGAGCACGTTTCTGTCTTTATGGAGCCGTGACGAAGCTCCTTTAAATCCTGATGATGAGGGTCAAGTTGTAGGAACAGATTATGTGATAGGCAAACAGATTGGTTTTGGGGGATTTAGCACCGTGAAGGAAGCATTTAAGGTTAATGAGGAAGGTGGGCCAGAGCGGTCAGCTGTCAAAATCGTCAGGAAGCACCTCGCTGGCCAAAGCGAAAGGGAAAATGACCAGGTCCAGGCCGAGTTTGACCATGAAGTACGCATTTGGCGATACCTACATCATCCCCACATATTGCCCCTTGATGCAGTTTATGAAACCGACTATGCCACGTTTTGTTTTACCAGATTAACTACCAGGGGTACTCTATTCGATCTTGTCCGCAGACATCGCCAAGGGCTTGAAATGAACTTGGCCAGAAACTATGCATACCAACTAGCGTCGGCTATTAGATACTTGCATGAAGATGCGCGTGTTGTCCATAGGGATATCAAGCTTGAAAATTGTCTTCTGGACGCACCAACTACCACGGAAGACGGGGGCGCATTCCAGCTGATACTCTGTGACTTCGGAATGGCAGAGTGGATGACCACGGACAATGGTAGTGATAGCTCACCTGACCCCTACGACAATGCCGCAGATCGACCGCCGCCCAAAGCCATAGGCCCTTCGGACACTAGCACGAGCGTCGCTGGAAGCCTGGAATATGCATCACCAGAACTTCTCTCGTCCGTTGGTGGGCTACTCAATCCTATCGTGGATATATGGGCGTTTGGAGTTGTTGTCTTTGCTCTGGTTGTTGGCTCCCGGCCCTTTCAGCATGCCTTTAAACCGCGGATCAAAATGAACATCATGGATGGCCGCTGGGACAGGTCTGCTGTTCTGAACGGCCAGGGTGATCCTCAGGAACGGCAGGATGCGTTAGATCTCATTCAGGGATGTCTGGAGATGGACCCGGTGAGACGGTGGACTATTCGAGAAGTCCTAGAATCTCGGTGGTTACAGCCCTGTTCTAACAGCGCGGATGACCCTTCCGATGATCCACAATGGAGGTTTTAAACTCCTTCATTTCCCTCCTTTTTTCTTTCTTTTTTTGTAAAAGCAAGGAGGCGTTCACTGTGAATTCAGGGCATGACGATATATGACGGTGTTTTGCAATGATTTGTTTTAACTGACATTTCTTATATCCGGTCCTGAACGTGTGGGTCGGTCCTTGGTGGAATTTTGCATGCACTTTTTGTTTTATATCCCTTCATTTGCACTAGTGTTGTTATTGATACCCATGGCCCTCTTTTCTTTATAAATGCCTGTTTCGACAATGTGATTCATATACCTCTATGCGTTTCTTTAAGTTATTCTTTTTTTTTGGTTGAGCAAGCTCTGGGGCATAGGAATATTTTTTACTGTTTGCGGTCTTGGGACTTATACCTTCTGATTCTCTTTTATTCATTTGAGCATTTTTATGGTCTTTTCAGCGTCGATGATGCTACGAGTGGTTTGAATTAAACCCCCCCCCCCTTTTTTTTTTTTTTTTTTTTTTTTTTGTGTGTGTGTGTGTGTGTGTGTGTGTGTGTTCCGTTTCAATATATCCTATTTCGAATGCTTGTTGCATTTTATTATAGTGTTTTTTTCTTCTTCTTTTTCTTTTTTTCTTTCTTTGCGCCTTTCTGTATGAACATCCAGTTTCCCATGAACGCCCACCCTCATGGCCTCGTGTATTTGTAACAGCCACTCTCTGTGGTCACCCCCACTCTCTTCTGTGCCTAGCCTATTTTTCCCTTTTGATTTCTGATCTTCTCATCGTCTTATCTCATTTGCTTTTTCTCTAGTTTTTAAGGCATTGTCGATTCGCAGAACAGCAGCATGGCATTCCGGCACCGTCATGTTTCCATGCGCAGAAGGTACTCTTTACTCTTTCCTAGCAGGGTATGTATTGAGACGGTTTCCAGCGCCTGTGGCGCTTGATTATTTATTAATTCTCTGGACGGCGGATTGTTTTTATTTAACCCTGACCTCACTCACACCACCGGTTGACCTCCCATTTTTCGCTTCTTGTCATTTCAAATAGTTTTCGCGAGGGTTTTTGTTCCATTTCCTTGTCTCAGTCGATTCTCCACTTCGCACGCGTCACAGATTGCTAGATCTTCAGTTTCCTTTCGCAGAGGTTAAATTTTCATTTGTCTGTTTTCCAGTCTTTTTAACCAAGCACTGGCGTTTCATGGAGCTTTGAATGGTGTTTTTACCTTGAAATAATCATGATGATGCAGACTGCGTTAGGTAAATGGTTAGGGGAATTTTCTAATGGATGTACCTAAGCAAATTCAATATTACTTATTGCGAGACTGGATGGTTCCAAGGCTGTTTCCTTGTCTGTTCCAATGATGGGGGTCAGTGTAGACCTGCCTTATCATGATATATAATTTGATGTGTTGAAAAGCTTCATATTTTCTATGTGAGAGGCTTGTCAAGATGTCATATTACTATTGACCAAATGAGATGGTACTTCCGAGATTTACATCAAAATCGACGGCAGATCCATTATTTGTATCAAAAATAATAATACACATGCATTCTTTAATGAAATTGGTTTCTCTAGTTGAACAATGAAACCTAGGCAGTATAGGGTAGACTAGTAGCAGCATGAGAACTGGGAAAGGGGAGAGGAAGAAGGAAGCCCCCTTATTTCGGGGTTTAGAAACTATAACAAAAAAAGGGTCACGCTCCCATCTACTCCATCTACCACAGCCTATTGTCACTCGAAGGCACAACTTCCTTACCCTTCCTATGTGTCTTACCGGGCGCCCTAAAAAACAAGCTAGGCGTTTCACCCTTCTCGACAAGATAGCTCAAATACCCTCTATGCGCAGGATCACGGTAATATTCAATATCCTTCCGGTTCGTCGGGTCCGGCAGGCGATATGTAAACCCATTCCCTTTGATACGGGGCTTATCAACACCCATTCCAATAGTCAGGTTCTCGCCTGCATTGAGCCAGGCAAGCGAGACGAACGGATCCGTCTTGCCGGACATGATCCGCTTGATGGCATGGCGAGTATAGTATCTAGTTGTGATGGATCCGCCAGCAGCTTCAACGGCTTCAATCGCGGTGGCGGAAGCGCGGGATACGACGATTTGAATAGGTTGCTTGAGTGCGTCTTTGCCGCCACGGCCCAGAAGTTTGACGCCATCCTTGACACCGTGGATACAACGAGATTTTGCTAGTTCGCGGACGGTGATGGGCCGGGAGGGGTCGAGCCGCCCTTGGTCGATCCATTCTTGGATTCGATCGACGTTGACTTTGGATATATCGAGGGAGAACCTGGGTGGGATTTCGCGTTAGAATATTGTTCAATAATATCCCATAATTTTGGAGAAAGGGTGGTAGATGGAAATGGATAAGGGAGCAGGGCAAATATTCAGCGCCCCCCCCCCCCCCTCTCCCTAGAGAAGCGGGAGGGTTGATAGATTGCTTACATGTTATCGAATCCACGTTCGCCGTGGACTATCTCATCCTTCGTCTGTCCACCATTGAACCCCGCAGGGACCTTTCCGTGCTGCTTCTGACCCTTGTGACCGCGCCCGGAGGTCTTACCCTTTCCTGATGAGGGACCTCGACCACGTCTTATGCGTTTGTTGTACGCCGTAGCGTTATCAGACAACGAGCCTAGGATGGAGGCATGTCTAGTCTGGTGCTGGAGGATTGGGGCTGACAACGAGGGCGGATAGACGGCGTGGAATAGTGAAGGCAGCTGCATTGGCAGCCGCCAACTTAGTCGGGGAGGCATTGGAACGGTAAGTGATGTTGAGCTTACATCCGGTCTGGAGATGAAGTCCAAGGAGTTCTTTTCTCAAAGGCGGAAATCGATGTCATGTGACTTTGTATTAGTCATGTACTTTTTTTAATGGAACCATTTAAATAGGAGCTTGGCTACTGTGATGTCATCCATCCCAAGCACCAACTAGTTAACTACTTCGACGAAAGATAAAATCAGCAAATATTGCGACTGGTGCACCTGCAACGGGGAAACTATGCGGAGGAAATTTTAGAGAGATATCACCACTTTAGGCCGATTGAAAGGAAATCAATACAGCTGTTGCATGCCGAGTCGAGCGAATTAACCAGCCGTGGACCTCATTGGGACTACCCAACAACCATCAAACCTAAGACATCAATGACATTTAGTTGAAAGTATTGGATGTCAGTCAGCTACGTCTTGTATCTGCAGCACGAACTCTACTTATATAATTAAACTCCCCTTGGTACCCTCATATATTGAAAGTAACTATCTCCATTGTCGTCGTATAAACATAGTCCTTTTGATCTCTGTTCGCCCATGCCCGACTGCTGCGTATTTTCCCTCCCTAAAACAAGCGGTAAAGACACCCCCGCAGCAGCCCAGGATGGGCGATATACATAAAACGATCGCTTGCGTAACAGTCGCCATAGCACTCGTCCTACTCATATTCAACCTCTACCTTCTCGTCCGAACAGACCTATATCCAATGGCCTACTACACCTCGTGGGAAAAGGTTTAGAGAGGGGAACCCACGCATAAAGCTGTAGGACACCAGTCTCTTTCATTCTTTACCCTACCGTTATATTACTTTCTCTTCGGGACAGACGAGTAAAACGCTATCTTGAAAACCGAGTTAACCAGAGCTTACCACTCTCTATTAGTCCCGGGATCTGGGACTAAGAACGATAATACGAGAAAACATTCCTTTGATACTTCTTTCTACCAATTTATGTGACGGGAACTCTGCAGCTCGTATCTCTTTCCTACCGCCATCGGTGCAGATATGGAGCTTGAAGCTGCTGCGTGGGAATTATCTGTTATATAGACCCACTCAAATGGTGAATGAGCATCGTCCCTACAGCTTCTTCGTGCCGGATGTTCACTGCAGGACGGAAGGGAATGGGGGGATGAGGCTTGGTATGGGCACGTTAGAGAAATATTTATTGAAGAATGATTGACCTTTGGAGGCTTCGTGTCATTCCTCCACACCTGGGTTTTAAAACATAAACCATTATCAAGTTATCATTTTTGTAGGGTGCAGTCGTAATACATCAAAGACACATATATAATGATAAAATGGTAGTTGTGTAGCGAATAAGCTATATTTTGGGAAACTATTCAATTATGAACGCAGAAAAAATAATGGCTAAGAGAAAAATTTTTTTTTTTTTTAAAAAACCGGTTGCTACGAAAACAAAGCAGTGTGAAAAAATAATCTGCATCATATGATGGTGAACAAAACGCGCTTCGAGAATAGCCCTGCCATTACTGCAAATTGCGTAAGGTAATCAAGCTCCTTGATCGATCAATACTATAATTAGCCAAAGGACACAATTATATCAGAGTAAACAAACAATATTTTAAGGGGACGGACAAGATGATAAGCCGAGAAAGGGCGACGCTAAGCAAGGGAAAAAACAGGTACATTATAGAAAATACAGTTGACTTTTAGGATAAGACAGTCCTCCAGAAGGGAAAAACAAGAACGAAAGAACACTATGACGCCAATCCATTATTATGTAAAACAACGAAAACCCAGGGCAGAAATTAGAGAACAATAAGATGAAGGATTAAGCCAGCCACAAAGGGTTGAAAAAGCCAAAAACGGAATGGGATAAGAGGGAAATATCTCGAAATTACGATTATTTCAAATGCTTTGCGGCGGTTACTTACTGTGCGACGCATCTAAGAAAGAGGATCCCAGGATTATGAAATTAGATAGGTTCTGAACGAAATGGACGCGGTGATATTTGGAATCGAATGTGTCACAATGGGGGGAGAAGAGTTGTTGGTAGAAGTTGTAAATCAGCGGTAGTAAGCTGGAATTGACTGTTTCGAGGAGGTATCCATATAGGGGGGTTTTTTTGGAGGAGAGGGTCGGCGGATATTGCTAAGGCTAGATTGTTTCTCGCAATCTCACAGCGCACTTTACTCCCGGGACACATCACGGCCAAACAACTTGGCCTTAAACCAATCAAATGCAACAAGGACTCGGTTGCGAGCTAGGAATGTGAGGGTTAGTTTTGACATAAAGAGTCTTTTACGTGGTGCTTGTTGTAAAGAGAGTGTGGTGGTGTGGATTTAAAGGCGGGAACAAATCCGAAGAAAAGCCGGCAGGCTAGGAGAAGTGGGAAAATACTTACTGCTGAAGCACATGCTTAGATAGACACTGCGCCAGAAGAGATAGGTTAGAGTCCCACCGCTGGCAATATTCCCGCTCAGCCAGCTGACATCAGCTACAGCACGTTCTTTGCCTATATATGCGAGACTTCCTTGGTGAGAATACTGGAAGGGACCAATCTGTTTGATTCTCCGAAGGACTTTCTGTAACCCTCTAATCTCGTCCAGGATTTTGGTCCGGGCTTCCTCATTTTGAGCCTCTGCCTGTGCCTTCGAGAGCTGCTTCAGTTGAGCGTCAATAGCTTCAGTCTTGGCCATGCTGTTGAAAAGGCGGGCAAGGAATGCACCCTCCTGACTGGCCACCTGGGCAGTTGGCGCATAATTGGTAACCGCACAGTCGCCTACAGCCCAGATGTTCTCGGTCCCGTTCACGACGAGGTATTCGTTGACTGCCAGACCACGACGCGAGTTCTTCTGTTCTGGTATTTGATTTATAAGATCGCGGACGACACCACGGATCGAGTTTCCAGTGGCCCAAACCAGGAGACCGTAGGGTATAGTCTCCATCTCCTTGGATCCATCTGGCTTTGTAGCTTCTGCTTCGATATATTTATCGGAAACCTTCTTCACCGAGGTCTTTGTAAGAATTGTGATCTCTTCCTCCTTGAAGGTGGATTCCGTGTAATCAATTAGCTGCTTAGAAAATGTAGGAAGAACCTGTAAAGGGGAGTCAGCATTCGTTCACAGCTTCGATGGGCAGGCATCAATTCCATACATTTGGAAGCGCCTCCACAAGCGTAATTTTGAAGTGATCCTTTATCTCCGGCACCCACTTCTTAAGATCGTCGTTGAAGAAGTCTTGCAGTTCGCCAGCGAACTCAACCCCAGTTGGTCCACCGCCCACCACTACCATATGCAGAAGTCTCTTGACTTCCTTCTCAGTTTGGTCTTTGAAAATTGCAGTTTCCACGCAATCCATAATCCGCTTCCGGATTTCCTGAGCGTCCCCGACTTCCTTGAGGAAACAAGAATGCTCCCGAACGCCAGGAATGCCTGCAAACAGAATTATCAATATACTCATGCTTCCGGACTTTCTAGAGTAACTAACCAAACGTAGAATTCTCAGCTCCAACACCAATCACTAGCATATCGTAGGGGACTTCCGTGGTCGAGGTATCACCCTTGATAGCAGACTCGTCGCTAATGTGAACCACTTTCTTGTTGGGGTCGATCTTTGTGGCACTCGCTTCATAGTATTTTACCGTGGCCTTTTTCTGGCGGAGAATGTTCCTGATGGGTTCCATAATAGAGCGGTGCTCGATCAAACCGGTGGTACAGGACGGGAGAAGAGGAGTGAAGAGGAAGAAGTTACGGGGCGAGATAACGATGACATTGTAGTTTTCCGTGTCCAGTCTTTTTAAGAAAGATACAGATCCCCATCCCGTCCCTAATTAAACATATATAGATATCAGCACAATACCCATATACAAAACAGGGTATGTCGACTGCATCAAAATTGGATTGTCCGCGTACCAAGGACAACAAGCGTTTTCTTAGACTGGTCAGGAGTAAGTTGGTCTTCCGGGTGTCGGAGTAAGTAGATGTTGTACCCCAATGCGCCTATACCACCCAAGAAAGAAAGCAGCAACAATCTGCACGTCCATCTGAGGGCTCTGAACCTCTGCTTCGGCTTCGGCGATGACGACGGAGGGGGAGCGGTTTGCGCATCCGCATAGGCTCTGCGGAACGATTTTTGATGGGACACTTTAGATACGGAAGTGAATCTCAATGGCTCGCGATACATGCTAGAATGTCGCGACAACGTTGACAGAGAGCTGCGGGCCACTGGCGACAACCTGAGAACCGATCGGGCGAGCATGTTGGTTTGAGTCATAAGCAATTTGGCAGCCATTGCTGTTTCGGCGCCGCACTACAGCGAGGAAAAATAGAGCAAATTGAAAATTAAAGGGGAAGGGAAAGCGCAACGACAAGCGATTTCACTAAAATGCAATCTCATGTCAAGCAATCCCTGAAAATCGTATGAGAAGTAAGTATTATCTCGTTGTCGCCGTGGTTGCGACGAACCGCGACGGAGTAGGTTGCTGACTGATCCACTTTTTATTTAGCTACTCCGGGTTCGTTCTTCAAACCAATCCCATTGCCCCGCCCGATCCAACTTTTCTTGTTTTGTCTGTTTTATCGCTTTTTGTCCTGCTTTAATCAGGGCTGAAATCCTATTGATTTCCTCTTTTTCGTTTTTTATTTTATTTTATTTTTGAGAAGGACGACTGCCCTTCGAAATACCCATAATTATCACATGCAGCGAGGCTGTTGTTATTTTTGGCCCCGCTTACTTCGTACGCGACTCCCATCGAGGCACACACACGGGTGGTTTGACGTGGACCCTCTGCACTCTCCGACATCTCCCGCAAGGTTCTCCAGATTTTCTGGAAAATGACTAGAAGGCCAGGCTCTGTTGGGCCGGCTGTTTGTCCCAAAATCAAATTTTCAAGCGGGGAAAGGAATACATAATGAAGATTGGTGGCCCGAATTTGCATCCAAGACTTCCTCCTAAACAAAGCAATAACCTTATTCATCGGTGGATCCCCCCCCCCCCAATCGCCCCACCGCAAAACTATGGTGTTAATGAGGCTGCGGTGCGCATAAATTTTGTCATATCTCAAGTAAACCTGCCCCGTACGTCGTGACTCGCTGCTGCTGGCAGGTTTTTTGTGTAGCTGGATGCTTCCGAGTTTGGAGTCCCCTCTCCTTTTGGGGGGAGAATCTTATATCAAAAAGATCACAAGGCAGAGAATTTTTTGTGCATTTGCCATCAACCGCGTTAACGTCATAATTACAGGATGGATTTCAAATCCACCTTTTTTTTTTCTCTTTTTCCTGTAGTGTGCTGCAGCTCTCAATAACTTTAGCAGCTTCATGGGCAACACTCGTCACCTATTCCGAGCCAGACTGTCCGCGAAGTTCGGAAGATGTCTCCTGCAACAGACGCTAATAAAAGAACCCCAGATGAGTGCCTTTGGTTATATAGTCGTCTGGAGGACAAACTGTTTTCGCAGTCAAAAATGCATATCTGCGATCTACGAAGCGTTCAGCGAAAGGCAAGTCATCTATTGGTAAACCATTAACGGGAAAAGCCACCCAGTAGTTTTCATTTTTTCAATGGGTCAAGACTTTTAAGAGCAAAACAGCTCCTCAATCATGGTCCTAAAACTTTCAGGAACAGAGCCTCTGTGTATTTTAGCCAGTGCCAGCGGGATTTTCCCCCCGTTACGTTTTATCATCTACGATCTGGCAGCTAAGTCCCAAGTATGTTTGGTGAACTTACCTGAGCTTGAATATGTTTAGCTAACTAACTACTAGTAAACTAGTTAGTTATACCTAGCGACTAACTATCCGCATGTTGAGTTTCCCCCGTACGCTTCGTCTGAGCAATGTTCGAATCACAGGAGGGAAAGAAACAGAGAGAGTAAACACTCGACTCGCAATTATACGCTCCGCGAATTCTTCCTCTAGAGTTATGAAGCCCAACCTCCGAAGAATAAAGTCCCTCGCCTGCAATGGATTTCACTTAGAATGCACGGCACCAACTGGTATTCGTGCTTGAATTTATGTACCCAGCGTGGTGTTGCCTGCAGAGCTAGTGTCATATATCCTCACCATTAGATCCCAGCCAGATGCCATGACAAAATTTTCCGTGTTCTAAGATCTAATGCCCAGCTGCCCAAGCTGCCGATTGGCCCCTTAACTACTCTCTTCATCAAAGAAGATGTCAGCTTGGTAATCTATCTAAAGGGCTCCAATGCCGGGCTGTTCAGATCTCCCACGTGTTAGTTCCAGTCCTACAGCTGCTATCACTCAAGGCCATTTGCCTGGACGCTGTTCCTGCTCAATGACAAAGCTCTTTCATCGAGAAATGAACTTCAAACCATTTTCATTAGCATTCTTGCAGGAATTCTTTCCTGATGTGACGATGTCAATTACATCACCTCTGAGATCTACCCTTGCACTTCATGATTTTCTGTGTGTGATAAAAGATTTTTGAGAAGCCGCCAGTTGATTTCTGCCCGATCATTCATCCATTTCTGAGTCCCCTTAAGCTAGGAGATTGTCATAGGAACCCTTAATACTCTGAAAAACCTGTACTCTGGGGATTCTGAGGTTCTGGCAGAATGTGTACCCTAAGAGATATAACTTGCTAGTTGAAAACATATCACACGTCTCATGCTGAAGTGAATGTCAATAATGGCTTCAATTTAGCAAAGTGATTTTGCAAGTTAAGAGATGCATTCAGAAACATGCGCATGCTATCACTGGATGAAGTCCACGCAGGCTTGACTTGCACAAATGTATCCTCTTGGACAACACTCCAGACCACGTCTCTCGTGAGAATGCTCATGGGAGGTATCACCACTTGGATTTTGGCAGGTAGAATCCAATGGAATAGCCAAGTTTGCTGGATTCAACGAAGACAGTGTAGTAAGGAAATAACACACACAAGTGTTATCCACATTAGCAGATGGATCTTTTCGCCGTCATTTTCATTTTTTCCCCCTGGGATGCTTTCTAAATCTTACCAGATTGATCTTCGCCCACCCCCAAAATTACAGGATAGGCTGCCTTGGTTCCATCGCTAGCCGACTCTCAAGATGGCTCGAAAAAGTGAAATTTCATTCCAGAATAACTCAAGGAAGGTAATGTTTAGATGATCACAGCAAAAGATTAGGGGCCACTAACTAACCACTACTATCCACTACCAGCGGAAGCAAGGTTTGAACAGTGACCCGGTTACAGCCTTCTTTAACCAGTATCCCAAGTTCAACTATCGCAAGAATGAGTCGATTGCGTCGGAATTCTACAGAATGTGTGACCACTTTGGATGGGGAAAACAGAACCAAGACAGAAAAAACGCACTTTTCAAATTCAAAAATGCCATGGTCATGAAATTCAACGACTTGTATGGCTCTGATACCGATGATATCAACTGCTGGCACCGTTTGTGCATTGCAGTTGATATTGATCCTCTACCACAGACCATTAAGGCTTGCAAGAAAGTAAGAACGGTGATTCATCTGAGACCGTTTCTTATGGCAGGCCAGGCAAATGAAGACTGATTATGTGATCACAGGAAATAAAGGGCGTTCATGTCAATCTTGTTGATCTGGTAGACAACACTACCAGACAACAGGCTAGGTTGTTTGCATCCGTCGATGAATTGCGGGCTTATACCATAAATAATAGCAAATATTTCCCTAAGGAATCAGCTTACGCAGGAGGAGTGTTGAAGTATTTGCTCCGAGAGATCCACAACACTCGCTAAATGGATATTGGAGGAAAGAAAGGTATGGGGTAAGGACACCGGAGAGAGGCATATTGACGCTCTTGTATGTAGTTTTTTCACACAGCTCCCTTGCTCTGCCTTCAACCAGCAAAAAGTGCAACTTGATGACACGGTTATATTGGGTTCATATGCAATCGTTCTACATTCCCACATATAATGGACGAAATTCTATAGACAAGGGAAGTATGTAGATTCCAGGTAGCTACAATACGGACCTGAAGAAGGAAAAAACTACTATTGCCCTCATAGTAGTCTTATTCCTGTTAATGGCAGGCAATCCATAAGTTATCAACCATGAAACCATTAAATCACGTGACATAACTACACATGCAACACACTAGTGTTCGCATATCTTCAAATCTTTATTTAGTTAGTTAGCTGTTACTATGATTGTTTTTGTTCGCAGTTACGCATCGACCTGACCATCCATGGATGCTGAGACTGATGCTGATGGACACCCTGATTGCTCTTCGCTGCAAATGCCATACCTTCCTCTCCGCTCCTGGAATCGTTGAAATATATATATACATTAAATGGCCGAATTCTGTAAAATATTAGTTCCGTGTATGTACAAATAATGCGTGCTAAAAGCACATTTGTTGTGTGGATCGCATCACCTTGGCAGGTGGTTCAAGTTACTCACAGTATTCAACTCCATCAAGGCAAAGAGAGGACAGGGCTCTGGGTTCCCATGGCCCCTCCCCCCCTGACAGCGGAGAACTTGGGCTCCTGGGGTATTGCGAATGTTGATGCTCATTCTCTGATGATATGCTACTCGGGAGTATGGTCATAGTTGCACTTGCATCCAAGCACGCAGCCATCTCACGAGGCAAAAATTGACAAATTCCCCGTCTGTGTGCTGTCAAATGCAGAAGCGGCTATTCCTTGCATCAAATTGTGCATGATGAGGTAAAGCCAGAGTCAGAAGACGTATCAACAGAACTATATTTTGAGTCTTTCTGACGCATATCTTACAGGAGCATTCATATCGTGGTATTTACAAACTTGATTTGAAAGAAATATACAAAATGATAAAATTCATCTGAATCATAGAACCCCGAGGTGAGCAACATGGTAAGAGGAGTGAGTGATCATCAGGCATCAGGTAAGTAGACCAATCAGCATATCGCATGTATTCTTTTTCTCTCCAGGGCTTGCATGCAAGCAGATGGCTAGTCAGTCAGTGACCATTTTATATATATATATATACTGAACGCACCTCCTTTTTCAACGTTCCACGAGACGATGCTAAACAACTGGCTCAGGAGTTCCCACTGTGCTCAAGCACTGGGAAATATACAGTGTGCTTGCTGAGTCGCCATTTTTAAATGGTGAACCCTACGCACACCCGATACGACACAATTAATATTTCTCTTTTCTTTTTCTTGTTTCTGCTGCCTCCTCTACGTACTACCCCCCAACCACACTTGCTGTTTTGCTTGGACCTTGCTCCCCTCATCGAGAAGGAATAGCAAGTTTTCTTCCTTCAAAGATGCCACGGAGCGTCAAACAGCTTTTATTCAGCTGAATCCCCTTTGCCCATGTCTACAGGGCTTCTTTTGGCACTAGGAGACATATTCGTAATACATCCCTAGGGCACAATCGGGCACACAAAACAGGATCGGGTGAGTGGCCTTTACCGCTTTACCTTCGTTACAATATAGACCCGATACATGTGCATTCGAATACGCGCCACGGAACGGCACTGCTTGAATTATTGACGCAACAAGCAAGTCGTCTTTTTTATGCCCCAATGCAAGGCCTTGTACTCCATTGACGATGGCTTAAAAGTTCGGTTTTGGCTTTTCCCACGTCCTCGTGATATATCTTCGTTATAATCTTTTAAAGCACTCGCCTATAACTCAACTTCGAGGTATGCATCACAAAGCTAAATAGCCAGAGTGATCGCAAAAAGGAAATAATTAAAGAAGTGATCATTGGATTTGCTCACTGTTTGCAGACAAAGACAGAAAATAAGTTTTTTCAACAAGCAGGAGTTAAAAAAGCTAAAGAATAAGTATTTGAGCATAGTTTCCATTCTAATGCCATTCCACAAAGAAACAAAAACCTTCATTGACTTGGATCTCCTGAAAGGAATGAATGCTAAACGGCGTGCGGGAAAATGAATACCAAGTTCTCAGGGGTATTTCACATCAGAGCCCAAGTTTCTCTCCAACAGCACTGTCAGCCATTTGCTAGATCTGGTTGATGTCCATGAGGAGTGCTCCTGGAATAATGGCACGGGCGGCAATGGAATAGACAGTTATGTCACTACGGCCCTATTAAGGGTCCCGAAAAGAGAAGCAGGATCCTTCTCCACCATTTGTGCACCCCCTAGCTATCCTTGACCAGGAATTAGGTGAATGGGTTGAAGATGAACCGGAATATACATACTAAAATCGAGAAGATCAGATTCGCCAGATTTGATAACGCAGTAGCAGAGAGTCTCTGATGCTTATCAGGGTCAAACTTGGTTTCGTTTCAAAATATTGGTGCTTGACTTGTATATCTGAAGTTTCCACAAAGCACCATCTCCCCGATTTCACTTCCAGTGACGAGAATCTTCAAGGGCTGGAGGTAACCAAGGCTCCCCATTCCCTACTTATAGAGCAATCAAACTCCGGGGACTCAACTGTCCATATCGTCCTTCCTACCCCTTCAAGACATACATACCTTTTTCCATCAACCCCAAGTGACACTCTACTCGGCAAAAATATAGGTATTAAAATCAATGGCTGGGGGGACAACTGATTGATCTTCTCTCTCCGACGAAACCATATCTATGACAAAGAGCACTTGTCCAAGACCATGTATCATACCAAGTATGCAGTTCAGAGATATAGCCCTGCTCTCAGAGAGGTATTAGCAGGTGCAGCACATGTAACCATTTGACTCCGAAAGAGAGGTTTTTACAACGCTGGATTAGATAAGTTTTCGCAACGAGGATGCCAAGTCACCAACATGGAGAACCCTTTCGTCAACACATATCCTGACATTTATTTCAAGAATAACCTTGTCTTGAATACTGAGCAAGCATTTGCCTGATCTCTGTATGGGATGGTAGGAGTCTGACTGATAAACACAGATCTGAAGAAGAGATGTCGTCCTATCTCTCTCTGTCCCTCACAAGTACAACGGCTCCGGAAAAATCCTGTCGCTGTTAGGTGCGTGGGTTCCGCGGATAGTGACGGCAGGGCATGACCTCAAACAGCCATAGATGCTCACCGCACCCATGTCGACACTGGTGGGAAGGTGATTCTAGGCGAAACGATAACATCCTGTCTACTCTCGATGGCGTCAATCGCTTGTTAATCATGTGTAGAAGAGATTTCTCTTGATAGGAACAGCGCAGCAAAATATCACGCAGCAGGCGGTAACTGAGGTCCTGTTTCGATCTGGACGGGAGAGTCGCCAGCCACAGTAGAAATCCAAGAGCCCCCTCAGACGCCATCAAACTTCAATAGTTTTGTGGATTTCCCTTCTTACAGCCTAACGGAATGTTTTTTTATCTGCAAGCGGATTCCTTGCTGGGGGCAGGGCAAGATTCTTGCGAGATGCGGGACGAAGCCTGGTGGCTGGGACCAACCCGTAACAAATAAAAGGAGAGGAATACTTGGTCCCAAGTTTTCCCATTCTCGTTCGAATCAAAAATTCGCACCAAAGAGTTGGCAAAACCTCAGCGCCTGCAAATGTGCTCCGTAATATTCCTGCTATGTTGCTATGTCACTGGGCTTCGACCCCTGTTTTGCTTGGGGCAGCTAGCGATTATTAGCGGCTTTATTTAGGCGTTTAGCTTCCTTAGCACGGTGTGTTGCCAACTAAATGTTGAGCTTCCTTGATAAGTTATTCCAGCGAGCAAAGGGCTGGTTTCTTGGGAGCTAAGTTGAGCATTGAGCGAAAATACGGATTCATTATTAATCTACAGCGGGAAAGGATTTAATTATTTCTGAGTGGGATGCCTGCATTGGCCTGGTTCTTATCGAGATAGTGGAAGATGTGACCAGGTGATTCGTCCATAAACATTAAAGGAGAAAGTCATATACTTCGTTCAACCTGGAAGTCTGCGTGTTGCATGGAACCCTCGACGCCCGTCGTCATTCTTCGTGGGAAGGTGATTAACCAAATCGGGTTATATTGAACGGATGGAATCGAATCCCATGCGTTCGTGTCAGGTCGTGTCATGTTCTGGCACTTTGTTCCGGTGTTCCTTTGTTGGAGAACCATGCGAGCTGGAAAGTTAACTGCTTGAAATTTATTAGCCTGACTTTTCTATCTTCTATGAACACTGTTAAATTTCTCTTCCGGCTTTGGTTAAGGAAAAGGCAACGTGTATTGACAGAATACCATGGAAGCGAGTGGTGCTGTGTAATAGTGTCAGCTTTTATTTTGCATCTCGTTTGCGACAGCTTTGTTGGCTAGCTTCAGGCATGGGAGCTGTTCAACTCCTCCACATGATGGTTTCCATGGACGAAGAAGGTTAGCTTCAACGCGAGTCAGCTGTGATATGGACAGAGTCCATGGAACTTTTTAGAGCGGTGTATGTGAGACCTTGGTCTCGGCTTGGATGGGAACGGCAATGCAAGCTGCGGTACCTGATTTCGATCTTGGTACTTGGATGAATGATAATAAGGGAGAGATGCAGGGCAAGCAACAAATTTGCGATATGTTTAATTGTGCTCCTCCAAGTCTTAACATCTGATTAAGGCCGATGATCACTGTCAGTTTTCCCGTGTCAGAACAGGATTCCTAAATTATGGTGCGAGTGAAATCCAATAATGCTATATAATGCGAGGCAAATTAGCATATTGCATAGGTTTGTTATCTTCTGGCCCCGGCTGATATGCGAACGTGCCCAGCGAACAGGATGTTGCCTACCAAAATCTGCCTATAAATTCTCCAATAATTAACCAGAGAGAAAGTTGTTGGTGCCGCCTCGTGGGCAGTCAAACAAGGTGATCCAATTTAAGATGTCAACCATGGGTCGATCAACAGGGGAATAATCATCATCAGAAAACGACTTGGGACATCACAGAGCAAGGTGTTGTAGTTACCGGAAGACCCAATTATTCAGTTTAGGCTGAAGTTGTTCTCTCCCATTCCCAAGCCATCCATGGATAAATCGATCACCGGCAGCAATGAATTCTGGACAACTGATTGGGTGACGCATGCGTTGATTGAAGTTGGCTGGAGTGTTTTCCTCAACCATCCCCAGCCGAGTGGTTGTTGGCGTGGATTAGTCGAAGTATCAAGTCTGCAGCGGGTTCACTTCTCCTTTGAAACAACCCATGTGGATGGAATGGGTCTGCCTTTACGTTACATCATGTGACAATCCTTTGGGCAGCAGAATGTAGGTAGTAATGGATGGTTTTGGAAAACGGAGGTTGTGCTTGAAAATCACCCTTCTGTTTGCGTAAGATTGCCACCTTGTTGACCAATGGAACCCAAGTTGCGAGGCTTTTTGCGTGTAACGAATATCCGCACACACATTACGCGCTAAAGATGAGAGAAACGGACTGGCACAAAGAACAAACCAGGTTTCTGCCGATTCATTATATGTGACCTCTGGTTTGTACGCTGGTCTCTCGAACAAAGTGCAGTAATAAATGATCCATATTTGTTTTGTCCAAAGTATACAGGGCGTTACAACGTTTCAAAGGGCGGCTAGCAGACTATGGGCCAATAATCTACACGACAGTGGGCGTCATTGAACTCCCCTAACTATGGGCTCAGGTTTTGAGTGCAGGTTTGGTTTGTGCTTGCTTTCTGCAGTCAACTTCTTGGTGTCCCTTTCACCTTTGAAAGAAGCGTGGATGAAGAAGGCTATCCAGATCTTCCGGCGCATTTCTGGCGCCTGCTCATATTTTCATACATTGATCAGATGGTTACCCGTTTACATTGCGGCCCAATGGTCGTTTCTGCAAGAGATGCTGGGTGCAGACCGCCTTAAGCAGGCTTTCAAGCTTCCAATGTTGTGATTTTGGCTGTTTCGCTTGAAATTGCTCTGCGGCTTTCTGAAGCGGCTTGCTAATTTATCACTGCTAGTTGTGGTCAACAAAATCCCGCTACGATGTCGAATTTGAACCTGAAACAAATCGGTGATATCCTCTTCCCTATTAGGGGCATCGATGTTTAGGAGGAATGCAACCAATGTGATTTGCCGTTTGTCCCAGACGGAAGACACCAAATGGACTATCATCCCAAAGCATTCGGTTTATCAGTCTTTGGACAGTCTTTGGAGATCGCCGACATTGCCCTGGTCCTCATCCTGGCGTCATCTCCTTAGTTGGGAAGGCAGGAAAACGGATCCAAGAACTCCTCGTTAAGCTGGTATTCAGCAAGGGAGAACGTGGAGCATGCTCGGACTTGGTTGATCTGATTCAACCCTAGGTAGGTATAAACCAGACGTGGTCACTCCCGGGCTTTAATGTTTATCCAGTAGCTGTTCCAGTCGTCTAGTAGGAAAGAAGGCAACCGTTTCTCCGACCAAGAGTTAACTACAACACATATGTTATTTCATGTCCGCGGGAAAACTGATGCATAGGAAGCACGACGGTTCGACTACAGAGCACATCCAAAAATTTGTCTGAGCGGCCCAAACCCGCCCTCTCCTCTGGCTGGTTACCACTAACGCTTTGCTCGGATGCAAGGAGGGTGGCGGGCGGATATTAATGGCAAGAATTTTCAATATAACTTTTCAAATCTTAAGGATCTTAACTGCACGCTGGAACAAATGATAAAGCAGGTATATCAAATATTAAGTACGATTCTGAGACCTGGACATAGGCACACACGATGCGTTTCTTTCAACTGCCCCAAGTTCCTCCCGGTACTCTGCATGGCGGTCTCCGTGTGGTCGTGCCCAGACAGTTTTGTTTGTTATCGGTAACCGATGAGAAGTTGATCTTATTGGCTGAATCAATATTTTGACCATTATTTGTTTTCTTGCCCTTAAATAGACAGAGACACAATAGACAGAGACACATTAGTATATGGAATATTTTTAAATATTAGCTGGCATGTATCGCTCTCCGGCCACCCTTTAATCCTTGGCTGGTATCACTGGCCCAGTCTTGTTCAAGAAGCTTGCCCCCTAGTAGGGGGCATATTTTCGACATATCAAATAGTTAATGGTCCTTACGAGTTGCCATTTAACTATCGGTCAAACCTTCATATGCGTGTCTAGGTTTGGCGGTGTGTGCCACTCGAGTTGCAAACCAAAGCCGCGTTCCTTGCCCTGAGTCTGTCGCCAAAGAGCAAAATAATTAACGAACTAACTCCGTTGGCAACGTAAGCTGGATGGAATTTGAGATGGATGCGAGGTGGATACAGCGGAACCCTCTTTTATTTTATTATTTTTTTGTTCTTCAAGTTCTCCACGACTCTCTTTCATTTTCATTGTTTTGTCAACACGACCCCGTCAGCGCTCCACACATAAGGGCACCCAAGATATCAAGATAGCTCAGGTTTTTGCTCCAACAAATCCATGCCCAGGATAAAACAATTTATGAATGAAAAAAAACCGGAGCTGCTTTCCAAATAGAAGAAAATGAAATGAAACAGGCGCAAACCCAACCTTCTTCGCAAAGTTTTACCCCACCACAAGCCGGGAGCAGCTGGAATATGGATAGCCCCAAAGCCTCAAAATTCATAATTACGGACATGGGTTTTAGCAGTGAGCATCTAGGTTTCAACATGAGGTGCCATAGAGAAAGATGGGCTGGAAGATAAAACCAAAAACAACCTTGGAATGCCAAATTACGATTTGCGGTCTGACACTCACCAACGGTCAAGGTTCCGTCGTCAAGAATTTTGCCATCATCGTCGTACCTGGCAATGTATGGATGAGAATGAGATTATATATGTCCTTCGTCCAATGTCTCCAGGAGGATGTGAAACTCAAAAGCCACTCCACCATTCCGCAGCAGTACCAGCAAGAAAAAGTCCCGTTGTTCTATCCAAATGGCTCTACTCTTCCGGAGGCACCGATGCAACTTCTTCAAGTCCAGACTTCCACTGCGTAAGCGTGCCAAACGCACAGTTTAAACCTATCCACTACCATCTCCGTCGATCCTAACCATGTCATCATTACCGTCATCACTATTTTCAATCTTTCAACCCTCGGAGCTGTGGACATGAAAAAAAAAAAAAAAAATCTCCAGACACACCCCTGTTCCAGTGGTTCCTTTTTTCCACCCGGAATACGCAGCGTAATTACTGGGTACGGAAATCTACTCAAACAATTTAAGAAAAAAGAGTTTTCATCAAACAGCACAGTCTACAAGTTCCATCAATAACTAACTCCCCTCCGCAGCGAGGCAACATTAACAAACCAGCATGCAGTAGTTAGCATGGCTTCCTGAGCGATTATGAAATCAAGGAACTTATTCTTTAAGAATTACATATTCATCATTGCTTGAATTATTCTTCTGTCATTCATTCCCTTTTGTCACTTGCGGCTCGCTGAATAGTGCTAGATTAATGCAAACACAATCAATCAATCAATCAATCCCCTTGGAACACCCCCCATTCCCGACGTCAAGCTCAAACATGTTGTAGTTGTAAACGACGACCCATTTAAACCCACCCTCCCAAAAACACACAGCGGTACGTTAGTCTAAAACACCCAACTTTTTTTTAGCGTTCTGATCATGTCGCCGCAACGAGGCTGCACGAGTCCGCAGCAGACAAAAAATTGCTAAAAGTACTCAATCCCGGGGGGCTTCGCAGTCAAATAAGCCGCGTCAATCCTTCCCTCAAACCATGAGCCCAAACCCATGAATGAACACAACACGAGACAAGATTAGGGATGTTGATGTGGACTTAGGGGTTGAAAAGCTAGCCCCCAAGCTGACAGTAATGGATGTAAGTACTCCCTGCAGCTCAACAACCCCATGCTTCGAATAATACCGCGGCCCTTTTAATTGCTGGAGGCCGCACAGAGAACATCGCCACGCGTTTCATATACGATGCAGAAAGGATAGCAGGTCGTACATGGCATCTAGCATTCGTAGGAAGGGATGAAGGGCGATAGTTCATATCATTTGAGCGCATATAGGCTGGTACGCTATGCTGTCTAGTTCATCCTTACGGAGCACTTCCTGCGGACACTTCTTGTGTTTATCTTCTGCCTTGCTTCAGCATCTTGGATGTGCTGGGCATCCGTTAGCGCAAGTGCAGTACATGGATTCTATTCGCCTTTCATATATTGTAGATACACATTAGACGACAAGCAAATATCTTAAGAAATGGGTTGTTGAGCTGGTTCTGCTGTTGTTAACCCGTTAAGATCTCGTTTACCGAACAGAACAAATCGCAGCGCTATATTAGTAATTATTTCCTTTTTCTCAACAGCTCAATAACTAATGTCTTGGATAAGTACCTGGATAGAGAGACAAATTCCACTACTATTTAGCGGAGGGTAATCCGTGGAAACAAAACAAGCCCTCCTTTGACGTTCCGATAGTTCTGTCCATCATCATCATCCGTCGTAAATAAAAAGGGCTATTTTGTCATTTATGATTGATGGGGAGGGAGGGTTACGGAGTGTGCGCACAGCAACCACATGCCTCCCCCTCCCCTCCAAACAATGGATCCAACCACTAAGAGTGCAGCCAGACATCCGACTGGATGTGATACGTGATGCAGTTGGTGACTGGCAGACAAGCGTGGTAAGTCAGGTCAGCACCTGTTGCAAGTGGTTATTATTCACGATTTTGCTCGACGTAGCATAATTAATAGTACATAGAGTAGTAGTAGTAGTATTAGTAGCAGGCGAAGGCTGTTGGATTGAGGGTACATGCACCATACAGTAGTTTCAGTAATTAACAGAACGTACCTGGGCCCTGGTGGTGTCCGTTCTTCGGTGAGCCTAGGTATCCCAGGAAGTGAAGTTTTAGCGTTTTGACTGCAAAGAGGAGAGAAAGCAAAAAAAAAAAAAAAAAAGAATCTGAAGTCTGGGTTAATCCCCTCATCTTCTTTGATTATGTGCCAGAGAGCGACTTCATCTGGCACCGGCTCAGGCCACATTCCTTTTGCATAGTTTGGGAGAACTGGGTCAGGAAGCGAGGCGTGTTCCATGTCCTTGTCGTCGCCATTATTATTACTATTACTTATTTCCTGCCGCATCCACAGTTCAAACATCAACCGGTCCTTCGATATTACCCTTATTCCTTTTTTCTTTGGTAGTTTTTTAAAGCCCAGATATGATAACGAGAGATCAGCCTCTTGACCAAGTGTCCGCGCCAAACTTTGCCCAACAAAAGTTGACTAACCAACAAATCCCAGCTCCGGTTTGAGGATGTGCGACCTGTACTGTCCTGTACCTATACGTATGTTGAGGTGTGTGTGAGCATGTGAATGAGAGAGAGTGCGTTTGTGGGTGGATGAGGGTGGATGTTGGTGTGGATTCTCGAGTTGACTATTCTCAATCTGCACAGTCAACGGCAGAAGAAGTAAACCATCTTTTTGTATTTTTATATTCCTTCTGCTGTCTCCTTTGAACATGGATATTGTAACTACAGAACCGACTAGGCATGGAGTAGGTCAGGGAGGTGATGTTTGTGGATTTTTGGATTCTAAATACCTAATATAACATGTAAATGGCTAGTTATTTAGTTAAGATTTGAAAATTAATAATGTTCATTTTTAATTCGTTGGCTTCATCCTTTCATTCCTCCGTCTCCTCTCACCCATTTCTGCCGCCTGATTGTACTCCCATTTCCCGTTATTGACTAATTAGTCTTTTTTTACTCTTGCCACTACTTTTCCGAGTGGAACTGCAGGCTGCTATATCCATCCCACCATGCTCCATCCGTGTATGTGAGACTTCTCCCTCCCGAGTGCCGAAAGCTTCCTATATTCTCCACCAGCCATTCCTTTTCCCTGGCCTGGCTGAGGGTTGAGAGACTCAAAAGGGTGAAAGGGGGGGGTGGTGGTGGCTGCTCATCGCGCTGCTATTATTACCTCCTATTCACATTTTGACCGTTGCCTCCCCTCCCATGCTTCTTCTGGTTCACTTTATAAGTACCATTATATTCCTCTATGAAAGCATCAAGCATCGTCACTGTCAACATCAAATCCTTGAGCCAATCAGTTCAAATAACGCACTCACTTCCTCCCCATCTTCGAGTCAATTCCTGGCTGTGGCTGTTGCCGTCGGATTCAATATACCACTCGCTACTCCATCGATCTATCTATATCTATATCTATCTCCAACCATCCGAGTCCCATCACTTTCCACTCCCCCCCAACTTGCGTCACTCTTTGCAGACAAACGGGTTCCAATTCAATCACTTCTCTGTATCTCTTATGTGTGGATCAGGCACTGCTTTGGTGGGTGGATTAATGGAACGATAGTACAATTGAGCGACTGGATGCCGCCATTCCAGATGATCCGCCTCAACTTATCCGCCGCCTCTGCCTACCACCTCTTCCTGGGGGGTTGATATATCAGCTCCTGGTCCCACACATCTGCCGTTTGATAACAGCCTGACTTCACTTTCACTCACAGCAACGAAGCTCAACCATCGCTTTATATCTCCTTCAATATCTCCCTCTCCCCCGTCTCCCCCTGCCCTGCCCCCCGCCCCCACTTGTCGCCCCTCGCTCTCCTACGTCGTCGTTTCCGCACTCATGTCTAGCGTTCTTTCCGCCGCCCAGCCGCAACTTGGTTCAGCATACTCCTCAGCCTACAACAGTGTTGAAGGTGGTTCGTTCGGAGCCAGGATACTCTGCAGGGCCGAAATCAGCTCTCGAAACACCGCGAAGCGGTCCATGCCCTACAATTTTGGATTATCTACGCCACCAGAGGATATGACAGGTATTGCTGTAAAGCAATCTGTCTCATCATCCAACTATGGACCAAAAACATATGGCATACCTTCGTCTTACTCGAATTCAGCCTCTGAGAGATCTAATATCCATCTGGTGACGGAAGGAATGGCCAGAATCTCCGCTTCTGTACGAGAGCAGCAACCTCCGTCCCTCACTAGCCAGGTACCAGAGACCCATACGAAGGAGAGTTCCCGGAACTCGATAGCGACGTATCTGCAAATCCCAGCATCCATAAATCCCAGCAAGGGAAGTCTAGCGGAATTTGCTGCTCAGGTATGTAATCTGTGTCTTCATTATGGAACTGCGGGCGGGGCAAGTCCGGGACAGCAATAACTCACTGATGCCTTATTTGTCGATATCAAGATAACCTGTCTCTTCTGGTTCGAAAAAGCTTCGAAGCTGAATGTTGTCTTGAACCCCTCGTCCTTAAATTACTCTATACCGCCGCTCATGCCTGAATCGACACCAACAGTAGGTTTTCGGAAATGGGTGACTACAATCCTCTCTACCACACAAGTCAGCCAGAATGTCATACTCCTGGCTCTCCTGTTCATCTACCGGTTGAAGAAATTTAACCCCACCGTGCGAGGAAAGCGAGGAAGTGAATTTAGATTGATGACAATAGCATTAATGATGGCGAATAAATGTATAAAGAATACTCTAGTTTCTACGTCTACTTTATCTGTCTTGCTGGTATTGCGCTGACTTGGTAATAATTGATAGTTCTGGATGACAATACTTACACGAATAAGACGTGGGCCGAAGTATCAGGTATCTCGGCCCAGGAAATTCATATTATGGAGGTTGAGTTCCTGAGTAATGTGCGATATAATCTATTCGTTACCAAAAATGAGTGGGATCAATGGCATACGAAGCTTGGGATGTTCGCAGACTATTTCGCCCAAGCATCTCGACTTCCCCCTGACAACGATGTACAACCTACCACTCCGACTACGCAGCTTTCTCCCGATCTGACTCCAATAAGTCCAACAACATCTCTACCTCCAGTTCGGCCCCCCAAATTACCATCTCCTGTGCTAGCACCATATGTACCTCTACAACAGCACCTCCAGAAACTCCCACCTGCTTCTGTAGCCATACACCCAAATTTATCACCACACCAATTACCCTGGACAGGAAACTCAAATTTGGACCTCCGTCGGAAGCGAAGCTGGGAAGAACAAGAGCATCCCGCAAAGAGAGTGTCCCGGCCAGCCATGTCTGGTTCTGCGTCTCTTCCGCCTCTTCCATCCCTGACAACTACCACTGCAGGCCATTTCCCGCCTATTACAATGCCATCTGTCCAGCAATTAGGTATGCCCGTAGCGTCCTCGATTCCACAACTTCCACGACTCGATTTTGCACTTGGCCAAAATTCCGCGGGGCCTACATATGTGTCCCAAAATGCAAACGCAAACGCAACTTCAAGCTCAATTACCACCCTCCACTCATTCCATGGCCCCAATATACCCTTCTGTTAGCTCCTGGAGCCGGCAAACCCCCCCAGCAACGACATTAGCGCCTCTTCCACGCTCCCTTCCCAACCCTTCCGTC